ACTCTAAAACCAACATTGAAGAAACCTAAAACCAAACCCCAAAAACCATAAACCAACCCCGAAAACCAATCCTCCATGAACCCTAGTCTCAAACATGTTGCAAATGCCGTTGAAATGGCAGCTTCCAGCTCCAAAATGCTGGAAATAGCAAGGAAAATGGACAGAACAGGAAATGATTAAAACAAAATCAGAAAAAAAACCGAACAATTCCGGACCTGTTAATGCAACTTGCTTCATGTCCATCTCGAATTTTGGGGAATCCTCCATTTTGGGGTTGCTTTGCACGACCCAATTCACAGGTACAAGAGTCTTGGGTTCTAAACTCACTGCCACTCCAAATCCAGCAAACATGTCTGAAAGGCCAGTTGTTCTTGATCCCCTTAGGATGGTTGAAATGATCCAACTAAGTCGAACATGTTCGTTGGATGCCCTTCTGAGCGGCTCAGGGTGAGGACTTGGATTTCTTGGATTTTTGCCCACCAGCTGCAGCTTTGAAAGCTGAACGACAATGGGAGCTGAATGAAAGCATTGCTTCATGCCCAAACTGGATGGGAGGAAAGGACCTGCGAGTAGATGAACTCTACACCTCCCATCCCTATCCCTCTTGGCGACGTTTTGGATCACTGAAATCAGGAAGACAGAAGATCAGGAAGAGCCTCATAGCAGGTGCCGGTACTGGAAAAGCAGTGCTTGCTCATTTGGAGCATTACGAGCCTGACGAGATTGTTGCTGTAGATTTGTCCAAAAGATCCTTGCAGGTGGCAAAGCGACAACTTCTGGCCTTGGGGGTAAAAAATGTGCAATTTCTTCGGTGTGACTTAACCAGCTTGGAAGGGAAATTTGATGTCATCGAAAGTATTGGAGTTCTTCATCATCTCCCAGACCCTTCCGTTGGTTTTGCCGCTCTGAAGCGTTTACTTGCACCTGATGGAATCATAGTTTTGGGCCTTTACAGCCGTCTGGCCCGGCGCAGCATTCCAGTGATGCGCCAACTCGCACGGCACAGCAGCAAAGAGCAGTTCCGGGACTGGTTGGTTCAAGGGAGCAAGGACTTTCAGGGCCGCAGGTTGACCGAGGAGCTCAAGTACCGAGATGAATTCTTATCTGAATTTTCTCTGGGATCTCGCAGCAATTTCGAGGATCTTCTCTTTCATCCAGTGGAACACACTTATGAACTGCCAGAGATTGAAGCCATCCTTTCCAGCCACGGGCTGCGTTTCACGGGTTTGCGCGTGCCTGCCGGTTCCGGTGGAGTTGCCGACAGGTGGTCACGATTCTTCAGCCCCGAGGGGCGAAGTGTGGTGGAAGGGTGGCCGGAGATGCCACTGCTGGCGTTTGTGCATCGCATTGAGACAGAACTGGAACCTCTGCTGTTTACATCGATGTATGTCTTCACTGCTTCTGCCATGGCACCAACATCCATCCTGGCAGAGATGTCGTGGAGTGAAGGTCAGCTGGAAGACCCCTTGACTTTGCCTTTGCCTTTTGAGGAAGATTGGAATCAAGAGTTGTTGGCCTCTGCCATAGCGGCATACTGCTCACGTGTCATGCACTTTGTGAATTCTTCGTTGGATCACTGGATTCCCCCAGTGCCGCTTGAGGAATGGCTGGAGGCTAAAGTGGCTTTCGGCCAGCATGCTGCGAAGGTTGCGAGATCTTTGCAAACAACAGATGCTGCAGAGGAATACTGCACCCAAGTGGAACTGCACTTCTTGGGATCGACTGCCCAGGAAAAGGTCCAGCCCAAAGTAGGAGCTCTTATGGCTTGGAGATGGTTCTTTTTTTGAATCTTGGGGTTGCTCTGAGTTGATATGAAGCGATCCTTGATGTTTCCCAGGGGATCTTGCAGGTTCACTCAACCAGTTCATTTTGCTTCAAACTAGGATCGTCTGCATATTCATATTCAATCATGATTGTGATACTTGAGATCATCCCAAATCTGGTTCTTGACAACGTTCAATTTCACAAAACCATGTTGTGCTTGGCCGACAGATGCAACAACGAAGTCACCTTAGGGTGCAGGATGATGATGGCGATGACGATGACGATGATGGATGTCTAACAAGTTTGAAACATTCCAAAAACACTCACTTTCCTACTGTACAAGTCTCCTTGAACGTGGATATCACTGCTGTTCTTCCAGAGTTGATTGACAGCCATTTGCTCAGATCTGATTCTCTGCCCACAGTGCCAGTTAGGGCCATGTCTTGTGGTTCTGGCCTGTGGCTGATGCTCACCGACACGCCGTGGCGCTCCGCCCTTCAGTTCTTCAGCCTCACCTGCCTGGGTGGGGTGGCCCTTTGGGCCCCAGTGGCTGTGCCGGTGCCGGGTCCCAAGCTCCGCATTGTCCCCGTGGCGGGCGACGGCAACTGCCTCTTCCGCGCTGTGGCGCGTGGGGAGAACGGCACCGAGCCGCTGAGGCCAAAGGAGGAGGACGCCCGCAGTAAGGAACTGAGGGCGAAGGCGGTGGCGGAGTTGGTACGGCAGCGAAAGGAGATTGAATGGGCCATTGAAGGCAACTTCGATAGTTATGTGCGAAGGATGTCACGAAATGGTGAATGGGGTGGAGAACCAGAACTTTTGATGCTGTCCAAGGCTGGGAATAGGGGCTCGAGTTGAATAGAGGGTAGTATGTTCATCGCTAAGGTCAGAACTGGATAAATTCACGACAAAAACCATGCCCCATTATCTGAAATAGCCATGTAGAGCAGTTCACAATCCCAGTTGGTTGATGATTGCACGGGTTTATCCCACACCATATGTTGGGGATCATCATCTAGGTGCTCCATCGATGCATCGAAGTGTACATGATGACGCAACGTTTGACCAAGATCCAGACCTATGGAGAGGAATTCACCGGCGCCCCGAAAATTCGGGTTCTCTTCCACGGCTACGGACACTACTCTGCCATGGTGGAAGATGTAACATCCTGAATTTGAAGTTGGAATACGGTGGAATCCTTTGTACAAATGAGACTTGCTTCAACAAAAAACGCATGGCATATTTAGTCAATGGACTAGATGAATGCTTTGAATATCCGTGAATGCTCAAATTCGAATTGACAATGGAAGACGCAGCTGACATGAAACACACCCTATGGCTGCTACAGATTGATCGCTTTCTTCGACAGTCCTCTCCACCCATTCGCTTCTGAAAAAAAACATGCATTGCAGTGCAGATTTTGGTGTTGGGAGTTGACGGGCGTCTGTTTCCTTGAGTTTTGTAGACCCCTGTGCTCGCTCCTTGATGCTTGCCACCTTGTATGAGCATCCTGGATTGGCTTCTTAGATCTTCGGTGCTGGAGCACTGTGTTTGACACGGATTGCAGTCTGCTAGGTGGCGTTGTTTGAACATAGGGTATCCCAAAGTCCGATGATTGATCATCATTTTTTCATTAAAGTTACCTCTGCAATTATAGGATATTCCCGTGTTGTTTGCGCAAACCCATTTATGCATAGTTCTCAGATGTCCACCATGTTCTTGGATTCCCAAACTCGACTTCTGACATTGATTGTCGTAGGCTGCAAAAGAGTTTGCACCAGATGATCCTCGCTTGGTGATCAACTACCGAAAGGCCTTGGGGCTGGTGCAGGGTGGTTTTCTCTAATCTACAGATTGGTAAGACTGGATCCTTATTTCAGGAAGAACTGACACTGTAGATGTGTATTTAATTGCATAGTATGTATATATATATATATATTATATATATGTATACACATACAAACAAACATATACATATATACATATACTACTGGTATATACTATATCTACTGTATGTATATGTACATATGTCTATTTGGTGCGTGTGTGTGTGTATGTATTTGGCGTTTCCCAGTGTTGCTCTTGGCCTCTTGGTGGGATTGACCTTGCAACTTGGGCCCATGGCTTTGCTGCCAGCACTGGATATTGACCAAGTCCAGCAGTTAAGGCCCACAAAGGCATGCCATGGTCAAAGCTTGTTTCCTAGGGGATGGTCGAGAGTGATTTTGGGACCATGGCACTTTTGGCAGCTGGGAATCCCCCAAACAAAGAGAACAGTCATTTTGGGCAATCTTATATAGGCACATATATATATATATAGGTGGTGATGTTCCTTTCTTTTGAGGACTCCCGGGGACTTTTTTCAACGTCCAGTTACCACAAATGGGGGATTCGCCTGCGGCCAGGTTTACGACGTTGCTTGCATTTCTTTGGGCCCTTGTGGTCATGAGGACGGCGCCAAACCTCGGCAGTACGCAATTCAGCAATTCTCCCAGCCATTTTTTTGACCCCAGATGACCGACTGGATATCCCGACATCCACTGGTTAATGACATCAATGACCCATCTATATATATATAATATATACATATATATGTATATATGTATATATATATAAATGTATAATATTTGAGTCCCCAAATGAATGACTCCAATGCAAAACCAGTTTTTTTGAGAATATGTGTTTACTACTAGGGGGAAGGAGTTGCTTGCCCATCTCTCTGCGCAGCCTTGACATTCGTGACATCACTGACAGGACCCTAGTACCAACTGGACGTGAGCAACAGCTTTTCTGACAACTTCCACCGAGTTATATAATTTGTGACCAATGACAGGGGAACATGATGAACATCCAAATGGAATGGGTGCCCCAATTTTCAGACCACCACTCAAATTCAACACCAATGGTTTCACCCTGCAAGTGTCTCACTCAGAAGCCATTGAAATGGGATGGCCGGTGTGAAACACCACACGCGTTAAGCGTTACTCGCGCAAAAGCTTCGTGTCTTGCGTGAATTACCTTGGAGTCAGGATATAACATTTTCAATGTTGGACTACAGTAACCTACAATCTGTGACTGCTTTGGAATGCTTCAAACTCACAGAAGCGAGTCTCATTTTCGATGTACATGATATCGGTTGTCTCAGTGATCTCAGTCTGCCCGTGAAGGTGAGGCACAGCCATGTGTGAAACAACTTCCCACTCTTTTTTGCTTGAAGATCTTGAAGATGGTCCATTTCCCATCTGAGGTGCTTTGCTCTTCCCCACGCTCTATGGGGTTGGTAGCTTAAGAAAGCAGGAGCCGAGGATTCATTGGGTTCCGAGATAGAGATTTTTGGAACTGAGGTGGCAGTTCCGATTATCATCAACATCCTCAAAAAGGACAAAGTCTCAGATCCCATGCACTTCCAGGCACTTTTGTGTCTTGGGCTTGGGTTTGGGCTTGGTGTTTTTCAATCATGTTTTCTTGTTTGCTTTCCTTCGGGGATTTGTAACTGGAAACAGGTGGCACCTCGCACCTTACAACATCTCTGCGGCTTGTTTTCCACGGGTAAGCTGTCTGAGAGCAGCCATGATGCCTACTCCTCTACTCCTGAGAACTGACCAAGATCCAGGGGCTGTGATGATTTGGCTCAAAAACCATCAGTAGACGCCCGACTTGATGCCACGCCGACCCCAAAGTTGTGGTGTCGCATTCTGCGCATTCTGTGCGTTGCTCCTGGTCTTTTGGCATCGGTCTACATGGGAGCCAAACATGCTGCCCTCGCTGATCGTTTTTGAGCCTCGTTTTGAAAATCAATTGCACAAGACGCATCAGTGGCCATCACACTTTTTAAATGATGGGATCTTTGGCAACAACTTCATCCTATAAAGTCCCATGAAGTTGCGGTCCCAGACCCAAGGCACTCAAGGTACCCCAACGTACCCCAAGGTACCCCAAGGTACCCCAAGGTACCCCAAGGTACCCCAAGGTACCCCAAGGTACCCCAAGGTACCCCAAGGTACCCAAGGTACCCCAAGGTACCCCAAGGTACCCCAAGGTACCCCAAGGTACCCCAAGGTACCCCAAGGTACCCCAAGGTACCCCAAGGTACCCGAAGCTACCCGAAGCTACCCGAAGCTACCCGAAGCTACCCGAAGCTACCCCAAGCTACCCCAAGCTACCCCAAGCTACCCCAAGCTACCCCAAGCTACCCACTGCCTGAGGATTTGGATGCCTGTCTCTGGTCCCCCGAGATGTTCCAGCTGGACTCAGGAGCGCCGTCAGAATACTGTAGCAAGCGCGGAGGTGTTGTCGCTGGAAGAGACACCGATGCATGGCAGAATCACAGAATGCATAGGTGGTAATCAAACGTGGCAATGCAACATGATTTCTATTATTTGTGGGATATTTTCAAATTGCACAGTTCATTACTAGAGGGTAGGTTTGTGGGAACAGCTGATCTTTGGCTGGGGGTACCAAACTACAGTCTGAGACAAGTCTCTGCTTTGTTGTGGGCCCAGGTGAGACTCTTTCCGGGGGCGGAAGCAGTGTTGCAAAAACTGGCATCAGACACTGCTTATGCTGGAGTCCAACTTGCCGTTGCATCTTCCACCACGGAGACTCGGGGAAGATTCGATAGATGTAGATAGCAGGCCTGTACTCTGGTTGGGAGTCAACATGTAAGACCCAGGGAGGCATATGTTTTGCTCATTTTCAGTATTGCTAAAATCGCCTAAACATTGACTTTTTGAAAGAACAGTGTACCCAATTTTGACCCCCATTACCCTCTTATACACCACAAGATGTTTGAGGACTTGGCTGTGGCTTCCATTTCAGACCAGTTGTGCTACCGAGGGTGGATCACAGCTGTCTCGCTAGGTCTTAAAAAAACACCCTGGTACAACCCCATTTTGCGCCTCATAAGTTGGTTGCAAGAGACAATTCCATCAACCAACAAGATTCAAGGTAACGAATAGGTGTCTCTGGTTCTGAAAAACTCCCCTAGTCTTCAGGAACCGGCCTATGCAAATAAGTGCCTGGAGAACTTTCCGCTCTCGGGTGGCAAGTTTGCCACGGTGGGTGAGTTGATTCGATATCGGCAGATCTTTCCTGGAAGAGTCTTGGCAACCCATAGAAGTTGCTCCCGGTTTTCTTCCTGTGTTTCGCGCGATTTTATGTCTTTAGTTTTCTGCTGTTCTTGAACAATTGAGGCAAAGGAGCGAAACACTTCCCAAATTTGCACGCTGAGACTGGTATCCCTTACGATCAGATGATCTTTTTCGATGACTGCACCTATGGTGACAATTGTGCCAATGTTGCCTCACATTGTCCCGGGGTCACCTGTGTTCGAACCCCAGATGGCTTAACGGAGGAGGATTTCGTGCTCGGATTGGCTGCCTTTGCTGCGGGCAAAAGAGGCGTCATCAAATGATGCCGACAAACATCACCTGGCAAAAGATGTGCGCAGGTGGCCAGTTAATTCAAACAACCGGGGGCCAAAGGTATTCCCAAAATTGGATGGCTTCAGGCTAAACATGACCAAAGAGTTTTGGATGTATTGGGAAAATTTGGGAAAGGTTTCTTTCTTTTGATATATCCGGTCCCCATTTGGCAAGATTTGATCTGCATATGACCTTCTGTTCCTGAGCCCCGCAGATCATGCACATGCCCTCCAGCTGGAGGCCAAGTTGTGGCCAGCCCTGAAGCCGCTGTTTACAGCCAAGGAGATTCCAATTGAGGCGTCAGCGCTTTGTTTGACCCCTGATGATTGGACATGTTGTGAACCTGTAGGGATTCCAGCATCTCATGCCGCGCTGATAGCAGGTGGTCATCCTCTTCTTGAAAGAGCTGGATCTGCTGGTGGGTCTTGCCCCAGCCACTGAGACTCAGGCGGCAGACCGTCCCCAGTTGGAGACTTTCTGACTCTGAAGACGCGTCGAAAAATTTGGTCCCCTCCAAACATGCAATGGGATCCTGAATCAAAAAGTGCTTCATGACTCATAGCATCCCATATCCAATGTGAATAATGTGAGTTTTGCCCTCTAAAACATGGATGATTACCGAAAGTTCAAACCCCAGCGATGTGCTGATGCGAGGCTGTGCTGCTTCCCTTTTTGTTGCGCTGCCTGGAATTACAAGAGCCGACCATTTTGAACGAGGCAGGATTCCCTCAATTGAATGGAGGAAATTTACAGGAAACCATCATTTGTGATGGCAAACAAAGACATGGAGCAGGGAGGTTGCGGTGAATGGATGCGAGATATCATATGATATCATGACTTCATGGTTTACCCTCTGGTAATTGAACATAGCTATTGAAAATGGCAATTTATAGTTGATTTTCCCATTAAAAATGGTGATTTTCCATAGCTATGTTAGTTTACCAGAGGGTAACCGTTTTAACCAGGTTTTTTTTCTCCCTGTGATGCAACCCGACAGTTTCTTGGAGTCCTTTGATTCCACCATGTGGTCGCGCTGAGGTGTTGGAAAAAGTGCCATATCTCCACAAGAAGTTCGAGTGCGCGCTAAAGATGTGCCCAGCATCACATCTTTTCATTCGATAGGCACCCTGTGGTAATTTAAGATAGATATGGAGAATAGAGGAGAGTGGCCCATTTATAGATGATTTAGCAATTACACTGGGGATTTTCCACAGCAAAGTGTGAAATTACCAGTAAAGAAGCAGTTTGAGTGAACGAGCCAGACACTTCTGATTCCGACGATCCTCCAGTTCTCAAACATGGCGTTCTGACAAATCCACCATTTACCCAGCGAAGTTCGATGATTTTCCCAGCGAAGTATTCACCTCCAAAGCGCCATGGGGATTTCCCAGCCCCGCCACGACACTGAGAGGGTGAAGATCTTCAGGTACCGCCAGGTGAAGGACCAAATCCTACCCAGGATGCTACAGCTCTTGGGCTCAGCAGCACCCAAGGTGAAGGTTCAGGCAGCGGGATTGGGATGGAGCCGTGTCGCATCATTCTGTATCACTATATGTCATTATATGATGTCGAGATATGTCAAGTATGTCATATGTCATCCTGGTATGTAAGATGCCATATATTATACTGTAATATATTATACGTATATATATATATGTATATATATATATATTATATACATATGTTGTGGGATGAGTCTGCCGAATGCACAGGTGCTCATGGGCTTGAGTCGAATTTTCGAGATCTTCGACAAGAATACGTCCCGATGCCCAAGCAGTGGTGGTTGATCGCTGGAAAAAAATATCACTCAAGTTGGCGTGTCTCTCTGGGAAAGATGGTTTGTCTCATTAGGATACGCAGAATCAACAATCTCAGCAATCTTGGTTGCTTTTCCAACAATTTTGAATCATTTTCTCACCACAAAAAACACAAAACTGAATGAAATTGATCACTTCTTCTACTATGAAGTCATACCATTTCATCTTCTGTGGCCAATTTTCATCATTGCCGTGTATGCTCATGTTCAAAAATATGGGGGACCAGCTCAGGATTCAGGACGTGGTGCTGCCGGCCTTTGAGAAGCTGACGAAGTCGGCAGGGACACCTGGGATCCGTTGTTAAAGTTTACTAGGTACTTGAGTTTTGTTCGGGTTAGTTATGGCCGCCACAATCTTTTTTTCAACTAATTTGACACTCAACAGTGTAGCTGTTAGATTCTTGGGGTCGAAGTTGCTTACGAAGTCTTAGATATATTTCTTGGGTCGAACGGTAAAAACATTCATAGAATTGGATGATGGGAAAATTTACAGGAAAGCCCTATATTTGATGGTAAAAACAATGGTTTCCTGTAGATTTTCCCTTAAACCAATCCATTGAAACATGAAGGTTTTGAGGCATCTGAAGCTGGCCAGGTTGGATTGCCAGGGGGTGTAATGGAAAGTAGTTGGAGCTGGTTGGTCACCATAGCTATGGCGAAGCTTTTTTGGGGAACTTGGATAATTGAACGAATACCCAGCAAACATTCGTTTTCTGAATGGAAACGAATGTGGAAATATGATGAAATATGACCCACACTGGCTTGCTGCTTTGTTGAGCATCTTCTGTTGAGAGGGGTGGCTTAATCCATGATCCCTATGAAGCCAATCCATTCAGCCTATTCGATACCCACTGGGCCCTTGGCTCATGCGAAACCAATGGACGCATGGCAGAACAGGAACGTAGGACCTCAATGGGTATCCGACCATGGACTGAGCCAATCTCCGAATCACATTCCATTTTGGTGTATATAGTACATACTATTATAATGTATATTTCAATATATATATTTATTTATATTACATTATTACATTATAGGATTTATAGGCAAGTTAACCATTTTGGGCTACCCCAAGTAGAAAGGTACTCCCAAACTGTGCAACTGCTATCAGGACAAGCATGCGTCATGGATCCTTTTCCAGGCCAAAAACCAAAAGCTATATATTTCAGACTTCCACGACGCGAGTCGGGGATGATACACTGCTGACGCCCACCGCATGTTTCAGTCTCACGGCCATGGAAGACCTGAGTTTCCAAGGCGTGGACTGTGCACTTTTTCTGGAGAATCCATGCTGAAATCGTTCCCTTAGCCAGTTTTCACCACAAAACGGACGTTTCTGCTGCAATTTTGCTGATATAATCATTTTTGATCAAGCCTCTCGGAGAGTCGGTTGACTCTTCACAAGTCTCTTTACGAAGGCTTTCTGCAGTCGGCCAGAGAAGCCACTCCACCAGAATGCAGGAACCTCAGAATCTGCGGTTCCTTTCCCAAGGATGCCATGATCAATTCAGCGAATGGGGGCTAGGTAATGCATTTAATGCTTGGGTGCGCTGAAGGTGCCAACATGTTCAAACGTTGGATGGACAAGAATTGCTACTGTCCGGTGGGTGTGGACCCCAGGGACCTTCGCCTTGTGCAGGTGTTCTCAGGTGTGGCCACTCAAGAATGACGAGGATCCATAATTCATCGTCCATGGTTTCCACTCCAAAAACGGTTGGCAAAAGTCCCATCATATCAAATAGGGCTTCAATCTCATCGCAAAGTTCCTTATAGGAAATTCGGGTTTCATAAAATACGATGGTTGGGGTATCACACGTATCCTTGTTCTCAGATACAGACTGGAGAAAGCGATTGGTCACATCCGCCAAAGTTTGCTGGGTAGATCAACTGTAAATCCCCCATGTTGCTAGTCACATCCACGTCATTCGCGCTTACATCCTCAGGCCTCTTCTGGGCTGCGCCCTCACGGGCGCGCGCAGAGGAATTCCAAGTAACAAGGCAAGGGCCTAGGGTCAGCAGGGGCAACGTATGCACGTACATACGTATGCTGCATATATACATATATATATATAGATAGATAGATTACACTATATAATTATATATATATACATACATACATACACACATATGTAGATACACATACTGTGTATACACACATGTACTTACTTACATGCATCCAGACTCAGACATATATTTTATTACATTTCATTGCATTTCATTGCATTTCATTGCATTTCATTGCATTTCATCGCATTTAATCGCATTTAATCGCATCACATTTCATTACACTTCTGTACTTTTCATTGCATTTCATGACATTTCATTACATGTCTTACATTTCATTACATTTCACTAGATTTCATAGCATTTCACTACAGTTCGCTAAATTTACTGTATAGCATTTGACACTTGCATTTTGTGCTTTACATCTACAATCACATTGCATTACATTACATGGTATTACATTATATCACACTTATGATATTTCATTGCATTGCATTAGACACACACACACACACGTGTAAAACATATAAAGTTACAATTCACACGCAAGGGGGTCCATGGAAATCCAGGACATGATAACGATTGTCGCAAAGAAGTTTCCCCAACCCCGGATAAAATGTGGTTGGTAATGATCGGTAACCCCCAATGAAAACTCCGTAACCCCGCGGGCAGCGACAATTTGGGTACCATTTCTCGTGAATCGAGGAACCAACAGAATGCTACAAGCAACAGAATGCACATGGGTTTGGAACCGGGAGAAATGGTACCACCAATTCCAATGCTTAATGACTATTTTCCCATGAAAATAGCTTCTTTGGGGGTGGCAAGGATACTACCGCAAGAAATGGTATCACCACGGAATGGGGATGAGGTTAAACATGGACCTGCTAATTTTGGTTTACCGGTAATCAACATGGTTTGCTGGAAAATCCCGCAGTTAGTTGGTCCGATGATTTTCTCATTTAGGATTTCCCAGCTAGATCAGCTAGCCATCTCTGATTGCCAGAGGGAAACTGATTTCCCCAAAAATTGGTTTCCCAAATTTCCAGGATTTGGGCTTGTCTGAAAATAGGGTACTCCAAAATTCAGTGATTCATCATTTTCGGGAGCTGTCCAGGCTGTGGTCTGACCCACTGCTTGATCCGTGGTGAGCTTTCCTGGTGGGCAATGCTGAGAAATCATGTGGTAGAATGACCCAGTTTACCTAACTTCGCCAGAGATGGCGGTTTTTTCTAGATGATAATCACATAAAATGAGGTCCATTGGTGGATTTTGCGGCACTCCATGGATTTGGGATCTTGTAAGAGGAGTACTCAGTTTCCCATTTTTCCTTGCTGGTGGCGATGCTGAGGGGTCAGTACCATCCCTGGTGTACAGTCAGAGGGCACCGAACTCAGTGGATCAGCGTTTTCCTTCAGGCAGAATTTAAGGACACGCTAGCCAGATGTTGCAAGTTTGTATATCAGAGAATGCATGAAGTTGAAGTTGGTGGATGGATTTGTAGAGAGATCTGGTTCTGACATTGACTCCTGAGGTCGAAGGAATGGGGCATGATTTACCCAGCTTATTGCTGGACAGCCGGTGCAATGCTAAGCTTCTTCTCTCTGCAACAAACCCGACATATCAATCCATGCATGTTGACATGATGTGTATAGGTTGATTGCCTCTTACGCAGACTGTGCAGCCTTAGCCAATCATGCTTTTTTAGTCATGTGGCTGTGGTGCAATATTGTGCTATGTTCACGATGGATTTTCCAGCCAAACTATGAGGCCTGGGTTTTGCCAGCATCGTTCTGTGGAGCGCCATACGTTTGCAGCATTGGTACCGCGCGGTAAGAAGCTCAGAAAGGTGGAAGGTACGTTTGCGCAGGGCTTCATGATATTAAAAGAAGTCTTGGTGTCTTTTGGTTGGTGTTTGTCTCATAGAAACCACTGTTCTGATCTGAAGGTTTTTGACCGTAAGTTTGATCAAATTTGTGGGGTCACAACTTGGGTTTTTCCCATGGATAACCCAGGCAGCTGGGCACGATCAACGCCTGCAGGCCTGGCACAGAATTAAACCCCCAGTCATCCATTTTTTGATGGATGTTCCATCAGAAACCATCCATAAAATGGTGTACCCTCTGGTGAACTAACATAGCGAACTGGAAAATCACCATGCTAATGGGTAAATCCACTATTTCTATGGTCATTTTCAATAGCTATGTTAAATTACCGGAGGGTACCCACATTTATGGCAACACCTAGTAATAAGGTAATAAGGTAATATTGCACGATATAATTGTATAAGACAATGTAATATCATATTGATGACACTAGAGATTACCACACTAGTATAATGCACTACAATGCAACGCCACACACACTCACATATATATATATATATATACACAGAGCAATTCAATCTCACAGTTTGAAATGAAATAATGTACGGCAGCATAACACACAATAAACGTGTGTTTTATCTATATTCTGGATAATTACATCATATGGCTTCCATAACTTCCACATCCCAACAATACCATATATATATATATATGTCATATTATCATAATGTTCTATTTAAGGATCTAAGGATCTATTCCATATCTATTCCATGTCCCTTCACTATATGATCTTGTATAGATATATTATTATACTCTATAGATATGGAATAGATATCGAATAGATTCGGAATAGATATGGAATAAATGCGGAACAAATACGGAATAGGTTGCAGATTCCATGTCCCTTCCAAACATCAAAGATTTATCCGTGGCCACAGGTCGCCATTCACGCTCTGAGCCTGGCTGCTGCTGCGGTGCGCACCATCTATGTGGCTGCAGAGGCCATCGTGGCTGGATGAGCGAAACGTGTTTTTTTTCTCTAGGAAATGGGTTGATTGTTCATCTCAAGTAGTTAGGGCATGATGATGATGAATATTATTATTACTATTATAATTATAATTATCTATATTTTCTTAATCTATTCTTATTCTTATGATTCTTATTCTTATTGTATATCCCCGCATTTGGCTCAGGCCATCTTGGTGGATGCTGCTCCCAACGGAAGTCCATTGCTGGAGAAAGTGGCGCCCTGGCAGATTTGGACCTCGGTGACCTCCGGATGTTCGAAAAACGGCCCATTTTTTAAGAGACAAAAAAAAACACGAAGCAAATGGCCAATTTTCTATGTCACTATAGTTAATTGATGTAAAAATTGAATTACCAGATGTTTTTTTTTCAAACTTCCCTCAATTTTTTGGTGGTTCATCTTTTGTTTTCGGTTTTTGTACATCTCTGTACCATTTACATCCCAGTTGCATACCCCGTACTCGATCATATCCCAGCATTGGTTGAAACAGCTGTTTTAACCAGCTCTAGTTTTACTGTAGTTTTTGTTGTTGATGATGATGGTGGTGGTGATGACCGACATGATGAATATGAATATGAACAACTTGAACAACAGCAACCTCTGTGACTATTCAGGGTCTCCCATGCTCACCCCTACCCCGAGCCAGGCTGGGGTGCTGTACACCGCCTTCTTTTCCCTGTCTGCGGCAGCTTTCCTCTGCACCTGTCCGGAAGCCTTGCCATTTCTCCAACGAATTATGTGCTTTTGTCCAAATAAACCGGGGATTTTACAATGAATTTATGGCCGTAAAATCATGGGAAACACGATGTTCTCAACCATGTTTTTTTTTTGAGTACCAGTAGCTTCAGAGAAACCCAAACAGTTTGGCACTTTAAGGGATCTCAAGACCTGTTTTCGCCATCCCCGCTTCGGGGGCCCCGGGTCCAGGCAACCAGTGGCTGCGGCTCTTCGTTTCCATGGACTTGACGCAGGATGGCGAAGCCCTGGAAGAAAAGCCCTGGCACAGCTGGCATCTTCGCAGGGCTTTTTTTTTTTGTGGGGCTGGAAACTGGGAGCCAATTCACCATCAGTTAAATATGGCATACTGAAGCAGCAAATGATGATGTTGTATGGGAGAGTTTGATTTCAGCAACGTAGATATGATGCTTGGGTGACCTGAAACGGGCGATTTCACCCCAATATGTGGCCATACTGGGGAAAACAATGATTAACCTGCGGGTTTTTGGAGTAGATAGCCTATTTTCACAGACACATCCGCTTGGACGATTCTCGAAAACAAGACGAGTTAGGAATAAAAAGGCATATAAGTTATATAATGTTATATAAGTCATATAAGTTATATAAGTTATATAAGTCATAAGCTATTTATTCATGGGATAAGCCGGCTTGGGATAATCATTTTGCGGATGGCTTCTCTGGGTGTTTGGAGACGAAGCTCAGTGTCCTGCGCCTTTCTTAGTTCTTGGGCTGTACTCACGACTACTACCAGTTATTGAATAACGGAGTTACATACTTTATAGCAATGGAGTGGTAGATAGATACTCTTAGTTCGAAAAATAAATAACATGATCTATAGTATTTGGTTATAGGCCAAACTTGGATACCCGGCAAGTCCCCTTCATCCAAAATTGAAGGCTAATGTTTTTCCACAAGATGAGGTCTGTTAAAACTACCCAAGATAAGGAATCCACAGCAGTGGTTGGCCATGTTCGCTCTTTTGGGCAATGTCAACAACTAAAGCTACTTCCGAAACTTGTTTGCAGGGGCCTGTAAAAGAAGGGGCTTGTGCATGGGGCAAACAGATGCGTGGGCTACCGAGCTGCTGTTCATGGATAGCAAAAACTCGCATGGGTTTGTTTGAAGATAAGGTACCCCCAGATTTGACGATTGATCAAATTGATGATCATATTCTTCTCTTGAAACTGCTCTTTTTTCACGGGATGAATCCCCATTTTCAGATGCTGAACATTTCCATGGAGCCCGCTACGGCCAGGTATCGAAATCCGCTACTGTTGGTTTGTCTTCTCTTCCTATCTCTGGAAGCTTTGCACGACATCCTGTTGGAAGCTCAGCCAGTTGCAAGCCAAGATGTCTATTGGAAAACATGACCTCGCGTGTCAATCTTAGGATGGCACCACTCAATTTTTGGCAAGTTTTTGAGCCCCAAATGGACTGGAAAAATTCTTCACGGATTTTTCAGCAACCCAACCAGCAAGTCCCTCAGCTCCGAAGTGTCTGCAGGTATCTTGATGGCAGTCATCCAGTCCTCGATGGGCGGCTCGGAGTCGACTATAGGGGATACCCTCCCATCATCCATTGGATGACCAGCTGGAAAGCCCGCATAGTTTGTATATAGATGATTGTTCCACTTAACTCAGGGATTTACCAGCTGGAAAGCCCGCATAGTTTGTATATAGATGATTGTTCCACTTAACTCAGGGATTTACCAGCTGGAAAGCCCGCATAGTTTGTATATAGATGATTGTTCCACTTAACTCAGGGATTTACCAGCTGGAAAGCCCGCATAGTTTGTATATAGATGATTGTTCCACTTAACTCAGGGATTTACCAGCTGGAAAGCCCGCATAGTTTGTATATAGATGATTGTTCCACTTAACTCAGGGATTTACCAGCTGGAAAGCCCGCATAGTTTGTTTTTGTGTTCTGGGTACCAAAAATGGGCAGATGCAGCTTGGAATTCTCAGCTCAACAGTTGAGCAGCCCAGGATGTATTTCTTTTGGCTGTCGCTCATCAGCGTTCTCGCTGCCTTTCTGGGTGTACGCATTGCCTGGTGGAGGGCTGAGATTCTTTGCCTGGTTTGGTTCACCTGGAGCAGTGGAAGTGCGTCATGTCTAGATGGATGCATTTCGATTCCAATCCCAGCTAGATGACAGAAGCCAGGCGCTTGTATACCCGACTACGTTGGACTCTGAGTTTGGTGAAGGGGTTCTTGGACCTTGGAAAACTAGAAGCTTCGGAGGTCAACATAAGTCATAATTTACACCCAAATCTCAAGGGAGTTGGGGATGGGTCAAAACCTATGAAATTCCCATATTTTGGAGCATCAACATCACATCTTTCCCAGCTATTTTGGGTACTTTACCATACTTTACCTAGTTCGTGCAGGACTGTGGCCTCCAGGGGCTTGGATTTGAAGCTGACTTCAGACCCGGGCAGGACTGTGGCTCAGCGCGGATGAGAGAAATTTGGTCTTCCGACGGACGCTGATGTCTTCGGCTTTAGTCGCCCTCCTCAGTTGCAGCGTCCATACTAGCGATGCTTGGGAACATTTGGGAACAATTCCACCATATATTTATATACACAGATATATAGAATGATATAGATATAAAGGTATTCCGTATTTACACACGGGACCGATTTTTGTGAAGGCAATGAAATTGGCTAGTAAAGATTGTAAACATGAGCCTGGTTTATTCCTTCTTCCGTTTCTGACTTTTGTTTTCTGATGTCCTAATTGATTCAACTGTTGTTGCAATTTTGGACTCAAGGCCCCTTAGGTCCTAGGTTCTATCATCACTGATCGCGCAGCTTCCATTTACACACTTGTATATGTACGGTATATAGACATGTACCGTAGCAAAATAGAACTGAATAAACTCAGCATTACGAAAAGTTTCCATCTATGGTTTTGATCGTTCAGTTGCAGCACTGGCAGGAGCTGGCTTTACAGTTGACTAATTGTTACCGAGGTGTCAGTCAGCTCTGCCGGGAATCTCAGCCATGATCATCTCCCTGTTGAAATGGCCGTTTGGGTATCCTCCATTTGTTGACAAAATTTTATGGATCACCGGTACCCATATAATCCAAGTGTTCTTACCGTCCTCATGTTACTATAGTTTGGGGTAGGGGGTTGAATACACAACACCGCGAAAAAAAGGTGGGTCCATGCGTACCTAGAAATTTGACCCATACCCACCAGGTGCCATTGATCCTCAGGTTTGTATGCTGATCCTCAGTGTCATCCAAGCCCTGGTTGGGCGCTACTACGTTTGGTCCTGCCTGGTCTGCTGGATGTTGGGCCGATTGTTGGAGGCCACGGATAGGTGTTGCACCTAGGAAAATTGAGTGGGGAAGGCGGGAAGCGAAGATGGCTGAAATGGCACTTTTCTCAGTGGCAAACCAATTCGCCAGGTTGAGACGAAGTCTTTTGTGACAGCATTTTCTTGTGGAGTCATAGTAAAAAAGACCTGATAGAAACAAAAAAAAGGTCCTTTGTATAGTGTCCCAGCACGGTTTTCTGACACCAAATTGATGAAAAGATGGCCGCAGTTTGTGTACCTCCTGATGGTCCTCAGAGCAGTTGGTCGTGCAAACACTTCGACAGTGACGAGGCAGGTTCCAAACGTGTGTTGATACGAGGACTTTGCGGATGCATTGACCTGATTGTTGTTTTCATGCAGGCGACTCAGGCGACCAATCGATTTCGATCTATCGAAAACGGCATTGGTGGATTTGCATGGATTTGCAGTTTTCGTCGACCATCATTGACTCCAAACACCTCAGTAAAAACACCCTGCAGTAACACCTCGTTGCATGGCCTCCAAGACGCCAGCTTTGTTGGGGCCCTCATGCCGGGAGAAGATGAAGTCCACTTGGGAGAGTTTGGTCAACGAAAACTGGACGCCCACAGATTTTCACCAGCAGAAATAGGAATAAAATGATATTAAATGACAGACATGAGATTTCAATAGATTTGAATCAGCAGAAATGAGATTTCAGATATAAACAGGAGGTAATCTCACTCGGCTGTTACGAAGTGCAACTGAACCACAGTGGAAACTCATAAGAGGTCTCGGGATCGAACATTTCTGTCCCTGAATACGGGCTTAAGATGCTAGGTGGGGCAGTACTAGGTATTTTACAGATAAGGACCAATCCACTTAGCCCTCTTTTTGCCAAATCTGAGTCAGCCTTAGTTGAGTAAGGTAGGGGGTCATTCGTCCACTAATGGGATGTTTGGCAGGGTATCGCAGCTTAGTCATCAAATGCGTATAGTTTTTCGATGTTTTTCGAGTGTACCTCCTGACGCCTGATGATGGTTTCACTGCAAGATGTTCTCCCCAGGGTTTTACTGGTCCTGTCCATGGAGTCCATGACCAGTTCACCCAAAAATCTCCATGACCAGTTCACCAATTCCCAGATGAGGCCGAGAGTTTCAGCAGTGTTGACAGTCCAGGACGGCATGTAGGGGACCCCAGGTGTCCAGAGGCTAGTGGTGCTCCATGTGGGTTCAAGACATTGGGGATCGAAACTGGTGAATTTTTACCGTTTCTGGTACCAGTTTCATGATTTTTTTTGGTGAAGTGAGATAGCCCATTCTCAGAAACACTCTATAGAATCTTTAGAACTTAGACGACTCGCCATTTTGTCAGACTGGATTGCTATCTCTAGCCATAAAATGCCATAAAATACTCACCATGAAGGGATCTCACCATCGCAGGCAGCACATGGGCGGCAGCCACTTTGGATCACCACACGATGGTCTGGAGGCACAACTGGTGGGTGCGCTCGGAGGGTGAGTATATAGGCTGTATAGGTGATGACTTTAGTCATAAACAGCCCCGGTGCGGAATTGCGTGTGTATGTCGTAAACAAAGCACTTCGAAACGCATGACTCTTACAGTGTTTTGTGCTGAGCACAAGTCATTTCAAGGGGTCACAAAAAGCATTAATTTTCTCCAGGAATGTCTACGAAACCACAGCGCCACGCCTTTTTAGGTTGCAGTTCTTGAGCTGGCAGGGATCTGTACATCTTAGCACTGTAATTCTTGCAGGATATTCTGACTGAACACTACAGTCCCAGTTTTACTTTTTTTTTAATGAGCAACTCATTGCCACAGGTCAGCGATCCACAGACTGACACTCCTAGGCTGCCGGGATGTTTCTCCAAGTGATTGCGAGTTTGCTTGCATTGACAAAGCATGTCTAGCATTATCCCAGGTCCAACAAGTTGTAGATCTCAGTTGTTCTCAATCAACTGTCCATTCTGTTTAGGCAAAGCCTGCAAATTGTTGCAGTTTTTGGTGCTTTCGTTAAGCTCTCCTACTCAATCACTTTGGGGAAAAAGTCAATGGCGGCTGGCGCTTCTGAACAGAGTCGCAGAGTCTCAGAGTCCGCTCAGCAAATGATTGCGCGCCCATTGGGAAGCACAAAAAAAGCCAGAAAAAAGCTGAGCCTCAGAGCCTGACTCCAGGGGACTCCAGGGATGTCGATGTACCGCCTAACAATCCCAATTTGTCTCGGCTCACCCCGCTCCACTGGCTGACTCTGAGGACCGAACGCCGGCCATTTGCATGTGCCTGCTGGGCTGCTACGATGCTATGAGCAAAAACTTGGGCCACAAGGCAGTGGCTTGGGGGATGCGGGAGGATGGGGTGGGAAAAACTCATGTCCCACTTTTGAATCCAGTTTCCTTGTGCTGAGGTGTGGTTGTTTAGACGTACAAAACCCTGACTCTAGGCTTGTGTAGTGCAGTGTAGTGTGGTCTGGTCTAGTATAGAATAGTATTGTATTGTCATCGTATTGTGTCGTACAGACTCTCTCTCTCTCTCTATACAGGTATATGCCGATACATGTATAGACGTGTGAATGAATAGTGTATATTATATATGTTTTTTTTTCACACACACACGAAGCTTGTTGCTTCCTTCACATATGAACATATGTCCACCACTGAAGCTTTCCTCGCGAGCACAGGTCACAGCTGAGCGTATCTTGCCGTTGATGATGCCCCTCCTGGCAGAGGAGGGTCTGTCTTTCGATCAGTGCGTGTCTGAGCTGGCTGTGGCTGAAAGTTACATGTTTCATATGAGATTGATTCCTGAAACGGTATAGAACCCCCGCAAAAAGATAGAACAACTTGAATTTTCCTCTCAGTTTTTGTGGGATTTTCATGGATTTTCGACCTATCTTTTTTGAGCGTTGCTCTAGTGGTGATGGGGAACCTGAGGTGGGAGACGCAGCTCTCGGTGGCGAAGAAACTCATGCAGCGTGTCACTGGAACTGCACTGTTTTCGCACTGCACTGGGTGTGGAACAACTTGAAATGATATTTGGGCTTGTCTGAAAATCGGGTTTTTATCCCCAATACATGGCCATTTTGACCAGTGTATGCTGCTGTGGGGTACCCTTTTTTGGGATGAGTCCTCTTGGTGCATGTCCAAACAAGATCAACAATCACCAAAACGCCGAATGGGTTGAGAGCTCAAAGTCAGCACCATTTCAGTGAAAGAACTGCAAAGGGACTTCTCAATAGTTTTCAGCCAGAACCACGGTTTTTGACACTCAAAGAACAAGTTCTGGAGTGTATCGCGTCGCGGGCCGTGCAGTATCTTAAAGGCTTAGCCACGCTCTCAAGTTTTGAAGTGAACATTGAACATGGTTCAACAAAAAAAGGTTGCGGCAAAACGGGGTACATCCCAACATTGTAACATTAGCCAAAATTGCAATGTTGATATGGAAAAGGTTGATTCACCAGTGGATGGAATGGGGCACTCGGGTACTCTATTTTCCGACACAGCCACATACCGACCACTATTTGGCCTTGCCAGACTGCCATCTGGTGCCTCAGGTTGAAACGGCCCGAAGGAAAGAGTACGAGACCCGCAAGGATCTTCAGGTAAGGGCTGTTCGAAGAGGTGTCCTCTTCGGCGCAAATCTGGCAGATTTCTTCTTAGGAAATCTTGTCGGGTTAGTTGTGGGTCACGAATGTCGACCCATCCCCACTTGAGAAGTGGCCAGCTTCTTGAATGATGCTTGTTAATTGGCTGCTATGCTCTCATGTATTTGTTGTATAGTTCACATGTGATTTTGTCGAAAATAACATTTCCATTGACCAAGGAGCGGATTTGAAGTCCACGAAGTATCTTACAGTTTTCATATTCATGATTTTAAATACAGATTTTTTATGATTTTTTGGCAAACACTTTTTTTTTTCTTTTTTTTTGAAGTATCAACAGTATCATACTGGTTTTAACAGTTGTCTTTTTTGGCAAATGCTCAGTTGCCCCTTTTGGTGACTTTTTCACCTGGGAGGCGGAATCGGAGCAAGCCCTTGGGGGTACGAAGGCTGGCAGCGCCCCAAATCACTGTTTGGTTGATGCGAAAAGGATGAACTCTGGAGAATATGACCAATACCCTCCAGTAAACTAACATAGCTATGGAAAATGGCCATTTATAGTTGATTTACCCATTAAACATGGTAATTTTCCATAGCTATGTTAAATTACCAGAAAGTATACCAACCAATAATAGCAGATATACCAATTTTTGGGATAGACATTTTATCAACCAGAATTCACCGGTGTTTCCTAAACATGGGGCCATGGGGCCTACAGAAATACCATCGATTGATGGTTGAGGCTATGCTCGGGAAGCCACCATGGCATTGTTGCAGGCTCCCACACCTGCTCCGGAACAAGCGAAGGCAGGAGTGTTCAAGTCCGCTGAACTCTATTCTTGCAACACTTTTGGGCTGCGAACTAATCAGCACCTACATACCTGTAGCACTTATAGATGACCCTGCCACCAGAACTTTGGAGCTGCTGACACTTCTCTTTCCGCAGCTTTCCATGTGACAGCAACTTTCACAGGCAGAACCTCAAGACTTTGAGTCTTTGCTCATGGGAGCTCCGCAGAAGGCTGGGTGTGACAGTCAATTCTGAGTGACGTCATAAAATTGTGAATCAGACTTGCTTGATTCCATGTTTTGATGCGTGTGGTTGAGTGTACGCTGTGCAGAACTATCTTCGTATCCATGTGCATCTATTCGTGTCCGTCTATGTTGTATTGCATGTAGATGACACACAACCTTCACCACGTTTGTTTTTTTTCCACGCACATTTGCGTATTCATATGTGCGTCATATTCATATGCACGCATAGTGAGTCTCTCTCTCTCTCTATATATATATATGTATACTAATATATAAACTATATATCTGTATATATATATATATACAAACTGTATATATATATATATACATATTTACACATACACATGAATGTTGTGTTGCGGAATCGCATTTACAAAAGATCCGGCATACAACATCATATAAATAGCCCTACAAGTAGCCCTAGAGGAAGATTGAGGCCCCCTAAATATGATATTTATATATCTATATAGTCTATATAATCTTTGATGTCAACCCTGGATAGAGCCTGATTGATTGATTGATTGGTTGGTTGGTTGGTTGGTTGATTAGGGGCTACCACCTAAAATCGTGCGTTCACAACAGCCCTAGGCAGCTCCGGCTCCAGCTCCTGCGGCCCCTGTGGCCCCTGCACCGCCGGCCCCTCCACCACCTTCCGCTGCAGGGAGCTTAGGTGCCAGGAGGTGCAAGTGATGACATGAGGTCTCACCATTTTAAAACAAAAATCGGGGTTTGGCCATCTAAAATTGGTGGTTTGTGGGGATTTCGCTATCATTTTTTTAAACACATCTTTTCAGCCCTCAAAGATATGGGGATAAATTTGATGAATGATGGTTGGTTGATGACTTTTTAGGGGTTATAGTCATAGTTATATTAATCTTCATAATGTATACTACAGATGCTTATACTGTAATACACCCACTGAAACCCCATGAACCAACTAGGTTTTGACGCTGCTCACTGTCACTGGTGTTTGTTTGAAAATGGGGTCCCCCCAATTCCAACTGACTGTCACCATTTCGGTATACCGTTGTACCTGCATACCGATACCTCATTGTGGAGACCAGTCTTTCCCACTAATGTTGGGATCTGACCAGCAAAAATTGGGATTTCACACATAAACAAGGGATGAATTCAATACTTTCAACCAACAACATCAAACAAATAGTCCAAGACCGTGTTTCTGAAAAAAAAAGGTAGGTGGTAAATGCAAAAGAGGACGCTTTGTGGGCCCATTGGTAACCCATTCTCAAGCCAGACCCAGATGTATCCATCTTAGAGCGATTGATTTTGGGGGTCTATCAAGTGGATCTCGCAAACTCCGTACTCAAAGCTGGAGTAAGGCTAATGATCTGGTGTCGATGCTTGACAAGCCCACCCCATCTGCAAGCGGCTCAGTTTCTCTTCAAAACAGGATCCAGCGAGTGTTGCAATCCAAAAAAATACGTAGGGACTTGCAGCTCTTCAGAGATAGGGCTATGACTGGGTTGATTGGCTCCAAACAGTAGGTTTTTCCTGGGACACACTTCCATGGTCAAGATCCCCTCAAGATTTAATTTCTGAACAGCTGGATTGTTGACACTACAAGATCGCCAGCAATTTCTTCGATCAGTGGGATGATAAGAGCTGGTGGAGATGTGTCCCATACACATTTATTCCCACGTTTCAAAACTTTCAACCCATTTGACCCATCCCCAGTTTCTTGTTGTTTTGTTTGACCTGAGGCGCCTTCCTCTGGTTTGGGCAATGGCTTTGACCCCTTTGCTTCGTGGACACCTGAGTCATGGGGCACTATTTTTTGTGCATCATCATTCCCCAGCAGCGTAAGCTAATGGGGTCTTCAGCCCAGAATAGCTCCGGTGTGCACTGGTGCAGGCGCCGGGTCAGGCTCAACGAGGTTCCGGAGAAGGTTCCGAAGGTTCCGGAGAAGGTCTGGGAGGCTTTGGTGCAGAGCCAGGTCAGGTTCAACAGGGGTTCTGGAGAAGGTTCCGGAGAAGGTTCCGAAGGTTCCGGAAAAGGTCTGGGTTCAACAGGGTTCTGAAGGTTCCGGAGAAGGTCTGGGAGGCTTTGGTGCAGAGCCAGGTTAGGTTCAACAGGGTTCCGAAGAAGGTTCCGGAGAAGGTCTGGGAGGCTTTGGTGCAGAGCCAGGCTAACAGGGGTTCTGGAGAAGGTTCCGGAGAAGGTTCCGGAGAAGGTCTGGGAGGCTTTGGTGCAGAGCCAAGTCAGGTTCAACAGGGTTCCGGAGAAGGTTGCAGAGAAGATCCCGGAGAAGGTTTTGGGAATCTTTGGTGCAGGGCAAGGTCAAGTTCAGGCGGTTCCGGAGAAGGTTGCAGAGAAGGTTCCGGAGAAGGTTGCAGAGAAAATGTTTATAGAAATAAAACGTTGCGGCTGTTGGGGATACCACCGAAGCTTTTTTTTAAGTTTCCCCCTGTGGCATGGAAACATGTGGTTTTGCCTCCAAGTTTGAATGATTTCCCCCAAATTTCGATGGTTTCATGCGCAGGAACCCGACAAAAATGATGCCATCCCAGGGCCATCCCAGTTCTGGTTGAGGTCCACCCCCGCGCCGGCAGCTCCCACCCCAAGCTTCGATCCCTTTGGCGGCTTGGGTGGAAACTCCGGGAACCAAGGCATTGGGTCAGGGGGAAACCCTAAGATTTCGCGATGAAGTTGAACTTCAGCCAGAGTCGGGCTCTGGCAATATTGAATCATTATCTACTGTTTTTTCTTGGTTGGGGTTTGGATGAAGCATTCTGACACTCTGGCTGGATTGATCCCGAGTGGAACCTCATATGGCTGGAAAAAAGGTTGGGGTTTGTCTGTTGGCAGTGTGTTGCAAAAGTTTTGGGGCCTATCACCCTTGAAGCCGATCCAAGCCGCTCATTCAGTGGTTGTTTGTTTGCCGAGCTTCGCTGAGAGGTGGAGTTGGAGGTGGCATGGCAATGCCTGGAATGGCAGGCAGGAACAGTAAGCATTGCCAATGTGAATCTCATCAGCTTTGAAGCCTGCACGCTACAGGCAACATGGGCGGCTGCGGTGGCTGTGGCGGCTGTGGTGGCTGTGGCGGCTGCAGTGGTTGTGGTGGCTGCGGTGGTTGTGGCGGCTGCGGTGGTTGTGGCGGTTGTGGTGGCTGCGGCGGCTGTGGCGGCTGCGGCGGCTGCGGTGGCTGTGGAGGCCTTGCTTTGGAGTTTTCAATGGTTCAAGGCTGTCGGAAGTACAGGTACCAGGAGGTAACGGTTTCAGTGCAACACCAGCCACATGTGCTGGGTTCCAATGCACAAGGACCAGCTGGAGGGCCTGGGCCGTTTCCTCAGCACCAGAGTCATCCTTAAGTTTCCACATGTTCCTCCTGGTCATGCAGCAATGCTTCACCGAGGTACCCGAATGCTGGCTTCGGAGGCGCTATGTCGATGTTGGTTTGTCTGAAAATAGTGTACCCCTAAACCCAATGGTTAATGATCATTATCCCTATTAAATGGCTATAATTGGGAATATACCCTATTTTCAGACAAACCCATGTTGGGAGGGTGCAAAGGTATTTCAATGGTTGGGTTGCCTTGCTGCAGGCCCAGGAGCCGGAGGATGTCCTGGCTCGTCATAGCCTGAGTTTTTTTTTGGCGAAAGAAGTGGGTCAGCCCTTAATCGCCCGTGGGAGATTTTGGTTTGTTATTTTTTGGCTCAAGTATTTTTTTTGTAGGTGAACAGTAACCATTTTTTAAAACCATTCTTTGACATAAATGGGAAAAAACTCATCGGCATAAGTAGCCACACATCTATTGAAAAATGCTGGGTTCCAATCCCAACCAAACACAGCAATTGAAACTGAAACCCATAAAGATGGCTACGGCATTTCTGCTGTATCTATCCCAAAATGGAAGGGGAAACCGCAGAAATCTATTCTAACGGGATGTTACTGTAATGGTGATGTAACCATGGTTACAGCAATCTTAACGGAATGCAAACATCCCCAACTACCTGGGAAGATTCCTGATTCACTCAACTTTGCGCTCGAGGCTTCCGTTTGGACAGCAAGCTTTACCCGGTCCTGGCAACATGGGTACCTTGGCCCCAAGAAAATGAGATTTAAACCAGTGTTTTTTTGAGGTACCTATTTGTAATATCCTTATTCTTGGAGAAACATAAGGGGAGACTTCAGCGAAACTGATAAAACCTGTGATTTACATGGTAGTTTGGACTTGAAGCATCACCTGGTGTACAGTGTGTGCTTGATGCCTTTCCCATCATGCCAAGTTCTGAACTGGTGGAATTTTTCATGTGCCAGGTGGTATCCGCAACTTGCGAACACCTCAGTGTTGGGGAGTTTTTCCACTGACTGGAGGATTAGTTATCACATTTTTCGTGGGTTTCAAGAAGTAGGATCCTCTCAAAGCAAACTTGATGTCCAAAAGGTCCAGCACTCGGTTTTCAAAACGACGCACCTTCTACTGATTCTACTGCTGTCGGTCTGCATAGGAATTATGACCCCTTTGCCGAATGTGACACAGGCCGGGCACAAACATGCAGCCTCAGATTCAGGGATGGGTTGGGTCATTTTGTCAGGCAGGATCATAGATTTTGATCATTTTTAGAAGTAAACTGACTGGCATTTTGTGGGACCAAAGTGTGACCATCTCTCTTATCTCAACATTATTGCAATTTGAAGCTGATCTGACATGATGCGATTGCAGCGTTTCTTTGCGGGCAGGAAAGTGAGGACACCCTTTGAATGTGACGTGGCATGGGTAGAGTATGGTAGAGTCTGGTAGAGCGTGAGGCGCATGTCGGGGAAACGGCGATGGCTTTTTGCTGTTTTTTTGCCCCGAGATATAGCAGAGAAGTTTGAGTTGTCAGCTTTGACTTCCCCGGTTTCGTAAGTCGCCCGTTCCACGTTCCCACAAAAAGCGCCAAGTGAAGCAAAGATCAGCCATCAAGTGGCATAGAGTTCCTTCGCGAAAGAGGCGTTGAATCCATGGGAAAGACCTAGGAAGATCTGCGGAGAAAGCATCGAAGCTGCCGCAGAGGTGATGATTGATGAAACAAAGGGCCAGAAGGATCGGGATAAAAAAGAACATTACATAGGCCATACTGTATTTGTGTCAAGGAATCTATCCCCAGATGGAATTTGTGACCAGTTGCACCAACTTGGCCTACACTTTTATGCTGGCAGCCGCTTTCTTCAGTATCAATCACCAAGTGGTTTGTTCAAGATGTTCGACTAAGCATCAGAATTTAGCAGCTCGTTTGAGGCAAAAACAGTACCCCTTTTCTGCCACACCAGACTAGTTGACCCACCCAACACAACACAGCCACCCCCCCCACCATCCTGAGATTTCATTGGAAATGTTGGAATATGAGAGTCACATTTCCAGCAATCAGATCAGAAGAATACCCCGCGGCTGCAGTCTTCCTGCTTTATGTCGTGGGTCTCGCTTTGCACCTACCATGGCCCGCATCTTAGAGGGCCGACAGCGCCGACCTTTGTGTCGTGCCACTAACATCTTTCCTGGATACCGAATAGAATGGCTAGTGACTGCAACAATATAATATAACATAGAAATATAGAACAAATAATCACACACACACACTAATATATATATATATGATATGTATATGGTATCCCTCCCGGTACCTATGTTTTAGCATTTTGGACTGTAATTTGCAGTGTTTTCATTACCTTTTTATGCTTGGCAAATGGGTAGTGCCATATACATACATGTATGCATATACACATGTATATATGGCTACGAGTCAAAATGTAAAGCCCCGATCCATACCCTGAACCCACAGGCCGATCCATACCCCCCGATCCATACCAAAACGCAGGTGATCCAGACTGATCCATACGTCTGGATCACCGCGGGCCGATCCATACCGGTAGGGTAGCATAGAAATGATTGGCAAAAGTTAAGCTGAATTTGTAGCAGGTTGTACCGGTACATTGCACTCACCAAAAAATTGCATCATACCGGGATGGTACATTGCACATGAGATGCTGAATTGAAGGAAATGTTTCACTCACCAGAAGAAGAACATTGCACATCCCAAAGGCCTTCACCCCTTCAATGGAAAATTGCACATCCCCAAAGAATACTGCGCATGTTTATCATACAAGCATTTTCTTAAGTAATGGTTTGTAAGGGATGCATTTGGTAAATACATGATGCCTTAGAAGCAAGATGATTCAGATTTGGTTTGGATTAATCTGGATTATATATACAATCCTAAGGATCAAATCATCAAAAAAACAAATAAAACACAAAGAAACCCAAAATACCTACCTGTGGTTTTGTGACTGATTGACATGGTTGGCGTTTGGCAGTAGTTTCGAGAGTCCCCCAAAACTCTTGGAGCAAATCTTAGGTATACCTAAGAACCTAAGACCCCAAGATTTGCTCAGGACTCTTGGGGGTTCTTAAGACAACTCAACCTTTTCAATATGACATATTAGCTCAACATCAATGTAAATTATACTTAAGACATTGTTTGGTAGGGACGAAATCGTCTGTGCACCCAATGAAAGAAGATAGCGCAAGGCTAAAATATAGGTACCGGGGGGGGGGGTTAGCATATATTTATATGTATAATATTCACCCTGTGGGGTTTGTCTCAAAATTTGAATTTCCCACATCCAATGAGTTTTCATCCTTGTCTGCAAATGTGGCCAGTTTGGATAACCCCTTCCGACCAAGAACAAAACATATTATAGAACCATATAGAAAGGATGGTTTAGTATTGGGTCTATTCATTTTGGGGGTCCATATGCGGGGTTATTCAATATTGGGTCTGTTGATGTTTAAGCTATGGCCGTTCTCTCAACTCTTGATGCCAGGATAGACACCACCGGAGTTGCTGATGGCGAGTGCTGAGTACCCAGGGCCGACATGTGGTTGTTTCATGTCGGCAGCTTCTGGTTCTTGGTGGGTTCATGAGGGAAAGAAGGGAAACATTGGAAGTTTCCGAAAATGGGGGACATAGAGGAAAACTGGGAAATTTGGTGGATAAAATCGGCGCTAGAAGTTTGTCATAACTTGGGGAAATAAGGGAAATAGACGGGCAGTTAAATATGATTTTTTCGTTGGGTATCTAAGGCTAGCCATAACTTCTTCCTCAAACTTGGGGAGGGATCTAGAATGGCTGATCTTATGGATAGAATCGGCAGCCTAAGAATCGGATTATTGACAATTGACAATTGCCAATGGCTCAAGAAAACATGGTTATTCATGGTTATTCCACATGACTAAGTGAAAACTTTGGGTGTAGAGCTTCCAACTAGTGGCTCGGTCGGTACAGGTACAAGCACTCCATCCTCTGGCGGGGAGAGGACCCCTGGTGATGAACACCTGGTCACTTGTGTGCTTCAAGTTGAATCACACACGCGCGCAGTCGCAACAATTCCCCATTTGTAGATGAATTGCTCAATAGCAGTGAGTTCCAAGGATGCGGATTCTTCCTTGCTGCTTTCCTGCTTACAGGACCCAACACAAAGCAGATTCAAGCCAGCTTATGATGGGACCAAGAAAGTTGCGAGGCCAGGATGTCTGGCTGTTCTCTAACTCAATGCTCTGCCATGATGTGCTACCTGTGAGGTATCGCCGAGGACAGGTTCCAGAATGGGCGGAAGAAGGAAAGAAGACTGAGAAGAAGAAAAGTCACGAGCTTAGGAAACTGGACGGATTCATCGGGTGAAACCTTTTCAGCTGATCCATACAGCGCGATTGGTATCACCTAGGAGAAGAGCCAGAGGAGGACCTGAAGAAGGTTGGTCTGCTTGCTTCAAAATGGGGGCAACATTTAGTGAATCTAAGGTCAGCGCCGAAATTTCTTGGCATTCGGATTTTGATGGAAGAATATAGCATACAGCTGAAGCTAATTTTTATCGGAGTAAGGCCATGAACATTGGGAGGTGTAGTGGTACCACAAATTTGAGAGCCAGGCCACTGCTGATTCCATTTATGATCATGATTTCCTATTAGAATGACCAACAGAATGAGAGGTCAACCCCATTTTGACACACCACCATACATTCACAAAATCCCACGTGGTTGGTTGTTTGATGTTGTCCCCAAGTTTCCCAGCACGTTTTCAGCTCTCAGGCTTCCAAACGGCGGCGCCAAGCGGCGGCAGTGATTCTGGAGAGCAAGGTGACCCTTGGGTCCTCAATCGTAGCTATTTTTTCCGGTTAGTGGGGTTTGAAGCGAGGAAAACAATGTGTCTTGGGACCAATCATATAATGTCATTGACCAAAATCATGTTATCACCAAGGCTGGGCGCAGTGTGTGCCCATATTACATATCGAATCTATCTATTGATCTACGGATCTGTCCATCTATTCATTTGTTCATCTATCCACATGCCCACGCTATCATAGATATACACTAGACTCTATAGTGCATGTACATACATATATATATATATACATACACACATGACAGGTTCTTAGTTCACCTCTGGCATGGTTGTTATCCAATCTAACTGCTCTTACCATTCTCCGATGACCATCCCCGATGGCCAGGCTTCAGACAGCGCCAGCAGCAGATTGGCTCGCCTGCAGCGTTCCGAAGCTGCGCCGGTGAGGGCCCAAGGGGCATCTGGTGGTGGCCATGAATCCACAAGCCTTGGGCGTTGCTGAATCAGATTCATCGGCTCCAACTGCAACCGGTCAGGCCACTGAAACAGGCACCCAGAGGTGGGGAAATACTCACCAGTGATAAATATGGACCAACACATCTTGAACATACCTAAAAGCACGAAGCAGTTCCTGGAGTTTCATGGATTGGATGTATGATACCTGGCCAATAAGAGATTCAGCCAAATGAGTCCCGTTGCTTTTCAGGCTCTTACGACATCGTCGTGTTGAAGAAGCCGTCATCCTTGAAAAGGAAGACGAAGATGAAGAAGATGAGATCGTTCTGCCCTTGGCACCCTCAGATTCGTTCCATTGCCTGCTGTAGATAAGACAAAGTCATTTTGTACGTGTGAATCAGACTACTAGTAGATTAATTGGTTCACCAGCATTTGTGCGGCACCAAGATCCAATTGCTAGCCCTGCAGGAGAAGAAGGAGGTCTTTAAAGAGGAACTGGACATGGATCTGAAGCCTACAGCACTGGCTGATGTTCCTTGCATGGTCTGGCGGTTTGATGTGCCGACATATTTTTGTTGAGGAGCCTGCTATCAGAGGCATCCCCAGGAAATAAACCTCTTGTGGGGTCAGGAAGTTCGCAAGTTTGAGGACGTTCCAACTAGCCCGGTTTCAGCTCGCTGAGGCCAGTTTTGACCTCGGGGCGGAGGATGAGGATTTAGAGATCCAACAAATCCGTTGGGATCCAAGTAGCTGGGGGATTTAATGCTGTGCCTGTGACACCAATAGTGGGATGACACGGGATGACCAGCATTTTCCGGGTATTTCCTGGAATTTGTAGTGGTGGATAAACCCCATATGTCTTGACCATGGATCGTAAGGATTTTTGCATGTCCTAAACTTTGAAAACAAGACCGTTGAGAATGGACGTGACAAGTCTGCTGACTGCAGTTTCGTACCTGGCTTGAAGCCACCAAGAATGCAGTTTCTTTTTGCTTCCTGAAACTGCATCCACCAGACAGACATGATACCAAAGACCGTGATGTCATGATCCTATGGCACTCAGTGAGACCGGGAAGCCTACTGGCATGACTATCTTGAGACATCCTATGGGTTTGACAAAGCTTGAGGTTGGACATCCAGGACTTGACATTGGGTATCAACATCCGTCCTCAGGGATTCCTCACTACAGCGGACCATCATCAAACGAGGTCGGGAAAGGCTTCGAGAAAGAGCCCTGTCCAAGCGAAAGATCGAGGAGGACGTCCTCAAGGTCTGCAACCCAGTCCGAATGTGAAGAATGTTGCAATTGCAATATTATCACCCAAAGTATTTTGACATTGCACCTGGAATCTGGAACTTTTCTCTGCCTTGCAGCATATAAATCATTTGTTTCCACAGCCAAATTGTAGAGGATCTCTGCAAACAACTGATTAACAGATGACTCTGAGGCAGAACTTGAAGATGAGCAGGAGGCGAATTCCCCTCAGCACCGTGCAACCTCATGTTCTCTGCAGTTTTTTGCCATGGATGTGGGGGAACCAGCAGGTACTGTGGGATCTTGTTTGAGTTTGCCTTTGTCTACTTTGTGTAGGTTGTCAGTTAATTTAGCGATCGTTTGCGGTATGATAGTGGTGCTGGCAGTAGATCAAAATGGCTTACAAGAAGTCTCGCTGAAAGCAAGGGAGTGATACCCCTCCAGATGCTTGCCAGGAGGTTCCTGATGAGGAGAGTGAATACGAGTCTGAATCAGATGAGGATGATAGGCCAGGTACGGTGCACGTTTGTCCCCCAAACTTTGGATCAGAAATGATACCCTGACACAAAAACATATAAACAATGGCTTTGCCAGAAAATAGGGTACCCCTAATTTTCCATCACTTTCCTCACAAACACTACCCATTTTGGGTATCCCGGCATCCATATAAGGCGTGGGCCTCTGATGAAGCCAGTTTTCGTCTCCAAGGCGAGACATGACTTGCTTGTTGTTGATGATGATGCGGCCGCCGATGATTTTGGCCATACTTTTAATGAACTATCATGACGACTGGTAGTAATGGAAGGTGAGTCTCGAAACTTGAAAGGAAGATTCGAAACTTGGAATATCGTGGAATACTCCCAAGCTCTGTGGTGTAGATCTTTGTCTATTTGGTGTTTCGCCATGAACAGATCAGGGAGACACTTTCTTTCGGGATGAGGAGGTCCAAGATGTTCCCCGCTCGAAGGCGAACAGAGAAACAGTGCGAGAAAAGGCCTGGGCCACTTTTCGAAAATTGGTTGATGGCAGGTCTCAATCCTTCGTTAGTGATGAGACCTGCCCATGTCATATTTTTGGTCTCCCTCTAAGAGTCGTAGAGACATTTCCGCTGTGATGTTCCAGTTGGGGGGTGAGAGATCTGACAGGAAATGATTGAAAAGGAGGAAGAGGATGCTCGCAGAAAAAAAGAAGTTCGCGCACTTGAGAGAAAGGCCTTTTGTGCGTCCGACGCACGCGCGTCAAATTTCAAAGGGGACCTTCTTGGTTGGCTCAGTTGGCGAAAAACTGAAGGTGAAATCCATTTCCAATTTTAGTGGTTTGAGGCTTTGTCCCCTGTCCAAAAGGAGCAAAACACAGCGTGAACTCTTGAAATGTGGTGACAACGGCCCTGGAAAAACCTGGCTGGTCTCCCTTCGGCTGCATCCAGGCGGAGTCAAAGGTCCTGGTCATCGACAAGATTCAGGAAGAAGCTGAGGCCCTGGAGATACTGCATCCGACGCCAGTTCTTGTTATGGGGCTTACTCCAAACGTCTCCAAACTAGAAATTGTTTGAAACTACACTAAGTACCAGTTTAACATAGTTTAACGGGGTCTTATAAGATGTTATACACCCTGCTATTAGTGGTAGGGCTCGGCCACAGGAGATTCGATTGCAAGCTGAAAAAAACTGCCCTCTGTCAGCTATGGGTGTGTCTGAAAATGGGTGATATCCCAAGTACGGTTTTTTAATATTTTTTAATGGGAAAAATATGATAAACCATGGTATCTTATGGATACGATTCCATATTACAAGTTATAACATGTCCACCTTTACCTATAATTCCACCAGACTCCAGACTTCAGCCCGGTTGTTCATGACCGGCTTCAGGCGGAACGCTTAGCGGGAGAGGAAGATGATCGATCAGACATCGAACTTATGGATGACGATGATGAGAAGAATGAAGCAGAAGAGTCTGATCCTCTGACTCTGATGGACTTGGATGCGGGGAGGATTTTGGGAATTTCCATGGTCTTTGGGAGTGGGCAAGCCGTCAAGATGCGCATTTCAGATAAATGATTAAAGGAGAAACACTTCCAACCTTTTGCGCTGAAGCAAAGAACCATTTTTTTTACAGTGAGCCTGACTGAACCCTGGGCAAAGGTGTGAAATTCAGATCCCAGTGGATCATTTGATCCAGGTACGAGCTCTGGAAAATCCGCGAGCTGAAGCGGATCAAGCGAGACAAGGAGGACGCCTGGTGGACACCTGGTGCTGGGAGCTGGGCCCACGATTTCAGGAGGTTGTGCCATGGAAGTTCAACTCATGGTTGCAGAGGTGCACTTAGAGGAAGTCCCTGGTGTTGTTACTTTAAACTGCAGTGGGCAAACATTTCAGGCAGCCAGTCCTTGTTCAAGGCCATCCTTCGTTCCACGGTGGTGTTTCTAGCCTTGACCCGTGCCCCAAAAGCCTCCAAAGCATAGTCCACTGCGTTGGTATCTTTCAGGAGCGCTTGCAACGGCAAAAGGAGATCGAGTTCGTGCTCAAGTGCGCAGCCCAAAACCACTTTGTCTAACAGCAATGGAACCGGTTTTCCTACCTGGACTTTGATATAAGGTGCATGTTAGGTCCCGATCAACTGTACATTTTTTATATGAGCTACAGCCAAAATTTACGGCAATGGAAAGTAGTATTCGAGGCGTCTCTATTTTTTGGAAACTGAGCTGATATTATCCTCTTATTAATTATATGTATAAGTTTCCCCTGGCAGACCATCCAATCAGGCTTTGAGTGCAGTGCTTGCTGACAGGCGAAGACAAATGACAGATGAAGAGCGGGCCAAAGATGATGCCAGGTGAGATCCATTGAAAGTCGTCCCTTTCAAAACAGCTCTGTTTTGGGGGACCTTGGGAGGGTTTTTCCAGTGATCATTCGGGTATCTGTATCATTCTGTATCATTCTGCATCTATATGTCAGCCTCATTCTGGGAGAGTTGTGGGAATCTTGTGGCCCGTGTTTGGGCCGTCGTATCTAGCACTCCTTCTCACATGTCCTTTGCACTGAACGCCTTTTGCAGGTAGAACTGACTCTCAGATGGTCTTGTTTTGAAAGGGAAGAGCAGGGTCTGGCCAAAAACGGGGATACTTCAGCCAGAAAATTTTCCCTCACACAGATGCGACAATTTCATGGATTTCTATCAGACTCGATCAAAGGGCAAAAAATTATCTGAAGCTGTTGCTGTACCCTCCGGACATAGCTTGCTGAAAGTTCCCCCATTTGGTTCTTATTAATGGTTAATGGCTATTAATGGTTTTTGATGGTTAATTATTTTTAATGGTTCCATATTATCTGTCCAATGGTTGGATGATTTTCCCAGCGAACTAAACCTTCATCTAGTTTGGGGAGTTCGCAGTGCCATCGTGATCACCGTGGCACATCTCTTCGCTGCGCCTGCCAGGCTTGACGCTGCGAATCCTAAGAGGGCGGAGGTGAAGCAGTTCAACTTCTTACAGCGACTTGGCGAATGGGCCCTGCTGATTCACGGGTATCGCGGCATCCTGAAGGGGGGCCCATTGTACTTCAGTTCGTAGTACAAGGATGCGCCTGATATTTTTGTTAGGGACCATCATTGAGGGTTCTGCTTGGAAAACCAGGAAGCAGTGACCTCAGTGACTTCGGATTTGAGCAACAAGAATGCGGATTGAACTGACTAACATGTAGGGTAAAACCACAATTCGTATCCATTTGTAGTGTTGTCAGATGGGGAGTCGGACAGCCCACCGTAGTGAAACCTTGCTATCGATGAAATGGTTGGCCCGACTTTGAGTTGGAGGCATAATTCTTGAGTCATCTCAAGAAAGCAGTGTTAAAGTGATCCCCATTTTATCCAATTCTTCCACGTCATACTTTACTTGCTTGGAGCGGAGAAACGCTTTTGGGTAGACCTCTGCGCAAGCTGACAATGATCCAACTTCGAAGCCTATTGGGTATCTCCAAGGCTCCAAAGGCTTGAGTGTGCAAGTCTGTTGGCTAGATCTTATTCATGGGAGCCAATTGATGAGAACAAAGCCCCGAAGCCGGGACTTTTCCTCTACCAACTCTTCCATGCCTCAGGAAGTACTATCACCGCGGTGGTTTCTTCCAGGTGCAGCTGATGTTGAGTTGCCATGTCCATGTCGGATCAACTGTGGGAAACCACCTGGGCAGCCAGGACAAAGCAGTATCTGGTGAAGAAGCGTCTGGGGATCTCAGATTTGCCAAAACCAGCTTGCAACGCCAAGCATAGATGTCCTTCTCCTACCGATTGGTTGATTAATACAGGGGCAAGCTCCCAAATGAACAAGGAGACAGACATCATTGATGCCAACTGACCTTCCGGATTCCAAGGCTCTATCTTCGGGATTATCACGAACCTCTTGAGGAAGAGAAGTGACCCTGCTGGCGCAACTGCAAAAAAATATGAGCTGCCGGTTGGTGACGGCATCAGGTATGACAAGCAGCTTTTGCCCAAAGCCATGCAGTTGAGGAGAGGTGAGTTTGGCAAAAAGGGCCAGGCGAGCCCCTGTTGTGACTGGTTCTATTCGGTTGGATGACTATGTCATGGCTAGCAACCATGATTGTAGCCAACTAATTGATCAATGGGATAACCCCAGATGACTAGCACCACCTGTCAGGTCAAACACTCACATCTCACCGATGTGGACACCACAGATATGTCAGCGGCATGGGCCCAAAGCTCCAAAGTCGTTCAGAGGCTTGGGGGCTTGGGGCCTTGAAGGATGCTACAGGATGTGTGCGGCAACAAGACCACTATGGGTGCAAGAATTACGACATGGCTTGAATGGTTGGACAATGCCACATTTGGGGGATTTGAATATCGCCCTTGAAGATGGTTTTTGGTACAGCTGTAAACCCAATGATGATAAACCACTTTCTTTGGTATATGATATAATATGATATAGTATGTATATATATATTATATGTGATATTATTATTACCGGTATCACTATTATTATTGTTTTGAAAAACCCCGCATGACAAGTCACGGGTTGGTTGAAGTATGGTTTATGGTTTTGGCTTACCAGACCAGTGATTCCAATGTTCATGCTGGTTGGCTGATGTTCAATAATGCATCCACTAGTGCAACAATTACAGATATATATATATTCAAATCACCCCAAAATTCATATGTGGCATGGCCAAAAGATGGAGGTATAGTCCCTATTAAGAACATCCCAATAGTAATATCTATTAATATTCCATTATAAAATAAAAATTAATATCTATTCAAATCCCATCATTAATCCCTCCCCCTTATAGGTAGGCTTTAATGCACCCATGATGTTTGGATTCCCCCAGTGAACTTCGCTGCAGGTACCAGGAAAAGATGGCAGCAGCCAAAGGCGTCGGAAACTTCGAACGTCCGTCAATGAAGAGCAGGTCTGCAGGGACTTGGATCAGGTTTGGGACTCATGGTGCAAGAAATCAATACCTACATCTCTGCACATAAATACACGCTATAATATATATATATATATATATGTATACATATATGTATACATATGTATATATATATATATATATATTAAACTGAAACTATATGATATTATCTGTAATTTGCACCACATGACAGGCATGCATAGACCGTTTGGGGACAGCAGAAAGTAGGTCATTGAATCATCCCATGCATGGCATCAATCATTTTGAGCCATGCCCGCCCAGGGGGGAGGCCTAACCGCCGCGGCTCTGGGGCGGATGGCGCCGCGCAACGTGGAAAAACAATGCCTGGAGCCAGGGTGCAAATGGACTGGCTGTTTTTAAGACTATAACCATCCAATTTCAGGATTTTCGATGACTTGAGCCCAACCCCAAGTCATCATGAGTTACTTCGGACTAGGGGGGTTGAACATGGCAACACCACAGATGACCTCTGTAGGGCGCTCGGTCGGCTTGTGCTCACAGGCATAGACTTGACCAATGACCAAACTATCGAGTTGATGACGGTCGCACTGTCATGGTGTGTCCACATGATCAGCCTCATCAGCTTGACGAATCAGATTCAAGATGAGCTTCAACTTGGTAGCAACTGTGATATGCAAGTTTTCCTTGTCGAACACTCAACTTTCATCAATAGGATCACGCTTTTCAATGCCCTGCCGGCTGGCGACCTGGCGCCCAGGCAGGCGCCAGATCACCTTTATCATAGTATCCCTCATTCAATGGCTATGTGGGGGAGTATAAGCCATGAAAATTGCCATGAACAATGGCATAAAATGGCCGTTTGGACACATATACATATATATATATACACCCAATGTCAGACCCATTTGTTTCTGATTTGGGCCAAGTATTAATTTTTGCAATGCCATAAAAAGTTTTCCCAGCTGTTCTTTTTGAGGATATATCCTAAGCACTGTTGTGGATGGTCTATGACATGCATGGTCAACCATGTCCAAGAATCGTGATCACCCAAACGCATTACAGTACTTGATGGTGGCTTCGAACGCTTTCTATTCTTAAAACCCTGCTTGAAGTGATGTCACATACCCTCTGGTAAACTAACATAACTGTGGCAAATCACCATGTTCAATGGGAAAATCCACTATTTCTATTGCCATTTTCAATAGCTATTTTGACATAACCAGAGGGTAAATCCCGTATCATCCCATTATTCACCATTGTTAACCATTAAATCACCATTTTCCTAGTGGTTACATTACATCACCAGAGGGTAATGGCTGTGTTGAAATCTCCAGGTCATGGCTGAGGAGCCGGCCGAAAACAACGTGGATGCCGCGAATGCCGCGACTGCGAGTCCCACGAGGCGAGCGTGAAGCTGCGCTTTGTTCTGTCCAAAAGGTGGGGAAAATACCGAGACAAATGGTGAAACCATGGTGGTTTATCACCATTTTCATCCATTTTCCATATTTTTGAATGATCCGTATGATCCGTCCAGTAATTTTTTGGCACCAACAAAAATATGATGATCAATATGGTGCTCAAGCAGTCTAATACCATGGGGAAATGAACGTGGAATATTTGATCGTATATATATATATGTATGTATGTGTACATATATAATCATAAGCATATATACTATATATAAAATATTACGGCCAGGCGCTGTGTGTTGCCCGGAAAGTTCAAATGGCGTTTAAGCATTATCCTTCAACATGCTCAAACACCTGCGCAGGGCGACGAAGCCGACACCCTAAAACCCGGAAAACTTTGAATCCAAAACCAGACAACACTAATGTTAGTCTTGGCAACACACGGCGTTTGTGGGTAATATTATCCATCAATATGATGTATGGGGATGTCTGAACACAATTTATACTCCAAAAAGGGCAATTTTAATTGGCAAAGAGATGATCAAGCATGAAATCTTGGCGTACCCTTTTTCAATTGGTGCAAAGGAGGTTCAAGAGCTTCTGAATCAACTGAGTTGATTCCAGCCGGGTACTGTAATCCAGGTAACTTTGTTTCTTCCAATCCCCACAATGCTGGCAGAACAGGCCGGAACCCAGGTTGAAGCCATAGCCACCTGTTTTGACCCACTTGACTATGGGCCAAAATATCCGACCCCCTTAGTAACCCCCTTAGCACTGTATATCAAAAAGAACATGTTTGGTCCCGCAGACAATAGCCATGTCGACGCATGTCGATCCCCAGGATAGTCAAGGTGGATCCAGCCACCAAAGATGAAGTGGAAGCCTTCATCACTGACAACAGCATCCAACTCAGAGGAATTCTGAGCCAACTCAGTGGAGGGGTGTCTCTAAGGTGATCCTTAGGAAATAGTTCTGGAGTTTTGTGGTGGTTGAACATGGTTGAACATCAAGAACGACCGTAGACTGTAGGACCTGTAGGAGTTGCAACCCAGCCAGATCTCAGAGATCTCAGAGGGGTTAGCTTTGAAGCAAAGATCTGACAAAATCCCAGCAACTTCCAGTTTACCAAAAACGAAGGGCGCCCTCATCTGCTTCAACCTGGACCATTTCTGTGTCACTATGACCCAAAGGGTCATACTGACACCTCAAAAGTGTCAATAGAGCTGACCTTTCGGGGATTCACAGTGGGTTTACTAACCCCATGTGGGGATTTCTCGAAATTTGGGACCCCAAAATCTATTGTGGGGTTTCTTCCCAATTTGAAGACTAGGTAGCACATAACATCCCTCAAACATAGGCCAAATAAAGCTTAAGGGGTTGGAAGACGACTTTCCTCTAACAACGGGAGATTCTCAGGGTCAAAATTAGGTAATCCCATCCCCCTAATATTGCCCCCAAGAACGATTGTCTAGTAGGGGATGAAACCACATATGACTGGGACCATAGAATTGGGGGGTAAAAATCTTATTGGTCCCATTAAACCCATTAAACCATAGTATTTTTAACCCATATCATTATTCCCATTACCCATTAAATAGGATTTTTAACCCATATGATTATTCCCAAAAAAAACCAGCAACAGTTCTGTGGTCTCTGTTCAATCATCCCTTCCTCTATCTCCGAGGTCGTTGGATCGAAGATGCGGCTGCCGCGGAATTGCGCAACATGTCTCCGGAGGCCGCCAGCCCCGCAACCGGAAGGGGGGGAAATCAGAGATCGAACAAACTACAGGATCTGCATCGGATCTACATTGGATCTACAGGACACCACCAAGAACGGCCCAGGACCAGCGCCGCGTCATCAGTGCTGGTACATTGGTGCCGATCTCAGGCCTTGCCTGTGCGACTCAGGGGGGTTTAGCAAAAAAGCGATAAGCTGTTGCAAAAATGGTACCCTCCCAATTCTCAAGAGCCCTGGGGTTTAAAATTAGATCAGGGGTTGACATTACACAATGCTATAATTCGTTCCAAGTTCAATGCATGTTAAATTAGTGTGGACAACCAAAAGAGCGGCCCCAAATGACTTCACTAAAGAGGTTCAATTTTGGGGGAATCTATCCAACGTGGCAGAAAATAAATCAGGTCTCGGATTTCCAATCATCATTGAAGGAGATCCCAAGTCGTTTGCTATTCATATCTATGGGATTTCCTTGTAGCTAGGCTTATAGTACCTTCATTTCCTATACACTCAAAACATACTACATGAGATGTTCTGTCCATACCCTGCCAAGGTTAGTTGCCGCGATGCTGCTGGCGTGATGCGCTCACGTGTGCGACAGGCAGCACGAAAAGGGGTGCCTAGTACTTCAACGGGATTCTACTCGCGATTCATCTATAACTGATAGTATTCTAACTGATAGTATTCGACAACTAGAAATCATTTAAAGTGATTGTCACCATTTATTTGATTTATATATTATGTAGTAGTTAGAAACAGTAGGTAGTAATGGATTTACAATAAGCACAACTTCCACCAGTTCAGGGTAATTATAACCTCATTGACAACATGCGGGCCATGCGGGTATGGGTCACAATTTTATAGTCTCCAAGCCACAGATTCTCATCATGAGTATCATCAGAAACTACATCCTATTAGAAATCCTATTAGAATCTATTAGATTATTAGACTCAGACAGCTGTAAAGCATCTAATCTTTGAGTTCTTTGAGATCCCAGATTTTGATTCATACTGAGATCCAGAAAAGAACCTGGTCGAGGTCGAGATTCTCATTGTCAGCGATATATGCTTTTTCACCTAACGCAACACCAAAATGCTAATTGCTTGATGATTTCATCTGTGTTGTGACTTTACACTGTAAGCCAGTCATTTTGGCATGTCCCACCTGACTACATTTTGCATTTTGTTGGGGCGGATGGATTGAAACCACTCAGCAACCACTTCCCGTGACTGGCTTCGGATCGTGACTCGTGGCAGGCAAAAGAGAAGGAAGCCATCCTCTCAGCGCCTCGGCTTTGATCAGTGCGACACCATCTTGCGATGGCTGCGCCCTGATTCAGGGATGGAAACAACAAAAAGTGCAGTGCGCTTGTGCAAGGTTTTTATGCAGACGTCCCGGACTGCATGTTGCACGTTTTTGCAGACATGGTCAGTTTTTAAAGAGCAGCTTTAAGTTCAAGATGCGCGGATGTTCTTTCTCGTTCCATGGCGAATCGTGACCTGTATGAAGAGACTCCCTCTGTCAAAGTGCAGGTCTTCTCCGGTGGCCATGGTCCAGAAAAGGCCAGATGGTATGAGGTGAATATGAACGCTTCATGGTTTGACACTTTTGAAGGCTGGCTTGATGAAGACCCAACGGGGTACCGCATCACGATTTTCCGCATTGCGGGACAGCCTGACAGCACAGAAGATGCGGTCTTTGATGGTGGCTGCCTTGATGCCATTCACAAGTCCACATTGCGAGACCCAGACACTCCTTGTGAGGAGATTTGGGGTTCGCTACTGAAAGTGACACTTGCCAACAATGAGTCCTTTTGCTTGGGAGCAAATCCGAGTGACCATTGGCTCACACTGTCTTTGCTTTCTGCTCCACCTTGTCACGTTGCAAAGTTCGATGTGCACAACAGATTTCACGAGGGCAACGACAGCATCCTAAGTGGGCCAAAGGTGCTTCATCAACGTCATCTCTGCCCAACGACAATCTTAGTGCATGGACTGCATGGACAGGCGACCGCACGTGCTTCAGGTTACAGCCGAAGCCTTTTTTTTTTGGAGATGCCAGTGATTTGCAGAGGAGATTACTACAAGGCACTGAGTCGCCTCTTGAGAGTTTGGTGTTGAGAGAGCTCCAGGCAGATACCGACAATCCATGGAGTTGAAAGATGCAAAGACAGCACATGATTTCTGCTGACAGGACCCATACTGGTCTTGGAAAGGAGAAAGAGAAGTTGTGTGCCACAATTTTTGGAAAGATGATGCATGACCTTGACCGTGAAGAACAGAAACTGCAGACACAGAATTTGTGGTGGCATCACTGGACCGTACCTCAACGGAAGCGGGACATGATGCCTTTGAGATGCTGAAATCCCAAGAAAGTTGGACCAAAAACCGCAGTTGGTGATCACCAGATAGAGAGGTAGACTCAGGAATTGTCCAGCACAGCCGTGCAACCACAGAAAAAGCAGTCTACTGCGTTGAAACCCACAAGAGCCACAGGAGGAAATCCATGGAAGTTCAGTTCACCCCTGGGGAAGAACCGTTAGAGTTAGAGATGTGATTTGAGACTGTTCGATCCAATTGGAAACAGAGCCTCTGTCACTGAGAGCTCACTATGTCAAGAAGGTGAAAAGTGAAAAACCTCAAAGAACTGAATCTTTTACGAAGTCTACCACCAGAGTTTGAAACATAATGAGGTCACAGCCTGCTTCCCAGAGATTAAGTGCAGCATTGTCAGCCCGCCCATTGGTTCTACACATAGTTGATTAAGTCCTGAGTCCTGAGCGTTGTGCAGCCATGGGGATGTACTAATAACATCTAATAATAATAACTACCGCAGAACTTTTTCGGTTGGACTGTATTCACCTCTTGAAGCTCTCTCCCACAAAGCGCATGCACTTGTGAACAGCGTTGCGAGAAGTCATGTTGTTGCGTATTTTGCAACTTTTCTTGACCTCACCTGAACCCTCGGAGTATCCTTTCTTTCACCCTCCTTCTCATTTCAAGATACTCAGCTTTGTGTGTGTCAGGTACTGTGTAGACAATGAATGCAGCAGCATAGGCCTTCAGCAGCTTTTGTTTTCACCAAGACTTTGCATGTAGTCAGTGCCACTGATGGATAATACTGAATATATGAATGAACATCACCTTATCATATGAACATATCAAATAGATTGCCATTCGATATTTTAAAGAAAAGGGACCAGTCTAAGCAATACAAACCATTCTAGGCTATTGCCTTCTTATATATGTATATATATAGACACATATTATATACATACGTGTATATGTATTTTCATAGTGTGTTTTTATTTTGACTATTGTTCATTTTGCCTTTGGTGTGCATGGCGTTGTTTTGATATATGTTGGTGATTGTTCTATATTCCCGTGGATATCTTGGATCACCACTAAGGGCGCCCACTTAACGGAAGCCGCCGGGGATCCCGGGCAAGGGTGGTGAAGAATGGGGGGTACCTCCAAATCATCCATGGTGACTTGGGGATCCCTCATGACTTCAGAAACCCTCTGCACTCTGACAAGGCAACATGAAGGTGGATACGTATGTCCCCAAACCTTGGGAAGCGTCCAACGATATATCAAAACAGTCTGAAATGGTTGGAGTCTTCGCCTTTTTCTAGGACATGCCCGTATCTCGTCACTCTGCTGGAACGTCATGTGTGAAAGCTTCACCAAAACCGGCCCAGAAGTCACTGCATTGGAAGTGGATTGAACAGGACATGCACTGAGTAGAGCTCCAATGTGTAGGCTTCAGCGTCAACCGTCAACCTTGAAGTCATGTCTCCTGTGACTCTTTTTTTTCAGGAAACCACATTTCTATCCAAAGTGACTTTGCTAAAACAGATGTGAACACATCCACTTGGATTGTGCTTCTAGTCTTCAGCCCACGCCCTCGGGTCCGGGATAACAACATGGCAGAGAGGGAAATGAAGCGGAAGATGGTTTCCTTGATGGATTTGACCACCCTCGACAAGGAAGGTGACACAGAAGACAAGGTCAAACAACTGGTGGAGAAAGGCTCAATTGCGAATGCGCTACAGACAGAGGTACGGATGGGCTTGTGGAATCATGTCCGTCGGGCCTGAGGCTAGTGGGCTACCACTTAATAACCACTACATAACAGAACAATCTTCAATGAGATCCTTGAAGGAAATCCAGACTCTCACCTTAGGGCCTTAGGGCCGGCCAAGAACAGGCACAGAGTTGCTCCAGCCCACCGGTCTGTATGGACAAAAGTAGAGAAACCCCTTCCAAACCCAGGACATATGTATATATATAATTATATATACATATATATTGTGCATATTCATGGACTCGAACCACCATCAGGTAGTTAAACATACTAAACATATCGATTCCAACCCCATTCTTACTCCACTTCATGGTTGGGAGTCCTTTTTTGGTACACATATATACACACATACACTATATGTATAACGGCGGTATCTCTCTCTCTCTCTACATATACATACATATATATATATATATATATATACATACACATAAGTACATACGTACATACATATATACGATGCAACTATATATTATTCAACAATGATATATGTATCATATTATATATATACACACATATATATAACACTATCTCTCTATCTTTCTATCCATCTGTCTGTCGATCGATCTATTTATCTATCTATCCCACCACAATCTTCGTTCCACGTTTGCCCGTTTCGGCACCGGTCAGGTGGCCGCTGTTTGTGTGTACCCCGAGTTCGTGCCCGCGGCAAAGAAACAGATCGCTGCCCTGGGGTGCCAGATGCGCGTGGCCACCGTGGTGAATTTTCCCAGTGGAGATGGTGAAGTTGAGCAGATCAAACTGGAAACTCGGGCTGGGGACAGGAAAAACTCTCTGAAATCAAAAGTCCTTTTATTTAGAGTTGTGTTGCAACTCAAAATCAGTTTGAATTCTTGTTTGAGTTGTGTTTCAACTCAAAATCAGTTCGACTTCTTTTTTTGAGTTGTGTTGCAACTCAAAATCAGTTTGAATTCTTTTTTGAGTTGTGTTGCAACTCAAAATCAGTTTGAATTCTTGTTTGAGTTGTGTTTCAACTCAAAATCAGTTCGACTTCTTTTTTTGAGTTGTGTTGCAACTCAAAATCAGTTCGACTTCTTTTTTTGAGTTGTGTTGCAACTCAAAATCAGTTTGAATTCTTGTTTGAGTTGTGTTTCAACTCAAAATCAGTTCGACTTCTTTTTTTGAGTTGTGTTGCAACTCAAAATCAGTTTGAATTCTTGTTTGAGTTGTGTTTCAACTCAAAATCAGTTCGACTTCTTTTTTTGAGTTGTGTTGCAACTCAAAATCAGTTTGAATTCTTGTTTGAGTTGTGTTTCAACTCAAAATCAGTTCGACTTCTTATTTTGAATTGTGTTGCAACTCAAAATCAGTTTGAATTCTTTTTTGAGTTGTGTTGCAACTCAAAATCAGTTTGAATTCTTGTTTGAGTTGTGTTGCAACTCAAAATCAGTTTGAATTCTTATTTGAGTTGTGTTTCAACTCAAAATCAGTTCGACTTCTTTTTTTGAGTTGTGTTGCAACTCAAATTCAGTTCGACTTCTTTTTTTGAGTTGTGTTGCAACTCAAAATCAGTTTGAATTCTTGTTTGAGTTGTGTTTCAACTCAAAATCAGTTCGACTTCTTTTTTTGAGTTGTGTTGCAACTCAAAGTTTGATTCTGTTTGAGTTGTGTTTCAACTCAAAATCAGTTCGACTTCTTTTTTTGAGTTGTGTTGCAACTCAAAATCAGTTTGAATTCTTTTTGAGTTGTGTTGCAACTCAAAATCAGTTCGACTTCTTTTTTTGAGTTGTGTTGCAACTCAAAATCAGTTTGAATTCTTGTTTGAGTTGTGTTTCAACTCAAAATCAGTTCGACTTCTTTTTTTGAGTTGTGTTGCAACTCAAAATCAGTTTGAATTCTTTTTTGAGTTGTGTTGCAACTCAAACTCAGTTTGAACTCTTTTTTGAGTTGTGTTGCAACTATCAGTTTGAATTCTCTTTTTGAGTTGTGTTGCAATTCAAAATCAGCTTGAATTCCTTTTTTAATTGCAGTTGTGTTGCAACAAAGAATCAGTTTGAATTCTTTTTTGAGTTGTGTTGCAACTCAAAATCAGTTTGATTTTTTTGAGTTGGGTTGCAACTCGAAATTGGTTAATCAGTTTGAATTCTTTTTTGATTTGTGTTGCAACTCAAAATTAGTTTGAACTCTTTTTTGGAGTGGTGTTGCAACTCAAAATCAGTTTCATATGGTTTTTTTTTGAGTTTGTGTTGCAGCTCAAAATCAGTTAACCAGTTTGATTTTTTTTGAGTTGTGTTGCAACTCAACATCGGTTTGCATTCTTTTTTTGAGTTGTGTTGCAACTCAAAATCAGCTTGAATTCTTTTATGAGTTGTGTTGCAACTCAAAATCAGCTTGAATTCTTTTATGAGTTGTGTTGCAACTCAAAATCAGTGTGAATTCTTTTTTCAGCTGTGTTGCAACTCAAAATCAGTTTGAATTCTTTTTTGAGTTGTGTTGCAACTCAAAATCAGCTTGAATTCGTTTTTGAGCTGTGTTGCAACTCAAAAAAATCTTTTTTGAGTTGTGTTGCAACTATAAGTTTGATTTTTTTTTGAGTTGTGTTGAAACTCAAAATCAGTTTGAATTCTTTTTTGAGTTGTGTTGCAACTCAAAACCAGTTTGAATTCTTTTTTGAGTTGTGTTGCAACTCAAACTCAGTTTGAATTCTTTTTTTGAGTTGTGTTGCAACAGTTTGATTTTTTTTTGAGTTGTGTTGCAACTATCAGTTTGATTTTTTTTTGGAGTTCTGTTGAACATCAAAATAATTTTGAATTCTTTTTTGACTTGTATTGCAACTCAAAATCAGTTTGTTTTGTTTTTTTGAGTTGTGTTGCATCTCAAACTCAGTTTGAATTCTTGTTTGAGTTGTGTTGCAACTCAAAATCAGTTTCAATTCTTTTTTGAGTCGTGCTGCAAATCAGAATCAGTGAATCAGTTCGAATTCTTTTTCGAGTTGTGTTGCAGCTCAAAATAAATTTGAATTCTATTTTGAGTTGTGTTGCAAGTCAAGATCAGTTTGAATTCTTTTTTGAGTTTTGTTGCAACTCAAAACCAGTTTGAATTCTTTTGTGAGTTGTGTTGCAACTAAAAATCAGTTTGAATTCTTTTTTGAATTGTGTTGCAACTCAAAATCAGTTTTTTCTTTGAGTTGTGTTGCAACTCAAAACCAGTTTGAATTCTTTTTTGAGTTGTGTTGCAACTCAAAATCAGTTAATTAGTTTGAATTCTTTTTTGAGATGTGTTGCAACTCAAAATGAGTTTGAATTCTTTTTTGAGTTGTGTTGCAACTCAAAATCAGTTTGAATTCTATTTTCAGTTGTGTTGCAACTCACAATCAGTTCAATTTCTTTTTTGAGTTGTGTTGCAACTCAAAAATCATTTTGATTTGTTTTTTTTGAGTTGTGCTGCAACTTTCAGTTTGAATTCTTTTTTTTGAGTTGTGTTTCAACTATCAGTTGGAATTCTTTTTTGAGATGTGTTGCAACTCAAAATCGGTTCAAATTCCTTTTTTTTTTGAGTTGTGTTGCAACTCAAAATCAGTTTTTTTTAGTTGTTTTGCAACTCAAAATTAGTTAATCAGTTTGATATCTTTTTAAAGTTGTGTTGCAACTCAAAATCAGTTTCAATTCTTTTTTGAGTTGTGTTGCAACTCAAAATCAGTTTTTTTTTTTTTTTGGAGTTGTGTTGCAACTCAGAGTCGAGTTCCGGTTAATCAGTTTGATTTTTTGTTTTTCGAGTTGTGTTGCAACTCAAAATCAGTTCGAATTCTTTTTTGAGTTGTGTTGCAACTCAAACTCAGTTTGAATTCTTTTTTGAGTTGTGATGCAACTCAAAATCAGTTTGAATTCTTCTTTGAGTTGTGTTGCAACTCAAAATCAGGTTGATTTTTTTTTGTGAGTTGTGTTGCAACTCAAACTCAGTTTGATTTTTTTTTTGAGTTGTGATGCAACTCAAAATCAGTTTGGATTCTTCTTTGAGTTGTGTTGCAACTCAAAATCAGTTTGATTTTTTTTTTGAGTTGTGCTGCAACTCTCAGTTTGAATTCTTTTTTTGAGTTGTGTTTCAACTATCAGTTTGAATTCTTTTTTGAGTGGTGTTGCAGCTCAAAATCAATTTGAATTTTATTTTGAGTTGTGTTGGAAGTCAAGATCAGTTTGAATTCTTTTTTGAGTTGTGTTGAAACTCAAAATCAGTTGGAATTCTTTTTTGAGTTGTGTTGCGACTCAAAATCAGTTTGAATTCTTTTTTGAGTTGTATTGCGACTCAAAATCAGTTTGATTTTTTTGAGTTGTGTTGCAACTCAAAATCAGTTTGAACTCTGCTTTGAGTTGTGTTGAAACTCAAGACCAGTTTGAATTCTGTTTTGAGTTGTGTTGCAACTCAAAATCAGTTTGAGTTTGAATTCTTTTTTGAGTTTTGTTGCAACTCAAAACCAGTTTGAATTCTTTTGTGAGTTGTGTTGCAACTAAAAATCAGTTTGAATTCTTTTTTGAGTTGTGTTGCAACTCAAAATCAGTTTGAATTCTTTTTTCAGTTGTGGTGCAACTATCAGTTTGATTTTTTTTTTGAGTTGTGTTGCAACTCAAAATCAGTTTGAATTCTTTTTTGAGTTGTGTTGCAACTATCAGTTTGATTTTTTTGAGTTGTGTTGCAACTCAAAATAAGTTTGAATTCTTTTTTGAGTTGTATTGCAACTCAAAATCAGTTTTTTTTTAGTTGTTTTGCAACTCAAAATTAGTTAATCAGTTTGAATTCTTTTTCGAATTGTGTTGCAACTCAAAATCAGTTTGAATTCTTTTTCGAATTGTGTTGCAACTCAAAATCAGTTTGAATTCTTTTTCGAATTGTGTTGCAACTCAAAATCAGTTTGAATTCTTTTTCGAATTGTGTTGCAACTCAAAATCAGTTTGAATTCTTTTTCGAATTGTGTTGCAACTCAAAACCAGTTTGAATTCTTTTTTGAGTTGTGTTGCAACTCAACATCAGTTTGATTTTTTTTTTCAGTTGTGTTGAAACTCAAAATCAGTTTGAATTCTTTTTCGAATTGTGTTGCAACTCAAAATCAGTTTGAATTCTTTTTCGAATTGTGTTGCAACTCAAAATCAGTTTGAATTCTTTTTCGAATTGTGTTGCAACTCAAAATCAGTTTGAATTCTTTTTCGAATTGTGTTGCAACTCAAAATCAGTTTGAATTCTTTTTCGAATTGTGTTGCAACTCAAAATCAGTTTGAATTCTTTTTCGAATTGTGTTGCAACTCAAAATCAGTTTCGAATTGTGTTGCAACTCAAAATCAGTTTGAATTCTTTTTCGAATTGTGTTGCAACTCAAAATCAGTTTGAATTCTTTTTCGAATTGTGTTGCAACTCAAAATCAGTTTGAATTCTTTTTTGAGTTGTGTTGCAACTCAAAATCAGTTTGAGTTCTTTTTTGAGTTGTGTTGCAACTCAAAATCAGTTTGAATTCTTTTTCGAATTGTGTTACAACTCAAAATCAGTTTGAATTCTTTTTCGAATTGTGTTGCAACTCAAAATCAGTTTGAGTTCTTTTTTGAGTTGTGTTGCAACTCAAAATCAGTTTGAGTTCTTTTTTGAGTTGTGTTGCAACTCAAAATCAGTTTGAATTCTTTTTCGAATTGTGTTGCAACTCAAAATCAGTTTGAATTCTTTTTCGAATTGTGTTGCAACTCAAAATCAGATCCACCATGACATGGGACAAACGACACATGGTATCCATGGTACTTCCGGGTGTTTTTTCTTAAGGACACCAAAGGAGCACTGGATGCTGGGGCAGATGAGATCGACCTGGTGATCTGCTACAAGGACTACCTGCAAAGTGCCAAGTCGAGCAGGTCTTGCCAGTTGGTTCATGGTGTCAAGGAGGTGATCCAGCAGCATGGCCGGGGATGTTTGAAGGTGATCCTGGAAACGGGCGACTTGTGCTGGTGGTTTGAGGAATGTTTTCATTCGTTCACATTTTGAATGTGACAGATTTTAGTTGTGTGTTTCTGAACAAAATCATTCCTTTGAAGGATTTCCATCCAAAAAAAATCATCCATGGGTGACTTCTTGGTGGGTGTCCAATACTTTACCGAATTTGCCATCCCAACAAAATGGGCATGACTCAACACAACATTGGAAATGTTTGGGACTATGCCATCTTTATCCATCTTTTTTTCCCCAGGAGTCAATGATTTCGAACAATCTTCAAAATATGTTTATTTCGATGATGATGATGATGATGATGATGATGCTTCTGATCCCTGGTGATCCCTAATGAGTTCCTACCAGCACCAGCGCAGCAGGTGAGTTGAAGAGCTCGGATCTCATCCAGAAGTCTGCCGAGGATGCCCTTCAGCATGGAGCTGACTTTCTGAAGACTTCCACTGGTAAGACACCTGCAGGTGCAAGCCTGGAGGCAGCCAGAGTGATGCTGCAAGTCATCAAAGCTGCCGGTGAAGCTGGCTCGACAAAAGTCTGTGGTTTGAAGATTTCCGGTGGCGTTCGCACTTTTGAAGATGCTCTGGGATACATTCGTTTGGTTGAAGAGGTCCTCCCTGACAGTGCCGATTTCTTGAGGCCAGAGACTTTTCGATTTGGAGTGAGTGGATTGCTTGCCAACTTGCTGAGGGAAGATGCAAAGGTGGAATCTGGCTCAGCGTACTAAAACTTTTTAAGACTACCTGGGCGATTGGCCCGGAGCACCCAATGCAGGGCACACCATGAAACTCGTGGTGATGCAACGTTTGAACCGCACAAGGGGTGCGATGCTGAACGGATCGTCTCTGCACGTTGGAGATGGAACCTCTGCAAAAGCCGGTTGAGGCAGCCTGGGTTCACTTGGTAGCTTCCCCCAGCTTGAAAACCCCTAGAGTCAACCCTTTGCAAAATGTCACTGTTGATTCTGAAGCAACACTATGGAACTGCATGGCTTTTAGCACCTTTCACGATTTCACTCTTTTGAAGCCATGTCGGGAAAATCTGTCCGAGGCATCCAGTACCAAGCTTTCGAGACCGGCGACCAAAGAGGAGGTTGAGGTGTCATGGTGGCTCAGGGCAGCTGCGGATGGTGATTTGGGTTGTCCAAAACTTGGGACCCCCAGGGCTTGACAGAAGGGGGAACCTTATCTGCTTGTGGAGTGTCCAACATTTGTGGATCTGCAGAGACATGAATTTCAGAAGTATGCCAGGACTGCCCGAACTTGGCCTGGGATTGTCTCAAGTGATAACGCACTGCTATAGATATGATAAGAAGCATACGTGATCCGGCACTTGAAGTAACGTCTCAAGTGCAGGAACTAAATGGGCTTGGCGCACACATCGGATACAGTACCACTACTGTAGTCGCACAGATTCTTGTTCCTTCTTTAACCGTTCAGTTTCAGGGGCAAACCATGCACAGAAGAGAATACCATCACCCGGGGAAGCAAATTTTTGCAAAGAGATCACCACTAGTTGATGCTTAAACTACCATCCCAAACATTTGCATCATCCAATTCACATATATATATATAATATATATATATAATATATATATATATAATATATATATAATATATATATATAATATATAATATATATATATATATAATATATATATAGATTCATAGATTAGGTGTTTCCAAGAATTTGGGCATCCCAAAACCATTGCTTTCCCTGAATCATGACCAACTTCCGTGCAGGCCTTTATCACGGCCAATCGAAAGTGGATGACGCCAGAGGTGCTTGGGATACAAAAATCAAAGGTGAAATCCCCCATTGGTTGAAAGACCTTAGGATCTACCCATCCAAAAAAAGGCAAACAACCAGATTAAACCAGCGATTCAATCAAGAAGACATGAGGGGCAAATATAGCTATCGAATGGAGATCTACCAAGAAGTCTATGTAACATTCGCAAAGAACATGGGGATGTTCGTAGGATTGTTGGTGATCAATCTATCAGATGTGGTTGGCTTTTTTCGGCTGGTTATGTCGAGCCTGGCACCAACTGAAAGGATTCGATGGAAATCCAAATCTGGGACCGTGTTCCATTGGTCAATATACCATTATGTAGCATTGCCAATGGCTGATATATCCTGAATTGATATCTCATTGATCTATGGCTCCCAATTGCTGATGACAAGATTAATATCTCCCATCTATTACTATTACGTACAAGCCATGCATTTTGCATATTAATCAATTGAAAGGAATCACCGAATCACTTGATATCTGATTCAATTGAATCCAATCTCATCGAATCTAAGATGAAACGATGCCACGCGACTTCTTGCACACACATCCATCCATGGAGGCCTTACAAAAAACAGTAGCTCTCCCTGCAATGAAGCGTCAAATGCTTTCTCCTTGAAATTTATAGAGTTGATGAACGGCCAGCATCGCTGCCAGTCGGAAGAGATCATGAAACTGATGAACCCGCTTGACCAGAAGCGCGTCATTTCGGGCGGGACCCGATGGCCAACCACGGCCGGGGGCTGGATGGGAGCACAAAATTGTGGTGCTGGAGTGATTTGCATAAAAGGCAGAAGAAAACTTTGAAGAACAGGTAAAGAAGCAAACAACCAGGAGAGAATCTTATCTTACTGTAGTTTGCATAGAATCAACAAAATCATCCAAAGGAGCGGCTGTAAATCGCTTCAGCTTGCAGCCAAGTCGGCTCAACCACAAATTCTCAGAGGATTCTCTTTTGAAGGCGAGTCATAGCCATGGCACGCGGTGCATTTCTGGCGTTGCTCGTTAGCAGAGCCTATGGTTTCCTGAACATGGAACCCTCCAACTGCCTGCAGAACAACCTGAGATTCGGTGCGCAACAATTGGTCAGTGCGGGCTTTTCTGAGGTCTGCTGCAAGGTGCCACAGCATTTTGCGGAACCTGCTGGCTCTCTGAATAAAGTGTCCTTTTGGTCAGAAGTGAGACTTGGATATGCTGAAGGTGTATTGAATTAAACCATATTAAACCCAATTTATTTTCCCATTGGTTCACCCACCATTTCAAGGCATTTGCTGATGGTTTTTGTTTCTTGAGGGCCCCTGTTCGGCAAATCCGAGGAAAAAGGATGGTGGAACCGTGACGTTCTACGATGCGCAGTGTGGTATTCCTCTCTTCAAGGCACCCAAGGGAAGAAGTATGGAGGCCTTTGAGACCGAGAGTCGGCGCCATGGCTGGCCATCCTTTAGAGATGAGGAGCTGGTCAAAGAGAACATTGAGATCCGCGATGGTGGTGAAGTGGTCTCCAAATGTGGCACCCACTTGGGTCACAATCTTCCGGATGCCGCCAGAAATCGCTATTGCATCGACCTGCTGTGCATTGCTGGCAAACCCAGGTAGGGATGGTAGGGACCCATTGGCGGATCGTACAGGGACCGCGAAAAGCAGAGGAAAAAATACGGCCAGGTGCCCCTTTACGAGGTCATGGCAACAGTTTCATTGGTCGCAAGCGTTGAGAAAAGCCCACTATAGCCGATAGCCCACTCTTTCCGAAACCTTTCACATCTGAGATTTTTTTAAAATATAGGTTTTATGGAAGATTTAGAGGAACTCCCCAAAAATTACAGTACAACGGTACAACAATAGAGTTTTTTTTGACAACAATGGTAACAACATAGAACAGCCACAGCCATGGTTTCCTGTATTTGGTGGCTCGCAGGACCCTCTCAGGCTGCAGAGATTCTGTGGCCGTGCTGCAGACTCGCGCGAAGCGGGGGCGGGAGATGGAGGCCCAGCAGTCAGGGATCAATCCTGAAGGTTATTCTGATTCAATATGTGTATAAAGGATAGACTATGTGATAGGCTCCACACACTACATATATTTCTTGTATAATTCCAATTTATACACATATGACATATGATATCCTATGATATTATATATATATATAGTTTTTTGGTCAATGGGTATACCTCATGCATACTTGTTGGATACTTGTCAAGGAAGACTTCATGTTGGTAGATGCGTATGACGTGTATCTCTCAGTCAGAAGGAATTTGGGTGCAATAAATCAAGGGGGTGGCAACTAGTTCCCGCGGCCAACAATTGACTCGCTTGTACTCATTTGCAGACTGCATGTAAGTATATGTAAGTCACATTCGTTGAGACAAATCTAAGTATTCTCCTCAACCAGCCCGGAAACTGAATCTGCTAGTCGACTCACTTGCCACAGCCTGGTTTCATCCACCACATTCATGGTCCACTGTAGTTGGTTGGTGGTTTCCACCTTTTCTCCATTTCCATCCATCCGCATCCAGCCAAAATGGGATCACCAAAGGGTCAATTCATAAAAATCCGTGAAAATCATGGAAGATCCCATGGTTCATATGGTTCGCTGAAGGAAGCATGGTATGACTAGCCCTTGTATCTCACTATAGGATGCCCCTATCAAAACGGCTGGGCAGTTGGAGTTTGAGATGATCGCCAGCGGCAAGAAGGTGGAGCCACCCAAGGTCCTTTCCGACGGAGGTATAGTCGGTATACTCTTAGATATCAGATGATATGCTTAGTTTATGGTCAATCAATGGTGAGTCATGGGGGTATCAATAGTGGATGATGGAGAATTGATGGATCATTGGAAGAATCTGGGAAACCCAATGCCATAAACCAGCAGTTTATAGCATATATTAGGGCAATTTTTCGGGATGGTTCATTTTTGTGTTTGCCACATTACATGACATTAGGGGAATGGCTCAAAAAATCACATGCCTCCAACAATATTAATGACCTATTGTAGTATTTCAATGTATTTCACCATCATTATTGGATCATATTGGCTGTTAATTAGATGGTGAAATACTCAACATAGAATTGGATGATGGGAAAATTTACAGGAAAGCCCTATATTTGATGGTAAAAACCATGGTTTCCTGTAGATTTTCCCTTAAATCAATCCAATGAACTAAACACATGACCAAACCGCTTGGGTGTTCAGTGGCGCCCTGGCTGGTCACCATCTGCCGGCCAGCCTGCTGCGGAGCAGATGCCGCTGCCCCTCTTTTCCGCGGAGGCGGCCCGGGCGTTCATCCACGCCACGCCACAGGCGGGGTCGTCGAGCTTGGCCCAGTGCGGCATGGCATGAAATCAACGGAAAATCATGCGAAGCCCTGTAGAGAGTTGATGATTTTTTTAGTTCTTGATGTTTTTTCGAGATCAAGAACATCTTCATTTTTCGATCTTTGTTTTCGATGTTTCCAGTGTTCCCTATGTTGCGTCCTATGTCGGATCCCACCACCGTCCCCGTTCCGCCAGGAGGTCCGTGTGGAGCACTCGCGCTTTGCCTCCGCAGCGGAGCCAGAGAGCTTTGTGACCGAGGAGACCTCTGGACCTTTGGTCGGAGAGGCCGCTCAAGGGCCCTTGCGAACCTGCTGCTGGGGGTTTGGAGGGATCCTTGTGAGATTTTTGTTGGTTGCATTGATTAGTTGCGACGTTGCGACTGACTCATTTGTCGCATTTTTCCTTCGGAGGCCTTGTGTTGCCTCCCAAAGAAAAATGAGATGATGGTTGAGTTGGTCGTTGGTCAACGAATCATGGGAAGATTGCGAAAGATGGGGAGATCAGCAAGAAAGGTAATACCTCTTACAATGCTGACCCAGCCTGTCAGGGGATCCAAATCCGCTCATGTCCCACGCCACAGGTCAAAGGTATTGGTGGAGTCATCGAAATGCTCCGTGCAGTCCTTGGTGATGCTCCATAGAGAGATTTCCTACCGGTTGTGACTGGGTATCCCCTGATGTCTGCTGTAAGGAAACGTGGTAATTAAGTGTCACATGGTTAGCTCCAAAGGGCACAGGGACCGATGGCGGATCTGTCTTTAGGTGCCAAGTATGGTTGCTCCAAAGGGCAGCGGCTGCGAGTCATAGGCTCCACGTTGATGAGTTTAGGACATCCTGGACATCCCCCAAAACCTCGGGATATCCCCCAAAACCTCATGGTTGAGATCATTTTCCCCATGAAACGGATTGACAGTGGCCATAAAGTGGGTGCCCATCCCCTATGTTTGGACAAATGCCATGGTGACATTCAGCCAAAGTTTGAGATCTTTGGCATGTTCGCTGATGATTCCGTCCTGTGAAGGAACGCTTGTAAGTTCTATATACTGTAAGTTTTCCAAGAAGCAACTTAGTGGGTCCCTACCTTCGCTTGTGCCACCTGAAACACGCAGCTTAGTTGCAGTTAGCAGGTGAAACACCTGCGCTGCTGCAGTTTGAAGGTGGCCGGACGGCGCCCAAGAATCATGAAGGCCCAATCCAACTGATGGAATGCAAAGCTGAATGGCCAGGTGAGGCCAGGTGAGGCCAGGTGAGGCCAGGTGAGGCCAGGTGAGGCCAGGTGAGGCAGGTGTGAAAGATTTCTCAAAAAATTCTCCATCTGGACTGCTCCAAAGATGAAGTGTCTCAAGTCGTCCCAGTTCCGCAAGAAGCGGTGTTGGTTAGATGCTGAAACGCTTTCGCCTGGTACGATCCGGGAAAGTGGGATCAATCAAGATCCATTTGGGGATGGCCCAGTTGATACCTCATCCACTAACCATTAGATGTCGGACCAACGTGCGCTGGTGCTACGTGTGATGCCTCTAGGCACCGGCTGGAAGTGGGTCATTGGAGCTGGAAATGTCAGGGGAGCTCAGAGTTGACATGGGGATTGCTGAGATTGAACGCCAGGTTTAAGCCTTGGCTTGATAAATGGATATGCTATTCTGAACTGTTGGAAATCCTGGGGATTTTTGACATCACCTGGATTTTGGTGACGATCTCCCCACGTGCCAAGCAGAAGTGCAATTGTTTTCCTGTTGCTTCGACCGGTATTTGACCTTCAACTTCTATCAAGGCCCAAGGGGAGAAGCAAAAAGACGAGGCCCAAAGTCTTGCGTTGACATTGGATGTTGCAGGATATTGTGGCCCAGTATATAGGTGACGGAGCTTCCTCTCTTTTGTTTCTCTAAGTGTTTAGGATACGTACTTGGTGGCCACTGAACTGAGGCTGAAGATCCCTGCAAGTAATGGCATGAACTAAAGAATGAACTGAACTGTGATCTGAAGATAGAGCACTTGCAGACCTGCGTCTTTTGGTTCAAAGGATTCACCAAATTGTTTGCCTCAAACTGATGGATTCACAGATGAAAAAAACATGGCAAGTTTCAAGCTGAACTTTTCCAAGACAGGGACAACTTAACCAATCGGTTCAACCTAGTCGCCGAGGCTGAAACTATCCAACTTTCATCAACTTCCCCCACTCATTGACTTCAAGTAGGGTTTTGTACAAAAATAGCGCCCCCCAAAAATTCTAGTGGTTTATATCATCATTTTCCCATATTTTCATATTTTCATATATGTTCCCCATTGGCCATATGGAACTGTGGGTACCCGGGGCAAAACCAGCTGATGATTTCGAGGCCTCCCGGCAAGCAGAGATTGCTGCTGCACTGAAAGCACGAGAGGAGCGCTTGGTTTCCTGGCTCAAGAACTGGCAGGAGCGGCATTTAACTAGGCTAATTGTTGGGTTTTTAATAGATATATGTAGATATTTCGAACTAACTAAGTTCACTAGTTCATGCGGGCTTTAAACCACACACGCAGAATGGGGGCTGCCACATTGTATGGGTCACTTTTTGGAACCAAAACTTTTTGAGGGTCCGTTGGTGCCATGTAAGTTTAGGTTTTAGTATTGCACGATCGATTTTCAGGCAACTTGGAAACTGGACAGTAGGATACCAACAAACGAGCCTTTGTTGATCTTTTTTGCGGGTCCAAACAGAAATGGTTGATGGTTGGATTGATTTACTACCGTAACTGGTTGAGCGGGGAGCATTCCAACAAGTTTTGGGTCATTTTGGAATCAGTAGACTCAGTAGTGCACTGATATGACCAGAAATGGTGATGGCTCAAAGTTAAGCCCTACAAATTGGACGGTCACCAAGCATAGCCAGATGAGCTGCATGGGAATCTCCGGGTCTGCGCCAAGGCCGCAGAAAACGCGCAGAAGGCCAAGGACAAGGAACGCCGTGCGGCGAAGGCGAGGCTCTTGGGATGTGCCACAAGGTCAGAGCCAAGGAAGCAAAGTTGCAGTTGTAGAAGCTACAGTATTGTGTGATTGTGTATGTACATATAAATATGAGGTGCATGTTTTCATGTGAATGGTGCCAGAATCTTTGGCCCGAATGAGCCTTCGCCCTCTGACGACTGGATTGTCAGCAGGGTCATCTGTAGCTTTGGCACTTAAGCTATTTGAGTGGGCTGATTCTGCGCACTTTCAGCCGCTGCTTGCCGGCAGCTCCTCTTCAAGCCGCTTCATTGAACCCTGGTCATTCATTTTGGGATTGCTGACTGGATTGATCATCTACGCTACCATTGAGTGGGCACTAACAGTCACTAACATTGAGGTGGTGCTTGGTTCAGTGGGTAGACCATCAGGTGAATCATAGGCCAGCGCACAGGCCTAAGGAGCTATATAAGCTCCTTTGATGAGTGATGTCGAAAAAGTGCATGCGGTTGTGGCGCGAAGCACATTTCGAAGTCAAAAGTGTAAAAAACTGACGGGTTCAGAGCACTTTTGGAAGTTAAGATGTCGAAAAAGTGCATGCTGTTATGGTGCGAATTGCATTACGCTACGGCTACGGCCACAACTGCAGCTGCAACTGCAACTACAACTACCACTACATAACACTACACTACACATACTACACTACACTACGTTACGCTACACTACTCTACTGTACCCTACACATACTACACTACACTACCTTACACTACATTACACTACATTACACTACATTACACTACGCTACACTAATTACACTGCACTACGCTACAGCTACAGCTACAGCTACAGCTACAGCTACAGCTAGAGCTAGAGCTACAGCTACAGCTACAGCTACAGCTACAGCTACCTACAGCTACAGCTGCAGCTGCAGCTGCAGCTGCAGCTGCAGCTACAGCTACAGCACACTACACTACACTACACTACGCTACGCTACACTACGCTACGCTGCACAACACTACACTACACTACACAACACTACACTACACTGCACTGCACTGCACTGCACTAGACTACACTACACTACAGTACACTACACTACAGTACAGTACAGTACACTACACTTCACTACACTACACTACACCACACTACACTACACTACACTACACTACACTACACTAATTACACTGCACTAAACTACAACTACACCTACATTACCTTACACTAGACTACACTACACTATACCACACTACACTACACAATACTACACGACATTACACTGCACTACATTACACTAATTACACCACACCACGGCTACAACTGAAACTGCATTTGCAAATACTCTAATTACACTACATTACAGCTACGGCCCCACTACACTACACTACAACTACAGCTATAACTGCAACTACAACTGCACTACACCACACTACGTCCAGCAGTTGTGGTGAGGTGACCACTGCAACCATTGCAAACATTCCAAAAAACACAACTCCAACCACCTGTCGGTCCATCAGTGGATTCGCCCTGCCATCCGTGATTCGCAACAACCAACCTCTCCTATAGGTTTCCTATTTTTGAAACTTCCGCCACCGCCTTGAGCGGCACTACTGGTATATATATATATATATATACGTATAAATGTAATAATAGTAATAAAAATACTCTTTTGTGGGTATACCTATTTTCAGGCACACCCGTATCAATAGCATGAAATATCAGCATATCAGCGAGATGGTGACACCTATCTCAAAGTAAGTTCGGCTTACTCGCGCAACCTTCTCTCCAGTGTCTACGTTGCAGTTTCCTGCATTCTTACTGCGGTACGGCATGCTACTGCCTTTTTTGGCTGTAGGAGACCAGGCGATGGGGGACATATCCTATGTTCCAAACGCTCGCTGATAATATTATTGAAGGCAATTCTTCAGGTGTCTAAATGGTGTGTCTACTGTGGAAAGCTGAACCATTTGCCCATTTGATTTTGCTACGCCATTCCCCAAAGGGTAAACTTGTATTTGATCGAACTTGTGATGGGTTTACCATAGTGCAAAACCTTTTTATGTTGCCGCCCCGGCAGCGAAGCGCTAACCTTCTAGTAATGGAACATCTCGGAATGCTGGGAGGCCGCACAACAAGACGGAAAAAACGACAAGGACCAGGAGGCTAAAACTTCATTTCGATTGTTTTTTTGGATGTGGGTTTTGGTAAAACTTTGGTGCTCCAACTATTCTTGATGACTCAATGCTGAATTTAAAGAGTCCTTTGGGTGGTCTGGAATTTTGATCCAACACCACACTGAACCTCTCTGATTTTTTCTGATCTTGAAACATATTTAGGTGGAACGTATCCTTCTGAGGTCAGTTTGCTCATGAACAAACAACACGTCTAGGAATATTTGAAGTTTCACTGCGGCAAAAAGGTATAACCATGTCATGGGTGGTACCAGGAGCCAATGACTCAGACCAGTGAATTGAAAAATGAAGCAGACAACACCAAGGACTGCAAGTAGGGCAGGGGAGTGATTAGCTTAGCCTTGGGTATTTGGTGGATAGACAGGTTGCTCCAATTCTCTGGGTCTTGAAGGACACTCCTTCCAAAAAAGGTTAGAAGGGGGGGTGCTGGGGTGATGTCGAAATGTGAGTGTGTTCACGTTTTGCACATTTTTTGTTGGGTCCAACTCTTGACACAAGAAATCACCGAGTATGACGAAGGGCTGATGGACCTTTGAAGTCAGTGGTGAGAGGTTACCATTGGTCCAAACTTTGACAAGGACAAAGAAACAAAGAAGTGCACCCTTAATCGCTCGCTTAATCCCACCCTGCATATGTCAAATACAACCGGAAAAATAAATAGAGGGCATTTAATAGCAGGAGAAAGGGGTTGCAACATGTTGCAACCATGTTTCTCCACATTCCGCGGCTTGCCGTGCAGGACAAAGCCACAGAGATGGAAGTTGAAAAAGAGACGCTTGCAGCGGAGAAAGCGGAGGTTCAAGATGTGAATTCTGAAAACAACGAGCACAAACAGGAGAAAGATGATGTGACAGAAAAGGAGGCTGGGAAGGAAAAGGAGAAGGATCAGAAAGAGAAGGAAAAGACAAAGGACAAGGAACATGCCAAGGAGAAGGAGGAAAAGGATAGTGAGAAGGAGAAGGGAAAGGCAAAAGAGAAGGAGAAGGCGAAAGAGAAGGAAAAGGAGAAGGAGAAGGTGAAAGAGAAGGAAAAGGAGAAAGAGAAGGACAAAAAGGAGAAGAAAAACAAGGAGTCGGAGAACGACAAGGAGAGGCTGAAAGAGAAGAAGGAGAAGGAGAAAGAGAAAGAGAAAGAAAAAGAGAAAGAGAGAGAGAAGGAAAAAAAGGTCGAGAAGGAAGATGACAAGGATAGAGGTAAAGAGAAACGAAAAGAGAAGGAAAAGGACACTGGTTTGGTTGGTTCCAAGAGTGATTTGAGCCCTGACACCTCCTTGCTATGCCGCCCCCAAAGGGTTTGTGAGCAACAACCTACAGGACAAAGAGAGATCCCGCTCGAGAGACCAAAAGGACAGATCCAGGCGCGGAATTGTTTGCATCATTCCTTTTTCTGGTCCAACGACACTAGACAATTCGCAGCAACGGATATTTCAGTAGATTCCGTCCACTTTGCCTTCTGAAAATCTATCCCTAAATATCCCAAAATTTGCGAATCAATGTTTCAGGGTGTCTCCCCTTCTTACACTCGGCTCTGAAAACCTAAACAGGGCCATCACCAGGGTATCGACTGCTTGTGGGTGGAAGTGCTCTGGCACTGAAAGTTGAAGTGTCTTATCACTGGCCTGTATTATACTATACTTGGATGTCATGACAAATTGCAAGTGGTAAATACATGGCTAGGGTCCCTCAGGGTGATCTTGGAACATGCCGCCACGGTCACCGGGGCCGCTTTCGCATCGGGGTGTGTCTCGAGGGCATGCTATTTCAAAGGTGAACATCATGATGAAGTAGTGACTAGTGGATTTGGGGTGCATCCCGTTTAATCTGATGATGGAGAAAGACATCTTCCACAGCTAGACGCTAGACTTGCATGATTGCATCCCAAATTTGCCCATCTTGCGACAGGAAAAGATCCAGATCCAGATCAAAAGGTCGGGAGAAGGATGCATCTCAGCCGAAAATGGACTGGTCGCTGAAACTGCTGAAATCGTGACAACGGATTGGCCATGGGTCATTGTGGGATCAACTCCAAATTCAAGCGGCACATGGGGAAGAAGCCTTTGGCTACTCCGAATTCATTGGGATGGGGATGGTGGATACCCAAAAAATGGGTGGTTTGCCACGAAGAGGAAACATCGGAAACACTATGGCAATAGGGCAGACATGTTTGACTATCTTCTCTAGGGAGCCTAGGGAGTCTGAGATGGTTGATCAGCAATGTCTTGACCAGTATGCAGTCAAAAGACGGACGGAACCCCTTTCAAAGATATCTACTGTATATCTAAATCAATATCCATTTACATTTATAATATCACACATTCATATACATACATACCAACATACACATTAGATTGCCTTGCATTGCGTTGTATCGCATCGCATGGTCAAGGAATCATGGGAACATCTTGCCGGCTAAGTGAATGTTCCTCATGCAAAACACAATTCCTTGCGCCAAATGACAGGCCAAGCGCAAAGACAAGGACACTCCTGGGCGCTGCTTGAAAACCAAAGCAAGAACGACCACACTGGTAGCAGATTCAAGAGAGAACATAACGGGATTCTATATACAAGATTGGATAAAGCAAAAGTGGTTGCGTTTTGGTTCCATTTGCGCTGATGTCTGGCTTCGGTGGTGCGCCCGCTTTGCACCAGCATTTCAGTTGTGCAGGAGAAAGAGAAGAGGCCTTGCGCATGCTGCACCGCCCGCTTACTATACACTTCAATTTGATGTACAACAAACCCTCTGTCAAACCTGTCAATCTGATCCCGCAGAGGAAAAGAAGCGGTAGCTCGCGTTCCTCTCGAGCGAAGAAGAAAGATAAGGAGCAACTGCGTTTTTTTTTTCCCCCAACAGCAAAACTTTGCTATGGGGTCTTTGGCCCAGATTAGCTCCGGTGCGATCCGGTGCAGCTTCAACACCAGGTTTTGGACAACGTTCCGGAGGGATCTGGTGCAGATACCTCGTGAGGTTCCGGAGGGTTCCGGTGAAGATACCTGCTGAGGCTCCGGAGGGTTCTGTGCGGTTCCGGAGGTTCCGGTGCAGATACCTTGTGAGGTTCCGGAAGGTTCCGGTGCAGATACTTTGTGAGGTTCCGGAAGGTTCCGGTGCAGATACCTTGTGAGGTTCCGGAGGGTTCCGGTGCAGATACCTTGTGAGGTTCCGGAGGGTTCTGGTGCAGATGCTTTGTGAAATTCCAAAGGGTTCCGATGTTTTTTTTTTTTAATGGCATAAGCACTTTTTATGGCAAAAACGCAGAAGCTTTCAAGCTGTTGGGGGGTGGCACCTGAGTTTATTTTGAATCAGAGCTTTGGATTGTGTCAATAATGGTTTTTGTTTAAAAGCTTTGCATTCAGAAGACATTCTTTCTGCCCAATTGGCATCGATGCAGGAGAAAGAGAAGAGGCGCATTATACGCACAGACAAATGCATCTGCAACTTTCCCATTGTTTCGGAATATCTCATCGTCAGATGCGAGTTTGTGGTTGGAATTTATCGGATGTTTGGGCTGCACTCAGATGGTGTAAGCATTCGCCCAGATGCCAAAATCACCAAAAGACTGCACACGCATACAGTAGTTATCGTCCATTTTGTATGGGAGTCGGAGGTATTTCTGGTAGGGTGAAAGATCACAGCTTTTGCATACTCGTCGTACTCTATAGTGTCAGCAAATTACCAAACTCAGAGCCTGTGACAATGTGACAAAGCTTTGGGCACACAAACTGGGCTGGGTGAGTTGTTAATCTGTCAGGAAGAGAAGCGGTAGCTCTCGTTCCTCTCGAGCAAAGAAGAAAGAGAAGGAGCAACTGCGTTTTCTTTGGAATCAGAGCTTTGGATTGTGTCAATAATGGTTTTTGTTTAAAAGCTTTGCATTCAGAAGACATTCTTTCTGCCCCATTGGCATCGATGCAGGAGAAAGAGAAGAGGCGCATTATACGCACAGACAAATGCATCTGCAACTTTCCCATTGTTTCGGAATATCTCATCGTCAGATGCGAGTTTGTGGTTGGAATTTATCGGATGTTTGGGCTGCACTCAGATGGTGTAAGCATTCGCCCAGATGCCAAAATCACCAAAAGACTGCACACGCATACAGTAGTTATCGTCCATTTTGTATGGGAGTCGGAGGTATTTCTGGTAGGGTGAAAGATCACAGCTTTTGCATACTCGTCGTACTCTATAGTGTCAGCAAATTACCAAACTCAGAGCCTGTGACAATGTGACAAAGCTTTGGGCACACAAACTGGGCTGGGTGAGTTGTTAATCTGTCAGGAAGAGAAGCGGTAGCTCTCGTTCCTCTCGAGCAAAGAAGAAAGAGAAGGAGCAACTGCGTTTTCTTTGGAATCAGAGCTTTGGATTGTGTCAATAATGGTTTTTGTTTAAAAGCTTTGCATTCAGAAGACATTCTTTCTGCCCCATTGGCATCGATGCAGGAGAAAGAGAAGAGGCGCATTATACGCACAGACAAATGCATCTGCAACTTTCCCATTGTTTCGGAATATCTCATCGTCAGATGCGAGTTTGTGGTTGGAATTTATCGGATGTTTGGGCTGCACTCAGATGGTGTAAGCATTCGCCCAGATGCCAAAATCAGCAGTTATCGTTCATTTTGTATGGGAGTCGGAGGTATTCTGGTAGGGTGAAAGATCACAGCTTTTGCATACTCGTACTCTATAGTGTCAGCTAATTACCAAACTCAGAGACAATGTGACAAAGCTTTGGGCACACAAACTGGGCTGGGTGAGTTGTTAATCTGTCAGGAAGAGAAGCGGTAGCTCTCGTTCCTCTCGAGCAAAGAAGAAAGAGAAGGAGCATTTTTTTGTTTTAATCAGAGCTTTGAATCCTTTCAACAATTGAACTTTGTATTGAGAAGATGTTCTTTCTGCACAATTTGCATCGATGCAGGAGAAAGAGAAGAGGCGCACCGGCTGGCAGGTTGAGATTGATGCATGTTGATGAGGCTGAAGAGGAACGCACTCCCCAAGTCAGCTTGTGAAAATGAGAAACTGATCATAGAATTCACAAATCAAACATTCTTTTTAGGACAATGCAATTTTGGATTGGATTCAGACGAGCACATGGATGTCAAGGAAGAGAAGCGAGAGCTCTCGTTCCTCAGCAAAAAAGAAAGACAAGGACCAAACCACATTCAGTTCATTTTTGCATGGGTGAAATTTGGACACCGCCAAATTCGGATGGTTTACTACAACAAAAAAGTTAATGACCAAAATCATCCAAAATCATTTAGAACCAATTTTCCACTTCGTGAAATGCACAGTGTTTGCTGATGACTGCTGTGCAGCCAAAGTGACTTGGCCTGAAAACTAGATTTGAGATGTTTGTATTTGTTGGCCTACTCTTCGCTAGCTTATCGACGGAACGGCCTCGAAGTACATGCAGGAGAGGGGAAGAGCAAAGGAAAAAGAGAAAGAGAAAAGGACTGCACTAAGGGTTTGCATACTCCTGTTGCGGCGGCGTCAGAAACACAATGCTTCCATTCAAAAAAATGCAAACAATGCTAAAGGTATGTGTATACAGTATATATATATATATACATAATTATATACATATTATAGTATAATTATAGTATATTAACTCTCCCAGCTTGGCTCATTTTTTCTCCTCCAATTGGACTCAGCTCAGGAGAAAAAGTAGCATCTCTGAAGCTCCATCGAAGAAGGAGCAGGGATGCATCCGGGATGCGAGCTTGGGAATTTTGAGAAGTCACCTTCCAAATCCTTCCAAAGGTTTGATGGGAGCAGATGGACCTGATGCTTTCAGAGCTTTCTCTATTTCCATTTTGCGCTTATTTATTTTGTTTGACTTTGGACCATTGTCCCCATCAGCATTGCAGGAAGTACACAGTCCATTCCGGCTCACTCCATCTGCGCAGGAAAAGAAGAACAAGAGGAGGTCCAGCTGCAAGTCCAGTGTGAGAAATATTCGAATGAATCTATCCATCAAACGATCCGACTGAGAAACAACTGCATGAATCTGAAAGTGAAATAGCACTTTTGGAGCCTGCCAACCAAAGCCACATGCCCGCAAACGCCATGCCCATACACAAAGATTGTTTTTTTTTTTCTGTGTTTTTTGTTTTTCCTCTGCAATAGGCAGTACTGCCATCCAGGGGGTTTGACCGCAAGCAAGAAAGGTTGGATGTCATCCCAATTTGTGTATCTAGCTGTAGGTTTCATGTTTCTATATGTTTCTCTTTTTCACTCTAGGATGATTATGATTATATTTGTATTAATCTACCACATATAAATACAAATATAATCATAATTGGATTATGATTATGATTATGATTATAATACAGGTTTAATCTACCAAATATTGGATTATGATGATTATGATTATGATTCCCATGTTTTTTCGGGGGCTTCAACCTACCAAGTATGGATCCAGCGCCACTGTTACCCCGAAGATTTTGCGCTCTGTTACCATCCAGGAGGAGCTCGTCGTGAGCGCGGCCGGAAAAAAAAAACATCGGCTGCGGAGGCTTCAAGCAGCCATTGGGAAGGATGAGGGTTGATGGTGGTCGATGATGGTTGATGATGGTTGATGGCGGTTGATGATGGTTGATGTGTGAACTTTCACTTGGGGATGTATGAACAAACATGCTGACTTTGACCAATGAACGTTGGTTGATGTCAAAACTGGTGTTTGTCGTCCGTCCCTGCACATTGCATGTGTTGATGACTCCGGTTCACCAAAGCTTCTGGGATGCAGTCAAACTAGCAAACAGGAAATGATGCCGCGAAGTTGTGGCCAGCTTTGGCTCAAGCAGCGAGCCTTGATGATGCTGGAGAGTTCCACATAACTCCGAAAGCCGCATGTGACACGTGGAGGTTTCCTAAAATGGGGGTACCCCCAAATCACCCAAGTCATTGGACAGTTTTAGTATTGAAACCTTGGGGATCAATTTTAAGAACTCCCCTGTCTGAGTCTTCGTTGGTAACCTCTGTTGAGCGAACAGGTCGCTCCAAAGATGCGACCCAAAATCGCCCCCAAAAATGGAACCACAATGGAACCATAATGGAACCATTCCTAAAGCTGACCTGACATTTTGACCCATCCTTTACATCGTTCCCTTGTGAAAAGCTGCCTGGTGGCATGAGTTAGCGAAGAAGAGCGTGGCCCTCATGTCATGTTTCGAAGGCGACAAGAGGAGCTGGGAGACCCAGCGATGGGTCTATCCATTACATGTATGTCAGAATATATATATACACATAATTATATATATAATTATGTACATACAAATTATAGCATTACAGTTAATTACATGTGCATGTATTTGTATATATATATATACATACTCTGTATATATGTATATGTGGACGTACCTATCAGTGTATAGTGGTTCTACATACCTTCACCACGAGTGAGACAAATCAGTATATATATAAATACATACACATATAGCCCATCTGTATGTTCTAGTTGCAGACTATTTGTGGGTTACAAAGAAATAATTCACACATTACATGTTTGATGTTTCGGCGCCACATGGGGGTCTGCGCAGATTGGGTCAACTTGTGAGCCTAGACCATGTACCCATCAAAGTAAAGGAATGTAAGGGACATATTTCTGCCACGAAAGGACTAACAAAACTTTGGCATAATTCCAATAATAACAGTAGATATGATATGTATATATATATATATTACATATATATTATATATATATGTATATCATATATATCTCTATATATTATATGATATTAAATTATATATATATATATTATGAATTATATATTATATATTATATATTATACATTAAATATTATATATTATTTATTATATATTGTATATTATATATCATATATCATATATCATACATATATAAATATATTATATTGTATATTATACATATATATATACAAATATTATACATAAATATGTATATATATATATATACATACATAAATACATACATACATACATACATACAGGCAGGCAGGCAGGCAGGCAGGCAGGCAGGCAGACAGACAGACAGACAGACAGACAGACACACATACATACACACATACATACACACGTACGTACATACGTACATACGTACATATGTACATGCATACATACACAGACATACACAGACATACACATACATATACACATACATATACACATACATATACACATACATATACACATACATTTACACATACATAGAAATACATACACATACATACATACACATACATACACATACAGACATACACATACATAGGCATACATAGACATACATAGACATACATAGATATACATAGACATACATACACATACATAGACATACATACACATACATAGAAATACATAGACATGCATAGACATACATAGACATACATAGACCTACATAGACATACATAAACATACAAAGACATACATAGACATACATAGACATACATATACATACATAGACATACATAGACATACATAGACATACATAGACATACACAGACATACATAGACATACAAAGACATACATAGACATACATATACATACATATACATACATACTCAATAACATACTATACATGGCCTACCACATACCTAGACATAGCGTATCATACTATACAGAATACTAGACAATACACAACCTACATAAAGTACATACACAGACATACATAGACATACAAAGACATACATAGACATACATATACATACATATACATACATATACATACATACACATACATAGACATACATATACATACATATACATACATAGACATACACAGACATACATAGACATACAAAGACATACATAGACATACATATACATACATATACATACATATACATACATACACATACATATACATACATATACATACATATACATACATACACATACATAGACATACATATACATACATATACATACATATACATACATATACATACATATACATACATATACATACATATACATACATATACACACATATACATACATATACATATACACATACACATAGACATATACATATACACATATATACACACATACACACATACACGCAGACACACATACATACAGACATACAGACATACAGACATACAGACATACAGACATACAGACATACAGACAGACATACAGACAGACATACAGACAGACACACACACACATATATATACATATTTATACACATACACATAGATATAATATAGACATAGACATAGACATAGACATACACATAGACATAGACATCCACATCCACATCCACATTCACATCCACATTCACATCAACATCCACATCCACATCTCCATCCATCCATCCATCCATCCATCCATCCATCCATCCATATCTGTTGTATTTGTACTTGTCCCAGGTTGCGAGGTCCGCCCGGCGAGGGCGAGGAGGAGACTGAGTCGCTCCTGGCCAAGGTGCTGGGTGGAAGTTGTGGACACTTTTGGACAGACAAGTTCTGATTGTATGATGAACAAACGAATCTAACGAATCTAACTTTAGTTTTTGTTTGGAAAAAATAGTACGTTTTGATATTTTTGATCCGTTGATAAGTTGCTCACCTATAGATTTACTGATCCGAGGGTTCATGATTTTTCGATATATAAACTATTCAGTAAAGAAGTTATAACTTCACTGATCCAATTCTTGGAACAGGGATGACAATTTTGCCAAAAATTCACCACAATTCGGATGGCACACATATAGAAGAACCTTTGCGCCGGCAGGAGCAAGCGGAAGATGCCAAGGCACCATATTCCAAGGCCGAAGAAGTGCTGCTGTTTTCCAAGCTGGTGGTGGGGCCTCATGGTACATCAGGGATCTATAGGGATGTCACAATTTACTCTCCGGCAATCAAACATGGCTGGCTAATCCACCATTTACGTACATGTCCTTTCGCCCCCGGGGATAAACATGAATTCACGATTTCTTTTAATGTAGCTCTGGCTTAAGGGATTTGGATGTGGGGACACGCAGACAGTTGTCCCTGCTCCGTCTGTAAGAGCCTCCCTCGCATTTTCCACCTGATTGCGAGCGGGCTTCTTCAACTACGAGTTCTTCCAGCTCCCGGGTTCCTGGAGGTACCGGTCTTTTTGACGAAGAAGACCGGCTGCGGCGCATCTGGAAGAAACACCCAGGCGCCCTCACAGCGGGGGCCATCAGAGAGGCCCGTCAAGGGCTCATGACTCAGGCTGGAACGCTTTGGAACATCAGTGAGGCTGAGTTACCGCCCCTCTTCACGCAATATTGCAGACAGCAAGTCGTTGCGCCGTTGCCGGTAAGTCCAGCCCTGACTCAGGAACTTCTTACGCTGGCGCAGTGCTTGGGCCACTTGCTGATGGGCAAGATTGCGGCTGGCGCTGACATCCTTTGTCAAAGGATCAAATGCGTTGAAAGCCTTGCAAGGGGCTACCATTGGAGCGTGGGACGGCAACTGGAGTTGATCCATAGTGAGCAGAACTCCATCGCTGAAGGTTCCGAAGCTTTGAGTGCAGCAAGACGCGCAAAGGAAGAGGAGAAGTTGAGGTCTCTGGTCAGCAAAGGAGGAGCTGGAAAGAGTGGCAGCAACTATGAAGGTGGAAAAGGTCGCAAAGGAAAAGATAAGTATACGCCAAAGGGATCCAAAGGGTAGATCCGATGAGGGAGGAAAAGGTCGTGGCGGTGAAAATCGAACCCGTGATGATGGCAAGCCCTCGGGAAAAAAGAACTGAAAGAGGGGAGGAGCACCTCCCAAGGACTACCCATGGCGAAAGAAGAAAGCGACCTAGTGCGGCTTCGTTGGGCGAAGGTGTGGCATGTGGCAAGCGGCGAGAGGAGAAATGTGATGCGGCCGGCAAAGAAATCCTTGTGGCAGAGGATGCATGGCGCGAAGTGGCAGAGAGTATCACCCTCAGTGAGATCGATGCCCTGATCTCTCAAGCTCGAAGTAGCGCTGAGGAAGCACAGGGGAGTCAGTTCGAGCCGACTTGGACGGACTCCCAACCTTTGAGTTTGAATTCGAGTGGTGCATGCCAGGGGAGTGGTAGCAGTAAGGAATCCCACTCCCAAGCCCCGCTGCTGCGAGCACGAGCGCTAGTGCGGGCTTTTTTGGACGGTCCGGAAAGGACTTGTAGCCTTGAAGGTCTTGGTGGTCTCTTAAAGGATGTCCTGATTATGTTTGAAAGTTTTCCTTGTTGCAGGCCCCGGCCCACTACAGGACGGAAAGACATCTTTCCACTACCTGTGTCAGAACATCCAGAGACCTCCAAGCGCGGCCAATTTCTTCCTTTGGTGGCAGCCAGTCTCAACAGTATGTATGGCGTAGATCACTCAACTGAGGCACGCCCGTCCTCTTTACGGGTCATGAAAAGGCTTGCTGCTGTGGTGGAGCACTCTGAGATTTTGGCTGAACCCCTTCCTGAAGTTTCTTTCTCAACCCTTTTTACTACCAAAGGTGTGGATTACCAAGGTGATGAGATTCGGGTTGCTCGTAAAGTTGTCTGGGAATCTATTGAGGCGTCTTTACCGTCTCAGGTAGGTACTTTGGATATTCGGGATTTTTGTCATTCAGGGGTCCTTCACTATATCAACCACTTTGAGGAGTTCCTTATCCCTGCGGCTGACCAGATGGTAGGAAAACCACCCCGGGTTTTTGTGGATGATGATGAATGGGGCCGAGTGGCAAATGGCCTTCTTGACAGGGGTATCTGTGTTGCCCGGAAGCTTTCTGATCTTCACTTCATTGATGGCTCCCCCCTGGTTAATGGATTGTTTGCAGTCTCCAAAGATGAATTTCATGGGTCTGTCGAACTATGTCGTTTGATCATGAATTTGAAGCCTGTGAATGCCCTTGCTCGTCCTCTGGAAGGGGATACCTGCACTTTACCTATGGTAACCCAATTGGGTAGCCTCTATTTGGAAGAAGGGGAACTCTTGTCCATTTCTTCTGAGGATCTCCGTTGCTACTTCTACTTGTTCAGCATTCCGGAGGCCTGGCAAAAGTACATGGGCTTTGGACGGGCATTGCCGCTCGGTCTAGTACCTGAGGGGGGGCACCGTGATGAAGTTTGGGTTCTTTGTAGTAGGGTCTTGCCTATGGGGTTTCTAAACAGTGTTGGCATTGCCCAGCACATCCATCGAAACGTGGTCAGAAAGGCAATGGGGAGTTTGTACCCCCCTCTGGGTGGAGAACATGAACTTAGACGTGATCGCCTATTCAGTCAACTGCCGACCCTTTATAGAGTTTATCTAGATAACTTTGACGAGCTTCGCAAAACTGACCGCCGACTCCATGAGCTCATTGGGGGCCATACTTCTGAGAGCGTGGCACGGTTACGGGAGGCCTATGCTGAGGCAGGCCTCCCAACTCACCCGAAGAAGACAGTGCGGGAAGTGTCAAGTGCGGAGGTCCAGGGTGCCTGGATCAATGGGGAGCAAGGTACCATGAGTGCGAAGCCTTCAAAGATTAGCCGCTATGTGAAGCTGGCCCTTGAACTGGTTGGCCGTGGGGTGGCTAGCCAGAAGGAGCTTCAAGTGGTCGGTGGCGGGATGGTTTACATTGCGATGTTCAAAAGACCGCTGCTGGGAGCCCTAAACCATTTGTGGCGGGCCATAGTGGCTCTGGAAGGCCTCCCAAGGGATCGTCAGTATCCCCTACCAAGGGAGGCCATGGTGGAGCTTGTGAGGTTTGTAGGACTGGTCCCACTGGCCTTTAGTAGTTTCAGGTCTGACTTTGACGACATGGTGACCGCCAGTGACGCTTCATCTTCAGGGGGGGTTTCTGCGCCTCTCGAGGGCTCACACCCTATGGCGCGGCAGCAGCTTCAAGCTATGTTCGCGGTGATCTTCCAGAGTGTGATGACACCTGCCAGGTGTTGTCGATAGGGCTCTTTGATGGCATTGCCGCACTCCGGGTTGCTCTGGATGTGCTCCAGGCACCAGTGGCAGGACACGTGTCTGTGGAATGCAATGGGGCAGCACAACGAGTAGTTGAGGCCAATTTTCCGGGATCACTGCTTGTTGAAGGAGTCGAGCAAGTCGATGAGGCAATGGTCACTGAGTGGAGCCTGCGCTTCGGCATGGTAGGCCTAATGCTGGTGGGCGCTGGGCCCCCCTGTCAGGGGGTTTCAGGCTTGAACGCCGACAGGCGTGGTGCCTTGAGAGACGCCAGAAGCTCTTTGTTTTGCCATGTCTCCAAGATTGTAACATTGTGCAAAAGGAAGTTCCCTTGGGCCCAGGTAAGGGCCTTTGTGGAAAACGTTGCGTCAATGGATCGGGTAGACTGCGAGGTGATGAATGAAAGCTATGACATGTGCCCCTGGTATGTTGATTCAGCAGGTATCTCCTTGTGTCACCGGCCAAGGCTCTACTGGTTTGACTGGGAAGTTCAAGAAGGCGTAGGTGTGGAACTATGGCATGGGAGTGATGGTAGACTCCCAATTCAAGGAGAGATCCGCTTCATGGCCGAAGTGGAGAGCCACGCTTTTTTCCCGCGAGGTGTTCGTATGGGAGGCGACAGTCTCCCAACTTTCACTACTTCAAGGCCGTGCAGCGTGCCAATGAGAAAGCCAGCTGGGTTGAAGGATTGCCTGGCTCATGAGGTTCAGAGGTGGAAATCTGATAGCCACCGGTTTCCGCCCTATCAATACAAGGACAAGCACTGCATTGACGAGCAAGGGACGCTGAGGCCTCCCAAGGTGTCTGAGCGTGAGGCTATCATGGGTTTCCCCATTGGGTACACCGTGCAATGCATGAAGAAGTCAGACCATGGCTCTAGCGCTCACAACGACTGCAGGCTGACCCTTATTGGAAACACCTGGCATGTGGGGGTTGTAGCCTGGCTTTTAAGCCAGCTGTTGGCTCCCCTTGGTCTTATCATGCCAGTTTCAGTTCAGGAGTTGGTGGAGCGCCTCACCCCGGGAAAAAAATGCTCATCTTCAAGCTTTATTGCTGAGGCCGCCTGTGGAACATACCACCCAACCTTTCCTCCCAGTCGTCTCCTGGTTCAAATGCTGGCCGGGCTTTCGTCGTTGAAAGGGGAGGATATTCTGGTGCAACAAGTCACTGAAATGCCGCTGAGGTATCATCGACTGCGACAGAGCATCCCAGGTAAGCTGTGGCGCTGGCGCATCATATCTGGATGGCGCGGGGTGGGAAATCCAGAACACATCAATGTGTTGGAGGCACGGGCGACCTTTACCACATTGAAGTGGAGAGCTCAACAACTTGGCCAATTAGACTGCCGGTGTGTACATCTAGTGGATAGCATTGTGGTGCTTCATTGTTTGACTCGAGGACGCTCCTCCTCAAGAAAGCTGAGACGGACGGTTATGCGGATTGGATCTCTTCTTCTGGCGACAGGCATCCAGCCAGTTTATGGCTATATTGATACTCATCAGAACCCAGCCGACAAACCGTCGCGCTGGGCCGTCAAGAAAAGATGGCTAAAAAGGCGTCGGTGAGTACTAGATGCCCGTCCAAAGAAGAGAGAAAGAAGATCCGCAAAAATTTGGGAAGTCTCAAACAACTTACCGTCCAGCCAAAGACAAAGGAGCGCTATCAAACTGGCCTTACCCTCTTCTTCAAGTTCTTGGCATGGGAGGGTTTGTCTCTCCCAGAAAAACGCGAGGAAATGGATGGGCTTGTGAGTGACTATTTGGAGCACCTGTGGTCCGAAGGAGAAGGCCGTGCCACAGCCAGTAACTTTCTGGCGGCTTTGCAGGACTCCCAGCCCAAGTTAAAGGGAGCTCTACCTGGGGCGTGGCGACTCATGCGCACTTGGAGCACTCAAGAAGTCCCCCAGCGTGCACCCCCATTGAGTGAAACAGTGCTGTTGGCCATGGTGGGATGGTCCATTCTGCACGAACATTTGGTAGGCTTTCATGGGCTGCTACGAACAGGGGAACTTCTTGGACTTCAAGCCTGGCAGATACATATGACTGGCAAGAACTCTCCGGCCATGGTTAGTCTTGGCTTGACCAAGTCTGGCAAAAGACAAGGGGCTGCAGAGAGCATCACCATAACTGAGCGCAGTGTGCTCCATATTTTGTGGCTTTGGAAACAGTCAGTAGATCAGCATGAATTTTTAACCTCTAAGCCGCATGCCTGGAGGAATTTATTCTCTGATTGTTTAGTTGCCCTTAAATTGGAAACCTCAGGTTTCCGACCTTACTCTTTAAGGCGAGGTGGTGCAACTTTCCTGTTTACCAAATGTGGCTCCTTAGATAGAGTCTTGCTTGCTGGTCGATGGACCGCCATTAAAACGGCCAGGATTTACCTCAACTCAGGGTTAGCCATGCTGGCTGACATTCAAATTCCTCGTGCACTTTTAACTCCGTTTCATCCTGTTTTTACCAAATGGCTGAATTCCTTGCCATGGCTTGAGCACACTCCCTTCGGTCATAGGACGGGGGGACGTGGAAAGGCTATGAAGCTTCATGCTCGAAAAGCCCAAAAAGCGGTGGGGGGCTCTGTTTTTTTCCGTTTCTACCAAAGATCCGTGTGTCTAGGGCTTGGGGGTTTCCCCGGTGTGGCGGGGTCCCTGAGGGACACTGGGGGGTATTCTTCATTCTGGGTGTGGCCGAATGGAGAATACTACGCCCTCAAGTGGTAAGTTTACCGCTTTTGGATCTTTTCTCCGTTTACTTTATTTTATTTGAGAAAGCTTGGGCTGCAACGCTCAAAAAGATCGAGTGAAGTGAATGTTTGTCCTTTCGCCCCCGGGGATAAACATGAATTCACGATTTCTTTTGATGTAGCTCTGGCTTAAGGGCCCAACCCCCCCCCAGAAGGAAAGGCTATGAAGCTTCATGCTCGAAAAGCCCAAAAAGCGGGGGGGGGGCTCTGTTTTTTTCCGTTTCTACCAAAGATCCGTGTGTCTAGGGCTTGGGGGTTTCCCCGGTGTGGGGGAGTCCCTGAGGGACACTGGGGGGTATTCTTCATTCTGGGTGTGGCCGAATGGAGAATACTACGCCCTCAAGTGGTAAGTTTACCGCTTTTGGATCTTTTCTCCGCTTACTTTATTTTATTTGAGAAAGCTTTGTCTGCAACGCTCAAAAAGATCGAGTGAAGTGAATGTTTATATATATATATACATTTACATATTTATGTGATTTTCCAACAAAGACAGCCGGTTTTTTTTCGGGATTTTCCAGCCAGCCACATTTGATTCCACTGGACTGTTCCGTTGAGGCGAAAGCGCCTTCGTCCCGGTGCAGTTGGTTGGATCACCCAGCGCTTGGGATTTGGTGACTTCAGAGCTGAAGGGCCCAGTTGCCTATTTCCCTGAAACTGGGCCCACCTGAAGCCGTGAAGGAATGGAAAGTGAACTCTTTGGTACGTAATATGGCAGTGTGTCAAAACCCTGGTATTAATAGCTGGTAAATGGATGTTCATCCCACTAAAAATGGTATTAATAGGTATTGATCCATACCCATATGATTCCACATGATTGCACCATATTGCACCAATGCTTGGTACTTTGCCCACGCAAACTTTGATTCAGTTTCTTGCCACAAATATCCTGGAACTGGGGGGAAAACCAACAGGACCCCTGTATCTAAGGGTTTAAACTATGGTTTTGCTGTAAAATATCCCTTCAACACAGTGTAGTCACTCAGAGTAGTCTCTGCAGTGCGAGGGGTGGGTTCTCTAGTGTTCTTGATGCTGGTAATCTATATCCTTCAAATGAAGGCGCCTGTGTTTTGGTGAATTCCTGTGACCCCGCTGTGACCGGGTCGTCGTGACTTTTCTGCAAGCGATTTGTCCACATTCAAAAAAATTTCTGTGACTTCAGCCCTCGACTGTATCCCAATGAATGATGACTTATTATCCCCATTATACTTGTACCCTGAGTATATCTCCATTATATCCCCCTTGGTATCCCCATTGCATCCCCATTGTATCCCCATTACATCTCCAGTATATAATCATCCTACAACCAACCGTCCCAATGAAAATAGGGCTACCCGCCCCGCTCGCCACCTATCTTTGAATTTACCCCAAGGTTGCCCCCGAGTGCTCGCGGCCCGCTGGCGCTAGCAACAGCGCGGGGACACAGCTGCGGCTCTTCCGTAGTCCAACCATTGCTTTGTTCAGCAAACATGAAAAAACGAAAACCACCATGAAGAAACCAACCGAATCCTTGCTTGGAAAGGTATGAATGATGGGCGACCCCAGCTACTTTTAATGAAGCACCAAGTCACCAAGTGCTCTGTGTATATGTACACATACGTGCACGTAGAGGAGACACTCTTGATACAAGAAACCCCAAGCAGCTGCCAGGTCTTGGCCATTTTGAGCTTTATCGTCCGCCCAGCCCATTTGATGCTGGATGGGTTGGAGATATGATCTGGGTCCACCTCAAATTGGGCCCACATAAAACAGACGCCATATGTTTCTATTTCAATGAACCAACCAATCTAAACAGCAAAATCCTCCCAGATCCTGAAAAAACCAGCCAGCAACTTATTTCATTCCAGTGTCGGTCCAAGATTGCCCGGTCCAGCCAGGTGTGGACCCTTCCAGCCCCCACCCTGCTGGGCAAGTTGGATTTGCTGCGGCAATCCTGGCGCCTAAACAAGGTGCTGGACGATGCTGCTGAGCTGCGCAGCAAGATAAAGGACCGGACGGGACCGTGGCACGGGGTGTCATAGTGGCCATGGGGGTCGATGAAGGAAGTAAAGGGATCCCAAAGCAGACTATGATGCAAAATGATATGATATACTGTAGAATGATGGCTAATTGTGATAGTGAATGTGTGATAAGAGCAAAATTGGTGGGAGACATTTAGTAAATACTGGGCAGTGGTCATGATTCCTCCCCAAAGGTTTATTTTCAAAAGGTGGTGAACCCTCATGGTGCTCCAATTGGAGCTAGTCAGGCCGCCGATCTCGAGAAAGCCAACCTTGAGCAGGCCACATGAAGCGATGTTCATTGATGGGTTACTGAATATTTGTTCATATGTCCACACTAGTGACCATTGCACATTAAATGGTCCTATATATATACATCTTGTTTGCTTTTGGTGAGCATCGCTTGCATGATCTACAAGATAGATGTTGTTGTTTTTTTACTTCGGGAAACATAATATTTCCTATATGGTGTAGCATCTGGCATGCTAAGACATCGTGTAACTTGAACCCCCGAAGTTGGGATGCACCCCTGCGCCCTGGTACGCGTTGCTACAGGCGCTGGTCTCAGAGAAGGCCCGTAGCGACTCGCTGTCCGAGAGGTGACCTAGCAGGAACATATTGGTGGATTTATCGTGCAAACATCAAACATGGAAACAAATGGTAGAAGGGGGAAACATTTCTTTAAAACAAGGATGGAGAAATCACCTATCTATTTATCCAACACCGACCGAACAAATGTTAGAGTAATGAAGAGAGAAATAGATGCTTTATTGGACACCTATAAACTGAAGGTAGAATTTCAAAAAGATAAGATATATCTTCAAGCGCTTAAGTCTTATGTCAAAAACCATTGGAAATACACTTATCATTTATCATATTCTAAAGAACTTTCACGACCTTAATTTCATCAATCACAGTAAGCAACGAAGATGCTGGTGGTTTCCTAATGTTGAACGAACTTTTATGTTTAGAAACAGGGAGTTCAAGATAAAAGACATTTTGGAAATTTTCTTGCGTGAATACACCGAAGAACTGTTCAATGGTTATGAGAAATACTGTAATCAAGAAGAAATAAAAGAACACCTACAAAAAGTGATAAATACTTAAAGAAAAAATACCTATATATAATAAGAGAAAATGAGTAGAGCAAAAATTGAGGTTATAGATATAGGTAATATCGGTTTATATGCTGACTTTGGTAGTGAAAGCGAAGACGATGACTGGGAAAGAAACGCAATAGAAAAAGAAGATGAAGAGATTAGAGACTTTGTAAGGTGTCATCCTATGCCTTCACCAGATGATGAGGAAGGAGACAAATTTTGGAAGAAAGTAATTAACAGATTGAAAAACGACCAAGGAATAAATGCTATGATAATATATTCGTTTGTAAACTTTGACATTATGAAAAAGATGTATGAAAACCTCACTGATAAAAAGGTCATCGTTGATTGTGGTAAGGAACTTAACCGTGATGGAAAATGGGATGCTATGGCAATAAATCAAACTCTATTAGCATTAGCAATAGATGAACTGAATGATACAGACAAACCTATCACAAGTCAAGTCAGGATAATTGAACACTGGTGGGATGGAATAGGAAAGTGGAAAGCATAAATGATTAATTCATAATATCTTAACAAAATATATTATGAAGTAATCACCCGCCCAAACACAAACACAAAACCCCAACAGTCTAAACAAATCCTACCCCCCTTCAATCCAAACATCAACAGTGAAAGTTAGGGGTAAAATAGTCCCAAAACCCCCACCACATAAAACATCAAAGGTAGGGAAGAAACATTGAACAATAACATAAAAACCATAACAACCAACATAAACCTTGGGATGTCCATTTTTTTATGGGGGATCCAATAAAGAACCATGGGCACCCGGACCACCCGGACCAAGGTTTAGCGCCTCCAACGGTACCACCGAATCCTCCAAAACGGAGTTGTCCAACCAACAGGCGCCGGGTTGCCGCGATTTCCCTGCGCAGAAAGGGCTGGAAAGGGCAGAAAGGGCAGAAAGGGCAGAAACGCTCATTGGCATCGGTTGCCTGATCCATCCCACTGCACCTTAGTTCATATTGTCCAAGTCAATTGAAATGCGTGTTTTCCAACTCAGGGTCCCCAAATCCATTGGTTTCCGTCCCAAATTCGCTGGTTGCCAAAATCGAGAATTCAAATTCTGGTGGATTCCAGCGGGAACAGCAGAATGGTATTTGAGATATTTCAGATATTCACGTCGCTTCGCGACGGCAACCGCCCGCACCGCATCGTTGGGCAGCCGCTCGTAACTGCCAATGATGTCGGCCATTGAGACCAAAAACATCCGAAAGTACTGATTGTCGGAAAAAAAAATGCGAAGAATTTGATAGCCATGTATAGCGGACCAACGCAGTTCAAAAAATAACGAAAAACATGAAAAAACGGCGAAATTGCTGTTATTTACAGTGTTTTTGCGCGGTGAGAAGCAGAAACCACTGCAAATACCATGGTTTTTGAGGGTCAGGTGGCCAAAAACACTGTAATTTACAGTGTTTTTTTAACCAACGTCAAAAAACACTGGTATTTACGATGTTTTCATTCACACCGTAACATAAAACAGCGTAATTTACGAGGTTTTTGGAAGTTTTGAAGCTAGCCGTCAAGCATGCAGAAAACAGAAAAAACACTGTAAAAACCAGTGTTTCTGCTATCACAAAACGACGAAAATCAGTCCGAAAACGGGTCCAAAAACTCAAAAATCCGCCTCCGGGCCAGGCCACCTGCGGAACCGCAAAAAAAGATGTTGCAAACCAAAAAATTGAGGTCAAAAAGTTGAAAAACACGGGGTTTTTTCACTTTTCGCTTGCCGATTTTGGACGGGCGCGTTCACGAACAGGTGTCTTCCGTACTGTTTTTTACAGTGTTTTTTGAAGGCGAGCGTCACGACCTATCAAAAACAGGAGGTTTTGGCCGAAAAATGGTGCCCCCCCCCCCCCAGGTAAACCTGTAACCTTTTACGAGTGCCATCCGGAAGATCACGCCCCAGCACCTTCGGTGCGGGCGGATTTCCCCTACCATACGTACTTCTCCACCCTTCCTCGTAAGTTCCGGAAGGACATGGCAGAAGGTCTTCGGTCGTCAAATCAACAGCTGCAGGTGCCATGGATTGCTGTGAATCATGGGTGGTGGTCCCAACAGACAGAAATCATAGTCGTCGTAGGAAAATAGTGGCAACATGCGACAGATTATATTCCCATCGTTTTGGGGGTGATGCAGGCTTGTGTATTTCAACAAGCTGCACTATCACAGGTAACCAATGGATTTGAGAATAGCATGCATGTCATATCCCAAATGAGAGGAATATGACCAAACATGCTGGCAACATAGCTGGCAAATGGGAGATGGGAATGGGTCAAACTTGGCCACTCCCAAAACACATGAAATCCAATGGTTGACGTTGGGATTTGCTATTAGAACCAGCACAAAGTCACCATGATGAGGATATGGATAAACTGTTTACTACATAGTCTGCCGGTAAATCCCGATTTAGAAGCTAACCAGGAAGGGATTGGGTTCATCCACATCGATCACTTGGAAGAGTTGGAGTGTTTGGTGAGCTCTGTCATCCATCGTGGTTGATATGCAACCAACAACACATGATTTTATTGGTTGACTACGCATGTTCCGCCGAGGGTGAGCTGGATGCAGAGCGAACTGCACGGCTGCAAATCTTGCATCAGTTGTTGCTTGGCGCGAACGGGGTGTTCCGGTGAATACGTCCATATGCTATGGATCAAAATCAAACACCTTAAAGTGGGTAGGTGAACATCCCCCAAATAGTCTATTCTAGCTACTGGAAACCATTCATTCCAAATAGTTTGTCCCTTTATGTATATATATATATATATATCTCTTCAAGCATTTTTGTGCAGCGTCCTTTAGCTACAGCTTCCTGGTAAGTTCAAAACCTTATGAAAAAGACGCGATATCCCCTAGATCCCATCAATAGTACCTGGTTCTGTTGCGAATTCGGTTTGTTGGTATTTATAAATAGTGGAACATTAGTACTAATCAATTCCACCTGGTTCGGTTTGTCTAGATCATATCAAGAATCATCAGTATTTCCATCAACTGGTGGAATTGATTCTTGATATCATTTAAGATCCCCAACCGCTTAGACACGGTCATCAAACCATGGCTTGTAGGTGCGCAGGAATTCCCAGGTTGCTGGGCACTGTATCTTGACAGGTCCTGAGACATCGGCCATAGCCCTCAGGCAGCAACTGAAAAGGACAGAGTTGGAAGAGCTGAAAGAGGTTGGGCAGTGGGAATCCCAGGGCCATAGCAGCTGGTAGCGATGATTTCAGGAATTGTCGACAGTGCGACATGGATCTTACAACAGGTTCTGAAATTTTCAACCAGACTCTCAAAAGGGATTCATCACCTGCTGCGTCCCTAAGGTTGGACCGCGCAATCTCTCCCGTCACGCTTGTTCCCCCGAAGCCCTGACACGTGCACAAGGCAACTTGCACCGTTGGGTATGGGTCAAAAATGAGGTGAGGCCTTGAAAACCAAACATTGAATCATAGACTTGTCCTTTTTTTAGTATATAGTACTACACCATTCCTGATTCCATCCAAGTTCAGCAATCAAATACTTGACCCATATTGCACAGATGTTGTAGCCTTGGCCCAGTTTGGAATCTGCGCAGCCTGACTATGGGCAAGGATGCAGCATTGTGGACACAGCGCTGAAAAGCAGAGCATGTTTACCTGCCAGGAAGAGGAAGAATCAGACTTGGAAAGTCCTTGATATGTTAAGCTGGTAGGGGAATAAATTGTCCCTGGGTCAAATCGATGCCCATCTTCCTGCTGGTGGGGAGCTGCTAGCTTTGAGTCACCTGGTGATTGGGAATGCTTCGGATATAGCTATGTGGCTGTGCATTTGGAAGTCTCCATCGTTTCTCCTCTGCCTTTCCCACTTTAAACAGACAAGAAACAGAAGGAGACCAGAGCCAGCTGTTCTCCGTCCCTGCCGACTTGGCGGTATGCTGATCAGCGTGAGTTTTACTAGAGCAAGACATTTTCCGGCAAAGGTTTCTTTACAGAAAACTCCAAAAACTGGGATTTGGAGCAAATGTTCATCAATATTCACACCAGTGCTTAGCTGCACTATTCCCAGTTAGACAAATTCCTTTCTTTGAAAAGCCGCAATCAACCATTCGATCTTCTGTTGCCGGCTTTTGTCGCATGTATGAGACCTTAAAAACACAAGTGATCCGAAACGCAGCTGGTGCCGATGGATCCGTGGCAGTGGAGCCGCCAAGTTCTCCGATGAGGCTCGGAGAAGCCATCGTCAGGAGAAAAACCATCACTGAAGCTTCAGCCTGTCCTGCCAGGCGGGTGGCCACTTTGCTGGCATTGCAGGCAGATCTTCCAACGATGATTAAACAAAGGCTTTTTGTTGTGCCTTGAGAAACTTTTTTTTAGAGGTAATGATGCTCATTGGGTAACACTTTTGGATTAATTGTTGATGCAACTCCAACTTCCTTTTGGATGGGGATGAACTGGTGGTCAGATGTTCTGACTGTGGTCAAGAAGTGTTCTTCTGCACACACAGACCGGCAGATTTTCTGTGAAAGGTGCCGGCACAGAGCCAAAGTGCAGGGTGTGGTGGCTTAGCACTTTGTGGTGTGCTGTAGGGGCCCGGGAACGTTCGCTAGCAGCTGTAGAGCTTGCCGTTGTTTGGACATGCTGGCCAGAAAACAAAGACTACAAGGCAGGCATTGTATCTGAAGTATGGCTCAAGAGATGTACATCACTCAGTCTCGTGTCTCCCAAACATATCATAACGTATCCAAAAATCGTTGTCCCCTCTTCAGGGGCCATTTTGGGAGACACCGGAGACACCTAGTCGTTAGGCCATGGCCCGGTCCAGCCGGCCCAAGGATCAGCTTCCCTTATCCGAGCTCAGATGGCTTTTCAGATCCTCACGGGCAGGAGGGGAGCAGATGTCAGAGGCTACCCTGGAGGTGGCGCAAAGTCTGGAGCAGATGGGATGCTATGGATCGATGGAGCAACGGGTCCTCGAGGGCATGAGGTGTCAGCGGCTGGAAGTCTATGCCTTCCATCGAAATGCAGCTGCGGCATGTTGCACTCGACGATTTCAATGGCAGAGAGCCTTGGAACTCTTGGGACGAACGCTGAAACGGCGCAACATGAGCGCGGCGGTGAATGCATTGAAGCAGGCAGGCAGATGGCACTCAGCCTTCGGATTGCTGGCATCATTTTCTGATCGAAAGATTGAAGCTGATGCCAGTGGATGCAATGCTTTGGCCAGTGCATTAGAACGATTCGAATCAAAGTCCTGGCAGCAGCTCCTGTCATGGCTTCAAGGCCTTCCAACGCTGGATGAGGACATGACCTTCCACTCGCTGTTGCGGGTGTCATCCTGGAGCCTGTCCCTGGCAGTCTGGAGGTCTTTGAGCCAAGCAGCCTCCAAGGCCACAGATTTTTCGGACTGCATCGGACTCAACGCCCTGATGTCTCCATTGGCCCGAGCAGGGCGGTGGCAGTACGCCTTGGGCGTCTTTCAGTTGTTCAAAGCTCTAGGGGTAAGGTGTGATGGTGCAAGTTATTCCACCGCAATGGATGCCTCCAAAGATAGTTGGTCAAGCGCTCTCGAGCTGCTTTTGCGAATGAAGTTTCACACACTTGCTCCATGCCGCTTTCAATACACAGCAGTTTGTGATGTTTGTACTGCGGCAGAAAACTGGGAGAGGGCATTGGATGTGTTCGATCTGTCAAAGGCTTTGGACACATGGGATGTTCTTCTTGGAACTTCTGGTCTTGCAGCTATCTCCAAAAGCAGCAAATGGATGTCTGCTATGTGGACATTTGCCACACTGCCCCAAGTGTCTCTGCAACCAAATACCATCACCAGCACCTCAGCCTTGAGTGCTTGTGAGAGAGGCAGACAGTGGCAGATGGCCCTGCTTTCCATGAACGAAATGTTGGAGAAACGCCTGGTCAATGAGCTGTCCTTCAGTAGCACCATGCACGCTTGTGAGAAGTTTGGCCAATGGAAGCTTCTCGCATGCCTCCTTGCAACGATGACAGTGCCATGGAGCTCAAAGGAGCAGCTTTTGAGTTGTCGTTGGCCTAAGGATACCTTGTTGGTTCTTCCACCTTTTCCATCCTTTTCCCCTTGTTGGTTACTGTAAGCCACTGTTCATACTTTTTCTTGATAAAAGGCACTGGTACCACCAAGCGTCGCTTTGGAGTGCATGATTTCGTCCATCCTTTTTTTCCTGATCATTTTGGGGAAACCAATGGTGTTCGGTATGGTTCTTCTATGAAACCCCCAAATTTGGATCATTTGGCTTTGTTCGACATTTTTTGGGTACCCTTAAAATTCCCATATGTCATCATTTTATATCATTTTCCCAAAATTCCATGGCCACAAAGATGGCTTGAATCCCCATCAGCCAAGGCCATTGAGCTTCAAGCCAGCAGTACGGTCTACACCTCCGTGCGGCCTCCTGCCGCCGGCGGGATGCCATCGTTTGCGGAGACCCTGCAACAGACCGGTGATGTCGTCACTCGGGCGCTGAAAAAGTCTCCGAACTGCCGACGGCATGTCGGTTGGGGAAGAAGTTCACCGAGAAGGGGGAAGATCCACCAATTCAAATTGAAAACACTTATATAAATATCTTGGGCCCTTCTTGGAAATTGCTGGGACATGTCCGGTGTTTTTGTGTACTTCCACATCACCTGCATGACCCCTTTTGTGTGCACATGATCTAGGGCCGCAACCGGCAATGATGACTAAGGGGCACAAAACCGACAATGAATCATAGATGAGATACTTATGATGAGTAAACATGATATGTCCTGTTCAGAGGACTTTGGTCCTCACCACCTTGTGGTTGTTGTATCACCTTTGTGTAGTTCCGAAGCAAAACACAGATGCCTCAGATTTCTTTCGCAAATTTAATGATCCTTCAGTTGTCTTTGGATATCGGGTTTCCTGGCAAAAACTTCAGGGATTCAGGAGAAAATCCAGTGATTCTGCATCTACACAGAGGAACATTCTGGACCTCCGTTTAATCCCGACCAATCCCACAGCCCATCGATCACTCCAGGGCACGGCTCCAGGCAGAGGTCAAAACGGCCTGGCCGGGGCGTAGCCGCCAGAGTTGTGGCCCCCCGTGAACGCCAAGGGGTTGGAATCCCTGTTCCCGTGGCTTCATTGGAGACCGGGACCATCCGGGACCGCGGCGGCGCCATGGATGACAAAGACATGCAGTTGGCCAAAGTCGTGGAGCTGTTCACCAAGTTTTCGAAAGATGGTTGGCGGCTCAGCGAAGGGGCCGTGCCGTGCTTCCGTGCTGCCGTGCTGTCCTGGTGGGTTGGGTAATTCATTCGGTCACTGCAGTACACAGAGTTTAGGAGCCTGCAATTTTCCGCCCTGCAATCCCGGGAGGATTGGAAGATTTAGGGGGTTGGTCACCAGTTGGTCCTTGGTTTTCTGGAGATTTTCCAAGCCCCAATGACCACCGTGGCAGGCATGGTTCTAACCGCGTCTTGGCGAAGTAACTCAGGTCTAGCAGAAACGCCGTCGTGGTACCCTGTGGCCCGGGATTAATGACTGATGTGGATATGTGACTATGCATACAATACATTTGTAGATATGCTGAATAATTATAATATATTGATATATATATATATATTGATACTATATATATATGGCATACAGAATACACATCCACTTTGGGTTTCAAGTGAATTGCCATTTTGTATCATATTTGATTTAGATTGTACATATACTAAGAACAAAAACAAATTACTCCATGAATAGATACATAAATCACACACAAAGACACATGTATATTATGCTTATTGTATTATATATATACAGTTATACAAGATAAATAGATAAGTAAAGAGGTAAACAAACATGTCAACAAAGAAAAGTAAACAGCTAAATTAACACATGTGTTGCACACCTCGAAACACCATGGCCGGATGCGCCGAGGCTTCACTGCAGCGAATCCTCTGCAGCTGCGTCCCGTTGTCCGAGACGGACGTGGCGCGGCTGGTCGAGGCTCGATGGCCTGAAGCGTCGACCCAGGGGAGGTCACGAATGAGCCCAATGGGCCCCCATTGATGTTGGGAAAATGAGCATTTTTAAAAAATGGAGTTAGAGGTACCATATTTTGAATAACCCTTAAATGGGAATAGATGGTTGCGAACATGCGGAATTCAAGGGACATTTACGAAGAAACGTGTGACTTTGTGGGGGATTTAAGACCGAGTACCAATAAATGGAGATTTGACTGGCCATCAGTTGGGTGTTTATCCATGTTTATCCCAGTTGGGTTTGTCAGAAAATGGAAGATAACAACCCCTTTTTTTGCCATGTTGATGGCATAAATCATGACCAGCCAGAGAAACTGGTGAAACCTTGGATGCCTGGTTGGATGGTTGACATATTTTTACTATAAATTTATGGAGGAATACACTAACCGGCTAAAGGGAAATGTAAGGTATCTAAGTTTATAGCATACTATGAAAAGGGATGGCTCGAAAAATCACAATTTACAATGGTTACATACTTGGAGCCCTATATGATTCCAGCAAACATATGGTGGCTTTGACTTTTTTTAGCCAACAACTACATACAGGAAATGTCAAATAGCAAGAACATCAGAGAATGGTCTCAAAACGTGGTTTATTCATGTGGTTTGGGGGTGAGCTGTACCAGCTATTTGGACGTGAAATGTGTAGAGAATCTCAGCCCTACCAGCCCTACCATGATGACACATTGTCCCAGGCTATGGATACTCAGAAATCTGGAAAGGTGCCAGGGTGAGTGCGGGGGGATCAGCAATTCAGCCATTGCAAGATCTGATGTCACCAATGTCACCAAGTGGGTGCTTCAACTTGCACGAATGTGATTTCTGTCTTCGCGAAACTGGCCATCCGCTAGCCACTAGCCCAGGGCTTTATTGTGCGAATAGTTTCTAGATGTATCATGATGTATCTAGTACCAACAACTGAGTTATTCACCAACAAGATTCACCAACATACAGTTGCCACAGTTTTCCTTTTTGAGACCATTTATATAACATATATAACTTGAACCTTGAACAACAAACTGTTCTTTGACCATCTCAGGTCCGTGCAAATGATATCCCCAACTATGTGAACAAGATGCTCCGATGATCTCCGATGCCTGGTTCCAGCTCTCTGCACATTTGTAGCCATCAGAGGTTCAAAGATGATGAAATTCTCTCAGCTTCAGCAGATTTTCCTCGACCCAGTCAGTGATCCGGCTCTGATTTGGTGGAGCCCATGGGGTCGTAGACGCAGCCTTGCAGCTTTCCTTGATCGGGATGATGATGCTCCTTTGAGCAGCTCATTTCACAACTACACCAGCCACCCAACGCAGGGCTACTGGGCTGTGCCCAATGAGAAGTGCCTGGTCCACCGAAGTCTGTTGAGAGAACTTTATGGACCTGCCATTGGACCGGAGCACTATTGCGTGAACCAAAATGCGCAGAGAGACTTTAAGGCCTCCAAGGGTTTCGAGCCCACGCAGAAATGCTACGATCTTCAAAACTGCCAAGCTGCGAATTCTGGCCACTCATCGCATGGAAAGGGAAGGCCCCAAAGGCCTGTGCTGAGTACGGATCCTGACTATCCGAACACAGTCGTTTTCCTCACACCAGAGGCAGCCGATGCAGCTTTGGGCATGAAGTAGCGAGCACTTTGGCACCTGCACTCAAAGTCAGTGCAGATTCCGCGTTTTCATGTACGGCTCAAAGCGATTGGGTACAGTATACCTCCAAACTTGGATGGTGAATTATACAAGTATCCCAACTGAAGGAAAGCTGTAGATTGGATCTCACGATTCCCAAGATTTGAATCTCCATTTGTTCACGTGGATTCATTTGCACCTGTTTTTGAGGGCAAAACGACCTCAGATACAGCGGCCGGCCGGTGCGGCGCTTCAGATCAGTGAAAAAAGATAATCCCCCAGAATGGCAATATACGGCAATAAGAAAAATATAGAAAAATGATGACTACAGCAACCATAGCATTCTTATTGGCATTCTTATTGCCAATGGCATACAGTAACCATCCATTGTCAATATGGATTTTCAGTGTTTTTTCTTTTTTTCCGGAGAATCGCATACCACGTGGTAACCCACGGTCCGAAGAGTTGACTGTATCGCTGGTGCCAGGTGCCTCTGCAGCACTTCATCAGTTGGATGTTCCGCAACTTCGAAGACCAAATCGAGGCGGGTGAAGGCTGACCATGGCGGAGGGTGACCTCAATACGGCAATTCAATGGATTGGTTTAACAGGGGTTGGTAACTGTCCCATTTTGGGTATATTGGACATCACATGACATCACCTTATAGTAGCCATTATAGACCATATACCTAATGGTTGGGTGATGTTCAATGGGGACATTTAGTGACCCATGTTTAAGGGAGGAAAAGCCCCGATTTCATGGGAAAAATCCAAAAATCCTGCAGATTCTCCAATAAAAAACCAATCCATTGAGCAATGCCTCAAACTTCTTTAGCGATCTTGTGTTGTCTACGTCTGTAATTTCTAGCATGTGACTGCACCACTGCACACATAATGTGTGGAGGGCATTCCCGACATTGCCCAGAATTGGTTGAAGGATGTTCTTTGGGGAGCATGAAAACAGGTTTTTGATCTCTGCTTGAAGCTATTTTTAGATATTTTGAGGGTGTTTCTTAAAATGGGAGGTCCCCAAAACCCATGGGTTTCAATACTTAAATGGTCCTATTTTTGGATGATTACCCCCATTTTAACCTCTATTTGATCGGGAAGAGACATGAGAAGACCATGGTTTCCTATCCATTTCCGCCATGCGAGGAATGGAAGACGGATGCTGAGTTGGAAAATTTCACCTCTACCTTGCCCGAAGGACCAGGGCTGTCTCCAGGAAAGCCACTTTTCTTTTATGTCCAGCGAAAATGATGAATTTAGTATAATTTAATCAATAACACATGGGGGATTAATTGGTAATCAACGGAATTTAGACGAATTTGATGAATAGTAATGAGCCTAAGAATTGGGGGAGAATTCCATTTGGGACAACTTTTTGGGGTTTAACAATATTAACAATGGAATTTATGAGACAATTGACATATCTGACATCATCCCCCATTGAGCAGCGTCAAACACCTCCAAGCCGAAGCGCGCGGAAGGGCTTGCGGAAGCAGAGACCGATCTCGTCCGATCGCGGAAGGGCCGCGGAAGACGATTTGAGTACCGTATTAGATTTATATAAATATAATTAAATATATATATTTACATATATATATATATATATACGTATACATATACATATACATATTCATGAGGAGCTAAATCAATTTGTAGATTTCATGAGGAGCTGGATTCGCGGAAGCTCCGCGGAAGCAGAATCAACTTACCAACCATCCACGGAAGCTGAAACTGTGCTGGCGGAAGCAGCGCGGAAGACCGCGCGGAAGACAAGTAAGATTATAAGAGAATGACACAGGGGTTTTCGCCACCGCTCAATTGTGGCTTATGTCAAAGGATACACCTGGATTTGGGAATATTTGGGATGATGTTTTTAACGACCCTCAAATGCATGGTTTAGGATGGTTCGGGGATTGGAATTACCATATTAGTCCCATCTACAGGTAGAACAGGTAGCCGCATAGCCCTCCAATCTTAGACCAGGAGTCCGGGGGGATGAGCCAAACGACCACATGGCAGGTTGGAAATGTCACGTGCACACTGAGCTTGGGCTCCAAGGGTTTTTTAAAAGTACCGCAGTGACAACGAGAAAACTTGAATATCTTGACATTGGCATCTTTCAAGCTTGTTCACTAGACCTCTTACTTGGAGGATCTTCACAATTATGAAGTGGTTGATCATTTGGTCATAAAAGTGGTGGTGGTCCTGGATTCCTGGATTTATCATATCCCAGTGGAAAGCCAGGCCTCCAGGGAGCGATCTGGGTTTGTGGTGGCATTTCAGGACTTCAGAAGCTAGGCCTGAGCTTTGTGGATCCCGACAAGTTCACGGATCATGGCTTTGGACTCATCGGTGCAGGCTTTGGACCTCAGATTTTGGGCATTCCGCGGGTTTCTCATTGGCTTTTCGATTGACAAAAGTGACAAAAGGTTCACACAACTCAACCCGCGATACAATCTTGTCAAGCGAGTTGGTTCAGCAACTTGATCAAGCAGCGCGGGCTCATCGTAAGTTGGTGAACTGTTGCCAAACAGTCACCATACATCAAGGTGAATGGTACTTGTTCCATCTTGTTCCTCATGGCATTTTCATCATTTTTCCATATGTTTTTCCTCTGTCTTTTCGCAAAGCTGGGGTGTTTTTTGGATTGACATTTCGCGACCTGTTCTGCCAAAAGAGGCCTCCCAGCGACCTTGAAGACTTTGGCCTTGGCCTTTGAGTTCTCGTCACCTGGCGGATCTGCACCGGAGGTCGAAATCTCAAGGGTCTGCCATGAAGGGATACTGTACTGTAAGGGAAATGTGAGGAGCTGGTGTATTGGAAAGCTTTTTTAAGCCATTGTACCCTGCTTCATGTTGAGATCCTGCTTGTTCATTCAAGGTGGACGGAGTGCAAGATCTCCAAAGATGGCTTTGGCAAACTGGTGGCTGGCTTACCAAAGGCTTCGAGAATCCAGACTTCCAGAAGAGCACTAAGAAACATAAAAAGGGAACAGCAAACATCGCGAACAATGCATGTTGGGCATATGATACCTTTCTCGCCCCAAACTGCTGCGTGTACAATATGCTCAAACTATCCTCGGAATCAAAGGGGCTGAAAGATGCTTTCTGATTGAAAATGACACTTGTCAGTTCTTGCGGTTGAATTTCCGGGTGAGAATATCTATATCATACGGATCAACGGTCTTCCCGTCGGTCTTCCCGTCGGCCTTCCCTTTCAGAAAGTTGGTTGGAAAAGATGAAGTGGCTGAAAGGCGTTCAGACGAAGTTTTCAAGAAATTCCCTATTTATAGTAGCCCCAGATTTGGCTTCAGCAAACATTTGCAGGAAGCTTATACTTAATCAATCTTGATCATATTTTGATGGTAAAATGCAATGGCTTCCTGCTGTAAACAAATCCCTCGCAAACCGATGATTTGGCGTTATCTCAAAATTTGGAGCCCCTTAAACCATCCCATGATATCCCATGGTTTAAGACCTTACAAGATTTTCCCGATTCACATGGCCATAAACTCAGTGCAGGGCTTAACCTCCTTAGACCTCAGCATCCACAACGATGAACTGGGAGATGAGGCGCGGGCGTTCTGGCTGGTGCGTTCAAACATTCCGGGGTAACCAACCATCAACCACAACCTAATAGTAATGATGGGGATATTCATCATAATATATATAATATAATATAATATAATATAATATGATATAATATAATATAATGTAATATAATATAATGTAATATAATGTAATATAATATCATATAACAAAATAATATATATATATATTTATTCATTCATTGAGTCGGGAAGCATATCATAAACAAATATGGGGATGCAGTGGGGATATATTATGGGATATATTGGTCGGCCATATGTTTTGGGATGGTCATCCCCACATTCTATATTTTCATAGGGACTTTGCTGTAGCCATTAAGGTTTGTCTGAAAATGAGGTACCCCCAAATCTCACAGTTTGTCATAATTTCCCTACGTTCCCTCTCAAAATTGCTGTTTCATGCTGGTAAATTCCAGACCCACACATCATGTCAACTTGGCTATAATATGATAATATATATATATATATAATTATATATATATATACACACATACTGTTGTATCCCATATGAGTCCCACATTCATTGCGGAATCATCGTCTGTTTCAAGCGTTGATCCAACACTGAGGCCTTGAAGCTTTTGGCCGAGGTGATGCCTCCCACGATGTCGCGCGCAACTTGGTGGTGGCAGGCGCTTCTTCTTGGTCGTTTCCTCATGCCATGGGGGAGAATATGTTTAAATCCCAGTGTTATCTTGATGTTTGGATAAATGATAGTGGGATAAATGGTTGATAAGTAAATAATGTTTTAACAACATTACTTTAGTGGGTTGTAATATGACGTTTGTTTAAACGAGTCCCAAGAAAAAACGATAGTCATTATCCATGATCATTCCACAATCGTTATCCATGATCATGATCAGGATCATATCATCATGATGATGATGATGATAATAATAATGAATGATGATGATGACGATGATGACGACGACGACGACGATGACGACGTCGACGTCGATGATGAGGATGATGATGAGGATGATGATGAGGATGATGATGATGATGATGATGATGATGATGACGATGACGATGACGATGACGACAACGAAAACGATGACAATGACGATGATGACGATGACGATGACGATGATGACGATGACGATGACGATGATGACGATGACGATGACGATGATGACGATGACGATGACGACGATGATGATGATGATGACGACGAGGAAGAAGAAGATGATGATGATGATGATGATGGTGGTGGTGGTGGTGGTGGTGATGGTCATGGTCATGGTGATGGTCATGGTGATGCTGGTGCTGATGCTGGTGCTGATGCTGGTGCTGGTGCTGGTGACGATGACGACAATAATTTCTTTGTGCCCGGAAGGGTCCAAATGCATCAAGCTGCGACCCGCAGCAAATCACTGATTCAGTGGAGGTGTGGCAAGCCTTTTCAGCACCGCCGGCTGAATTCACTGGCTGTGATGACGTCAATGAACTTTTCTTGCCAAATTCCTAAGCAAACAACATATTAGGCATGGATACACACTAAATGAACGAACAACGCAAGCTAGGACAACAAGAGTCTTGGACTCTCAAAGGTCCTTTGAAGAATGTCAGCGGGGTGGTTCTGTGCAAGCGGCTTTGAATCTGCTCGTGACTTCCAAAGCATCTAATATGACTTGAATATGGATAAGCTACCCATCCTTTGCAAGATTCAAGATCCAAACTTCATGCTTGAAAGTCTCAATCACATCCTTCAGAAAAGATCTCCACGCGGAGCAAAACGATAGGTTTTGTTGATACTAGCCTAGGTTTACTGACCCTGTCAGATCTTTGAACTTGATTCTTATCGGCCCCCGTGGGTTCTACAGCCAGTTGAATACAGTTTGCATTCAGCAACTGGCTTGGATTCTAACCACAAAATACCACTTAAATGTTTGTTGGTGGCTGACACTCTGGCTGACTCAGGTGGCAGACTCAGGTGACCGACCGAACTTCCAAAACAGATAGAATCAGATAGATAAGGGTGTGTCTGAAAATAGTACCCCCAAACTTTATATTGATTGGTAAAGAGATGATGAACGCTTGGATTTTGGAGGTACAGTTACATAGAGTTACCGGATCCATCCGGATCTGTTTGGATAACCCCCACCTCGGAGCACCCCTGCGACCATTCCCAGGTAGTGCTGCACTTCAAGGACAACGATTCCTTCAGCGACACAGGTCTCTGTTCCCTGGTGGCATGGGCCGCATGGGCCGCAAATCGATCAAACATTTCCCAGGTTCTCCAACAGAAACGGTGTGGTTCAGCACCACCAAAGCCACACCCATTGCTTTTCCCATTTCAATAACCTTCTGGTCCGAACACAAGTCGAGAGACAGGAACATGTTGCAAAAACAGGACAGGTCGTTTAAATTACCACGTTTCACCGCTGCTCATCTCACGACATGAAATGAAAGATATGCAATGGTTTTACTAGCAGTGGAACAAGAAAGCTACTATGCTTTGGACACAAGAGCCTGATGCTGAAAAAGATTTCCGCCGACGGATCAACCTTGAATTGCACAGCCATGACCCGCCATAAATCTCATTAAATCTCCAGCAGAGCGGAACTTCAGCAACTGTTTCATTGCAAATCACTAAACTGGAGGAAACAACACAGTTGGAAAGATTCAAGTTGATGCAGCAAGAATTTCAGAACGAAAAAAGAGGGAATGGTCAATGCAGAAGGATGGTGCAATCCCTGCAGAATTCAGAGACAGGGTATCTCAAAGCAAATAGACATGGCTTCTGAGGAATCAGCACAGTTATATATACGAATCACAATTTTTGATGAATCTAAGACCAGGATAGCGCAACTCACTTTTGCATAGATGTACGAAATTAATTGGACTCATACTAATATGCATTGACAGTGTAACAAGACATGAATACTGTCCAAGACTGCAACTCACCTCCGGTTTCCCAGAGAACACCTGCCATTTTTGGTCTTCCGAGGCGCTCTCATATCAAGTGTCTTGATCGCAGTGGATATAGGCTGTGGTTTGTTGGTGCCACCAACAGCCTGGATGAACATCATCATCCAAGTCATCCTTAGGATTTCCAACCCAACTTAGGGAAGCAAAGAATTTGAGCCATCAGCAATCATCAGAATACCCAAAACCTTGTCAAACAAGGAAACATCATTTGGCCATAGCCATCCATGACGGTCAGCTTGCAAAACATCAAACATCACCCTAAGACTGTCAGGGCATCACCCAAATGGCCACTGAATACGAGTAATGTTGTGGATCCATATAGGTAGATAGGTAAGCCATTTTGGGTCGCCATAGCCAAACCTGCTTCAACGCTCAGCTCTGGGGTTTCAACATGTTTCAAGTTTCAAGCATTAAAAAATCCCTTGAACCAATTCCAGGATCACAACAAATCACCATAGACCTGGGCAAAGTATGAACAATTTGATATGTAACTGTATATATATATATATATACATATACGTATACATATACATACGTATATATATATATATAGATATACGTATCCATATACATATGTGTATATATATATACATATACGTATACATATACATACGTGTATATATATATAGATATACGTATCCATATACATACGTGTATATACGTGTATATATATACATACGTATACATATACATACGTATATATATATATTATTTAATATATTATATATATATATTAATATGTATATATATATATATATGTATGTATATATATATATATTCATGTATATATATATATAATAATATCTAGCACCCATGGTATACACAAGACACAACCCTGACATGTCGAACTCGTCCAGGTCTTCCCAGCAGCCTCACAGAGTTGAGTCTCAACTTCGACGCCAACGGCCAGTTGTCCGATGCCACGTTGACGACGTTTCTAGGTCTGAAGGGCGTTTAAAAAAGGGTGGTAAATGGTGGTCTAAATGGTGGTCTAAATGATGGTTTAAATGATGGTAAATGGGGGTAAATGATTCAGTAAATGGTGGGAAATGATGGTTAGGATTGAAGAACTTCACTAAAATGGATCAAACTTGCTGATGATTTCTAAGGGAATTCATGGGGGAATCATCCCCTCAAAATGGATCAGAATTTGGCTCTTTGATTTGGAAATGCGCGTAGTTTGCCAAGAAAGGACGGTTGTGGGGATCTGGCTTTTTGTGGTGGAACTATCCCATAAAGAGGTGGAGAGTCAACTTGAACCAATGAGGCAAACATAATTGAGAATACTAAGCCAGATATACTCAATTTTATGATGTAGGGGGGGTGGTTGATAACCTTGAGTAGGTACTTTTAAAGTCTTGGAGTTTGTTCTTGGCTTTACCACTTTACAAGGGAAATGGTGTTTGCACCACAATTTCCCACCACTCAGTGCAGTTCAGGCTTGCAATCTGGCTGCGTGATACTGGCAAAGCACTGCAGAAGCTGCTTGGCGCCTCGTGGTATCTTCTTTGATTGGCTCTGTCTGAACATGGCGCTTTTCCCCAACAATATATGGCCATGTTAATGGGACAAAGAGGTTGAAAACCATACAATCTGCGGTAGGATTTGGGTGGGATTTCCCCTATTTTCAACCAAGACCCAGCAACAAAAACTCGCCAGGTTGCAGTTCATTGGCAACAGCAGCCCCAAGATCACAGAGAATGGGTTACATGATCTTTGCTCCGCGCTGCCCAAGATGAAACAATTGCGGTGACCTGACTGCAGACCGGTGACTGCTTGTTCGAAACATTCCTTCTATTCCATGATGTTTTGGATCAACTTACTTTAGTAGGGAATGGGGGAATGGGATGATTATTGTATATTATTGTGATTATTAATAGTTATGGATCATTCCCCTATTCAATCTATTCCCTACTAAGCACCAGTCAAGAGCCCAATGCAGCTGTGCTGACAGGTTAGAGTTCCAGTCCAGCGATGCAGCAGACCTGCCGGGGCAGTTTATCACGAAGCAGGAAGAATTCGTCGTGTTTGTGCCACACTGAAAGGCCCTGGAGGGCTGAGATGGGCTACCCTACAGACCTGTATGTTTTTCCCATGGCCTACCATTGTTTTCCCTATTATACTACAGATATCTACAGATTAACATGGCAATTTTTGGGCTGTCCACATTTTGAGATAGAAATTGCATCATGGGTGGACTCCGGGTGGACCTGGCTTTGCCCCCCAACCTGCAAGATGGTAGACTTGGTTTTGGCAACTCCGTTGTCGTTCACTTGTCTAAAAATATGGTCTCAGAAGATAGATCGGGAAACACCAAGTGTCCACATGTTGAAGAAGCGCTGGCATGAATCTTTTCCACTATGTCTTTTGCACTTATGCCATAGCTAGTGGTGGCATTAGCTCCCAAAAAATGATCAACATTTATCCTTTGGCTGCTACACCCGGCTTTCCGGACTAATCATCTATTGATCTTCTATCGGTCCATTTTCTTATCAATTTGGATTTCCACGCTTACCAGGCAGATGTGGCACTGTGGGGAAGACCACCCACGCCATGCGCAAAGTGGACCTTCTGGGTGTTTTCAAAATGAAACAAATGGACCTAAAATGACTCAAGCGTGCTTCAACGTGCTTTAACGTGAAAAAAATTGAATCTGGACAATCTGGAAATGATCCGGATTGGCCTATCCTTTGTTGGTTTCAACCAATCGGACATCTTAAAGTTTCAGCATTGGAATCCATTTTTGAATGCACCCAATTGAAGCTCCATGTTCTATACCGATACTGTATTTGGCATGTGGCTGTTTCCGAAGTGATTCAAATGGCATGAAATGACCAAGTCCTGAATATCTAAGTCTCGTTCCGAGGCTTCAAAATATTCGGAACCAGAGCAAGGCTTGTCTCTTCATTTTGGCTCGCAATCTTAGGAATCTCAGAGCCTCTGAAAACGGCTGCATTAGAGGCAACTGTGACTTTTTGGCCAGTGCCCCTCATCGGACAGTCTTGATAAGCCAGGGGCCTGCCACTAGCATGTATGATTGCTATGTTTGCTCATTCTCTCTGTCCAAAGAAATATGATGGTGAATAACCTCAGCCAGTGAAGCTTGGCACTTTGGAAATCAGCACTGTGAATCTCACAAAGTTGGGATGGCCTTCGAAGAAAACGAAGAAAGCAGACGACAGGAGATTCAGGGTCCAGGGGCACGCCATGACAGGGGACATTCGGCCTTGCAAGTTGTGTGGGAAGCCATGGTTACAGGAACGGCAGCCTGATGTTTCGCACAACGCCCCATCCACCGTGCTCCGGTGGCAAATGGGGCTGCCATATATGGTGGCAGCTCCATCAAACTCTGCTGTTTACTCCGAATCTTTCCTTCCTGCATCTTCCTGCGATCCGCACCGGGAGAGAGCCTCCTAGGTTGTACGGGAATTCAAGAGCGAAAAATCAGCGGGTGGGGGAGCAGGTGGATCAATGAAAGGGGGAGATCGCAACGTCATCCCACTGAAGTACGTAGGACTCCATCTGACAGCACAACTGTTTGCAAAGGGGAACAACTCTGGGTATATAATCAGGAGAGTGAACACCGTTTTTTCCCCATATGGAAAGTGTTGTGCATTTGTTTCCCACATTTTTTCCACCCAACACTGTTTTTTTTGCCAGAAAAAACGTCACCCGATTTCCGAAGAAATCCAGGTTTGGACTTGCAGCCCTAGGCAATTGCCCAGAGGCTCAACAGGGGTCGACTTGGACATACCAGGTGTTTGCTTTCAATTGTTATTAAAAACGGATGGAAATTGGTGGAATTCTATCAAATACTGGTATATATATATATAATACACTTTTTATATACTTTATATATACTATATATATACATTATATATACATTATATATACTTTATATATACTATATATATATACTTTATATATACTCTATATATATACTTTATATATATACTTTATATATACTCTATATATACTTTATATATATATATACACTATATATACTTTTTATATACTTTATATATACTTTATATATACTATATATACACTTTATATATACTTTATATATACTTTATATATATACTTTATATATATATATACTTTATATATAATACTTTATATATACTTTATATATACTATATATATACTATATATATACTATATATATATACACTTATATAAAAATATCAGCTTTTCTGAGTCATTTTGGGGTTGACTAGAAGCAAACTTAGACCTGGGTACTCAAGGACCAACGCTCATTCTCCTGGCGCCAGGCTGCTGAATGGCGGGAGTGGTTGCCTCAGCTGACCTATGGCACTTGGATGGAGAAAAAGCCATGGTGGATATGGTGGAGGATGCCAAATTACAGCAGCTTCAATTCCGTTTCATGCTCAGACTCACGGATTGCTCGTGGCTCTCAGCAATGCTGATCCTGTTTTGCCAGCCTCAGCTGGAGATTCTCACACCGGAGCTTAGCCGAGGCTTCTCCAAACCATCAACACTGGTGCAGAGGCGGGCCCGGAGTGTTTCAACACAGGTGTGTCAGAAAGTTGGGAACCTCAACCCCTATCGGTTTCTGATAGTTTTTGGGCTCTAAGTTTAATAGTGCGAATTCATCTAGAAGGCTAGGAGGGTTTTGCAGTTTGAGATATGCCATATCCCTGGTGAGTATAGCCCTCATAGATTCTCACAGAATATGAACTGTAGCCTTTCAGGGGACTTTGCCGGACAATATTTTGCACTGACAGTCCGGAGCACTCCGAACAAGTGCCAGAACTCCAATTGATTGGAATTGATTGGAGGATCCCCGCCCCAGTCCCGTGCTTTGAAATTGTTCTCTCCAACGTTGTTTCCTTTTGTTTTATTTTATACATAGTTGATGCCACCTTGATTCCTCCTCGCCCTCAGTTGCTTCAGTGGTTTGAGGCCTTTAAGTCGGGCCACTTCGATAAAGCCAAGGCCGATCTTAGCTGGGACTGGGCTAAGAATTCCCATGGGCGAAACCTATTCGGATTCCTTGACGTGCACGTGGGGAAACCTATGATTCTTCGACAACTTCTCCTTTGCATGTTTTCGCTTTTTGTTTTGGTTGGGTTTCGGAGAGCCAATGTTGCAAGTGTGGTGCAATCTGACTCTGGAAAACAGCTGCCGGGCTGACACCGCATTTTTATTTTTGGACTTCGGACGACTTCGGAAGGTTTTCAGTTAGCACGCACATATTCTTAGTACGTATCTCGAGATTAATGGGGTAAATCTACCACTACGAAATCAATTCCCAATCCAGATGGTTCATCATTCACCTTCTTACAAGGTTCGAAAATGCTTCTGTCATCTTCCATTTATCATGAATTGGAAATCAATTCGACAAATCTATGGTCCATTATGTCCATTGAACTACCAAGAATTTGTTGATCTTTGGCATTGTGTTGTCAATTGTCTTGGGGCCCATTTTAAAACCGTCTAAATCCACTGATCAATTCATCATTAACTCGGCAGATGTTTTGTTGTAGATGTTCATATATTCTTTCCCCAGACTATTAAACACCTCCCAAATGGGACCTCAAAATGAAACCATCGTGGTTTCAAAGAATCTTCTGGGGTATTGAATACTTTGGATACTTCGGGGAAGGGAAAAAACATGATAAACATTGATAAACCATGATAAACCCCTTATACTACACACCCCATAAACCCTGGGAGTTCTTTTCTGAACCGGGGCCCCGGAACAAAAACACCGGAGGTGCTTCTGGCTGATGCTGCAGCGGTGACGCGGGATGAGCGGCAGGCGGTGATTCCAAGAGTCGGATCGAAGGATGAGCTTCCCTCAATGTCGAAACAATGGGTTATTTAACGATTTTAACGGTAGTTGCTAAGCTGCTATAAGTATTTACTACTGTATTATTTATGAACTGATTTAACTGCCATGGCAATTTTGGGTTTTTCAAAATTAACCATTACTTTAAGGCAATTTTGATGGGGGTAATGATGTTCTGCACGTTGTTTTCTAAGCGTGGGGAGGGGTAATACCATGAGAAACCCAAAGAAGCCCGGGGTGGTTGGATTTATGACACATTTTATGAAATTATCTAGGAATCTAGCCATACCGGGAGATGTGGTTGTGGGTCGAGCGGGGACCCATACACAATGGGAAATTCATGGAAATTCTGAAGATTGCCATCGATCCATTAAGAGAGAAGCGTTAATGTGGGAAAGCCAGTGGCATAAACTTAAACCTACCATTTGGATCCATTTGGGTTATACCACCCATTTATGGTGATTTTGGGGATGGTCCACATTTCAGGCCATCCTGCTGTAGGCCTTCTCCTGCTCCCTGGGAATCTCTGCTTTGTATCGAGCCCTGGCCTATGCCTACTGCTCCCACTTGCACGAGGACAAGAGGATCATGAGGTGCGGATGTCGGATAAGTCAACCTATTGGAGCCATATTCTTGGGGAATGAACATCCACCTATACCTACGTTACTATACCTGAAAACCCATGTTTTTCCGCACTCTTGAGAGATGACTTGGTGGTGGATTCCGAAGTGCAACTCCTGCTGGGCGGTGGAGTGAAGACACTGGTGACCGTTGGAGATACATGGACGTGCGTGTATATGTTGACCTGGCAAACCTATGCATACACTTCTGACTTCTACATCATTTTTTTGTTTTTTGGCCGTCAGCAGCTCTTAAATGTTTTTCGAAAGGGTTGGCTTCTGGCCAAGCTTTCTTGACCTCAAACATACGGTACCACGTTGGAGTGGTCAACGGACCTCAAAAAGTGTCTTAATTTATATATAATATAAATATACACTAATAGCGGTATATCCTGAAGCATATTGAGGATATGATAGGATATATATATATATACACCACTATATAAATATGATATATATATATACATATATCTATAACATATACTATATACAAAATCATACGAATTTTCAAGCATATTTGGATGCACCTTGCCTATCCTCGACGTTTCTTTGCAGCAGTCAGCACCTGCAAGGCGTTTGAATCAGATCGGGCTAAGGTTTTTGCCCCTTGGCTGAAGTGAACTGAGGAAGACCCAAGTTTTGGCAATTTCAATCGGGAACATTCGAACATTTTCAATGGCATTTTGATGCATTTTGGGGTTTCCAACTTTTGAATACTTTTGAAACTACTTTTGAAACTACCCCACAAGTAGCTGCTAGCTGCTCACGTCATGCAAGTCCTCAAACCAAGTGTTGCTGATGTTGTCATGGCCAAGTTGAGAGTGTAGTTGCGGTTATGCCGGTTATGCTTGCGCTGCGCCCGGGTGTTGCTTTGTTGTGCTGGGATAACAACATTGCTGGTTGATAGTTGCGTGGTGACAAAGAAACGCATGTGTTGATGGGTGGCTCCCTTGTGGCTTCCATATTGCAGGTGACAGGACTAGCTAGCTGCAGCTACAGTAGGTGTTCTGGGATATGAGCACCGCATTTCACAGCATACTGTTGGACCTGCACTTGGGCTTTTCATCCATTCACAAGCAGCATGAGGCACTTGGCAATGAATTGGCATCTTGGCAAGTGTGGTCGGGCTGTCAGGTTTTGTTCCTCAAAACAGTGTTCCAGAATGTGTAGATTGCAAATTCACGTGATTAACTTTCCAAAATTGAGATTTCATCTTGCATTTTGAAACCGTTCGACCCCCTGAGATATGCAGGGAAGACCAGAAAACCCTAAATACTGTCTTTTGTGTGCATGCATGCAAATGGAAGAATCCATGACATACCAGCCCTGGTCCTTCAAGGGTCGAACCACGTCAAATCACGTTCCCTTTGTATGTCTGTAGTCTGTAGCTCTTTGTCCTGACTCAAGCTTGTGATGCAACATATTTTGTGGATTTTTGTGGCATAAATGCAGGTTGACGCATACTTTCGTCACATCGAATCATGACCAGGCAGGGTGTCCGGTGCGTTTCACCTGGAGGTGTCCGGGGTGTCCGGTCCATGTCTGGCTGCAGGCGATGATCGATGGAAGTGCATGGCCCATTGGTATCCAGGCTGGCTATCTGAAAAGGGGAGCGATGACAGAAAAGCTGATCTCGATTTAGCTTCATGGCGATGGATGATATATTTATTTGTATATATATAATACATATTGACATATAGTAGATATATATATATATATTTATTGAGGCTTGGAACTATACTGATATTTTTGGGAAGTATCCAACGGTGGGCTCAACTTCTGTGCCTTTCCTGGCTTCTCAGGACATCAACAATGACTTGACGTCAGGGTCTAAGTCTGGTGATCCTGGTGATCAGTATCGCTTGTGATGTGTCTATCCTGATGTGACTGCTGGACACCTCATCCCATGGTAGTTTCCAGCATCTCCTACACGCATCCCCATTGTTGTTTGATGATGTTTACTATTTATCATCAGCTAATGCAACTAATACACATCAGTGAGATAAATATCAGCTAAATCATGAAATCACCCAGTTGTTGCTGATTGACTTTTCAGCAAACACTTAGCCAATTGGCACCAATGGGTAGAGACTAGCCATCCATCCACTGTTTAACAAAACCATGTTCTTTTTTCACCTAAATTTTCCGTATACTACATAGTTACATAGACTATAAATCATTCCTCCATTACTTGTTAAAATTACCAGTGACTACATAAGCAAAGCCATTTTTGCCCACGGGAGAATCCGCCACTCCCGCAGTTCGATTTCGAGGTCTGTGGTGGCTGCGATCCAAAGCTCTGGCAGCTTGGGACCGGCTTCTCAGAGTGCGGATGGGTTGCCGGTTGCAGTGTCAAACACCCATTGGTTTATTTGGTTTATTCAATTGAAAAGTCGTGGTTTACCCATTGGTTATTGTTGGCTGATCCCTTTTCACTAGGTTGGTTTATTGTTCACATTGGGCTTCTACTAACCGAGTGGAAAAGGATCAGCCGACCATCTATTACACTCCACAAAATTGCAATACCTGGTTCCTACCTGAAAAAATCAGCAGTGCCAGTTGGAAACCAGGTTGGAAATACGCTGGTCCTGATTCATCCTCCCATGAAGAGGGCTGAGATCCCATGGCCATTGGGGAATCCCATGGCCATGGATGGTGGGATGACGCTACTCCATATACCATGTTTTGACCATGGCTCATATGATAGTGAACATAATAATTAGATATAATAAGATATAATAAGTAAACATATCAATGATCTGTTTATACACATTTATACATATCATACAAACATACATTCCAGGTGGAGGGGGCCAAAAAATACTTCGAACCCAATGACTTACCATTTCCTGAGTTATCGAAGCCACGGGTCGTTTCGGTATGTATGACCAATGTCCAATCAAGCAATTGGGAAAAAGGCGCACTTGGTGTGGAGGTTTTTGCCCTGAAGAACAGATTTTGGCCACCTCCTACAGAGTCAGCGAGCGCTTCCAACCTTAAACGGCTCCCGAAGGCCATATGCCAACAGCAGCCGGCAGGCACGTTCCTCATAACTTCAGGCTCGGACGGCTCTGGTGATTGGGTGACAGCTTTTCTCTCAGCAGCAACCGATTAACGATGACACATGATCAACTTGGGTGCCCATTGCGCAATTTGTGAGACACCATGAAGATTGCTCAAACTGATGTCCAACCGCACTAGTTTACATGGATGGTTCATGAAGATACGAAAATCATGTCCATCTGTGGGTTTTGGGACAAACTTTTGGATCCATGAGACCTTAGACTTTGATGTCCAGGCGACCTGACTTGCGCATTGCCATCGTGAGTTTGTGCGTCAATGGGCCCAGTCCAGAAAGGGGGTCACGGAGAGGCTGGAATTGAACAATTCCATTGATGGGTTGAATCACTAATCATTCACTAATCACCACCCATCGCGGGGTAAACATAGAACCACCAATTGGAATACCAGAGGGTAACCATCACTATTAACCACTATTAACCATCATTAACCATCATTAACCATGGAAAGACTGTGATTTGATGCCAGGGAATGCTGGACTGGACTTCACGGTGGGCCCATTTGCTGGTTTTTTTTGGTGGGCCCAATGCCATGAAGAAGGGATGAGTTTGATACACATTTACAGTAAATCGGGAGATGACCTATCAAGATCTATCAATTTGATTGGGTTTGCCATCCAGAATCTTCACCATAGATCTCTTGAGTTGGCTGGTTCACTGCTTGGCCACAGCCGATGCTGCGGAAGTTTTTTCAACATCTGAACTCCCGAATTTCCCGAATTTGAGTGAACCTCATGGGTCCCAAACATTCCCAAACAGCCGATGTTTTAACAACCTGTTTGGTGGTTTGGATCATTTTTTATTTTTCCATATCTTGGGAATAATCATCCCAACTAACTAACATGTTTCAGAGGGGTTGAAACCACCAACCACTTTTGCAGTATACTATGAATCTATCAGCCGATGTCATGACCAGTGACTTAAGACCGACGGGAAGCAGAGACTCGATGACGACCTTGTGGTTCCAAGTTGTGAACGAAAAATCAATGCCTTGCAAGTCATTTGAAGTCACTGGGAAAGAAGGCAGGAGGAATCATCCGGACCCTTGAACCAATCATTCAAAAGCCTTACTCACATGATGTTTGGACATTTATAGAACTGTATAGATACATTATGATACATTTGGTACATATGGCACTAGCACATCTGGACAGTGCAGTAGACACAACCCCTCTCTGATTTTTGAAAGTTCCTAGTTGCTTTGTGTGGAATCCAGTTTCCCGACAGGAACTCATGACAGAACCAATGTGACCACTGATATTTCACTCATGTTTCCACATTGCCAAGCTAACCACTGAAGCTTATGTAGCCCCGCTTGCCACGTTCCCTGATGGTAGCGCCATGTCGCCGCCTCAATCTATGCAGGAGCATTCTATAAGCCTACTTTGGTGGTACCTGTATCATATACAGGATTCATGTAAATTTTGGCACATTCAGGGACATAGACCCAGAGATTACGGGGATGGCTGAAAGGGAAGTTCTTTCTAGATACCCCACTGGAATGCTTGCTTCCAGTTTATGTTGTAAGTATTTGAAGTTTGAGAGACCCTGATTATGTCCGTATACACAGGATAATCATAATTTGTGTATAGAATTGTGGATGTGTAAATTTATATACTATGAGATGGATAGATATGCACAGGTAGGCAGGTAGGATTTACTATCCAATTATTATCGTCGGTACTACGTTTGTTAGTTGCATATCCAGTCATGATCCATGATAATCCAATAACACATCCCCCCACCAAGATTCCTCTAATCTTCCATATCAGCCCAAACGGTATTCAAAATTCAATTTCCGATAGAACAATAATACTAATTCAATCGATCGGAAATGATGGATTCATATTACATATGGATACAATTTTTGATAGAATACCACTTCCGATAGATTCATATTTATTCAATAATAGTCCCATAATATAAATATCTATAATATACCCTCTGGTTATTTAACATAGCCATGGGAAATGGCCCATGTATAGAGGTTTACCTATTAAGAATGGTGATTTTCCATGGCTATGTTAAATAACCAGATAGTAATATGAATAATTATTCCATAGTCTATATCTCTATGGCTTGCTGGAAATCCACCATTTACACATGATTTTCCTATCTATAAATCTCCATTTAGGCCACGGGGTTTTCCCAGCCAGCCACGTTTGATTACCGGATGGTAATTCTCCATAATCTTCCATAGACTTATTCCATCATTAATCCTACTAGTGATCCATAATTAATCGATTGTCAATTCCATTCTCTATAACCATGATGTTGGTTGTGATTCCTAAGGGTATCCCATTAAATGTCCCATTATCAGCCGTTAGTAATCATTATTAGGCACTATCAACTCTTACTTATTAACGCTCTTTAGCCATACCGCCATCCTCCATCATAATGCTATCATTGGGATGATTTTAAAGGCAGATTCTACAGGAAAACATGTTTCCCTTCACAATAAACGGGGGTTCCAGCAAATTTTCCTTTAAACCAATCCAATCACCTGGGTTTAAGGTGATTTTTGATTTTTCCACTGAGAAATATATCGCCTTACTAGGGAATCGATAGGGTATGTTTTTGACCTTTTGGGGGTACCTTACAGCAATCAAAAAAAAGGCATGGCCCTGGCAGCTTCGAAATGGCAGGACTTGGAAGCGCTCAGCGCCGGGGATATCCGCCGACTGCTGACACGCGAGGGAGTGAGCTGGGTGGCCCAGGGGGTGGGTGTTGATGTTCTAATGAAATGGGGAAGTTTTTGTCATATTGGATCTATAGGTGAATGTAATTTACTAATGTACATATTCTATATTAATTAGATCTATTAATACATGTGAATCTTCATTATTAATTATATACATATTCTATGTGTATATATATATGTCATGTTTCAAATGATATTTCATAGACATTGACCAACAAAGAGGCCCATAAATCAAGCAAGCTTTGGATGTGGCATTTAAGCTTTTGTGGTAAATCTATATACTAAACTTTATGTTTTGAGTCACCTGGATGATTGTTGAACATGACTAGCTCGAGCCGTGGGTCCTTTTGAAATGGGACATTTTGCCCAACATCCGAGGCTGCCGTGGATGCATTGAAAAGGGGGACTTTGTGCTACTTGGATTGCATTGGAAGATGAAACAAAACCTATGAAATACCATATGGAGGTGTCCTAAACTGGGGAAAAACCCAAATCAACCATTTTTGCTTGAGATTTTCCATGATAAACAATCCATTTGGGGGCAACAATCATTTATGGAAACCCCCCATATTTTGGGAGGATGAACATCCATTTATCAGTTTTTTTTTGGGGGTTCACTATGGAATGGTAGTTTTCAATGATTCCATTCCTACTGTAGCTGGGATGATAATCTGCATGAAGATGGCATTATTTTGTACCCCTTCCAACCGACATAGATTTTTGGGGACGCGTTGAATCTACCCCTGTGAGGGGCTGAAGCATACTTGTAGTGGAAATTTAGCGCTGCTAAGGCGACTGGCTGCAAAGACCTTCAGACTCGATGGCTGCTTGGAAGTTGCGGTATTCCTTTTCAGGACAACGCCTTGATCACATGTGGGTAAACTAATGGCAGGCTTGAAAATCCGCAAAACCTTTAGGTCAGATGATTTATTTGTTGAAAGTCATGAGTTCCCCCAGCTTCGACTACCAGAGCTGGGGAATGCTTCGGACTCATTCCGTGCTACGAGGTTCACAGCCTGAAGAAGCAAAGCCGAATGAGCCGGAGCAAGGCCGGGTGAATCTCCAGGGAAAGCCACTGGATTTAGGGCCAAAAGGCTTTGGGATACATCCAGAAACGAGGCAAATGCCACGGGTTCCGTGTGGCATGGGGCCTATTGAAATCATTGAGCAGTTCCGAAGATGTTGTACTCGCTAAAAGCTTGTGTCATAGAGTTCCCTATTTTCCATGTTCACGCCTCAAACCCTAAGAGTCCTGGATCACGAATCCTAAAAAGATGGAAAAGAATGGAAAAGAGGTCTCACATATGTAATTATCCTATTTACCATCCAACAAACGGATCAGGATCCACATTCCCAATTCTTTCAGGGCTGGTGGCTCAGCTCACCCACAACCAATCAAATTTGTTGGAACACCTGTGATTCATCATGATTCCTGACTATCCTCCCATTTGCAAACATCGTTCTTGGATAGTTTATCCATGTTTTACCCAGACTGGGATGAAGGCAACATTCATAGAAACGCTCAAAAAGGCCCTTTTTTTCCGTTTGAGCAACCCAATGGATGTCGTATTTTGATGTATTTTGGTCAAAATCCACCATGTTCAATGGATAATTATTGGATATCCCATTATAACCCCACTATACATCCCATTCTATCTCCATTTTGATGGTTGATTGCCACCTGTCTTGATGGTTGACTCACAATTTTTGATGATTGGCCCCAGCGTGGCCGCGTCATCAGACGAGCGCAGCCCGAGTTGCGGCAGCATCCGCTCTGATTGGAGCGAGGAAGCCTTGAGGGCCAAGGCTAACGATGCCAAGGCGCAAAAGGCCTGGAAAAACTGGGCATGGTGACGGGTAGGTGTGTCTGAAAATGGTAAATTTAAGCCAAAAAAACATGGGTATGATTAATAAGGGCCCACATTTTTACCAGCACCATTGGGGATATAACATCTGGCATTGTTTTGATATTTGGAATATGAACATGGGACAACCAAGTCGATATGAATTTTGGGTGTGTCAAATAGGGGGATTAATCCCCAATTTATGCTTATGTTTGATAAACATGATGATTAATCAACAGATTTAGGTTTTTTCCCACAATTTTTCACACAAACCCAGGTGTGGAAGGATGAGTCAGTGGCCCCCTCCATCCTTTGCTTCGGATTCCAATTGATAGTTGGCTGCTGATAGGAGGCGAAGCGAAGCCCCGACCGCAACCGGCGCACTAGACTCAGTACCGGGGTGGGCCATCCAGATCGTTGAGTCGTTGGAGGTAGGTCAGGCCGGTCAGGCTACATTTGATACCACTGAACCCGCAAGCATTGGTCAAACTTTTTTTGTTTTTTTCATATTATACCCAATGCAATCTGAAGTATATGAGTAGCGTTTTTCAATCATTTGATCTGGCTACAGTACCCCCGAACATTGCCATTTGGGGAGTATCTATTTATATCGGGGTAAATTATAACGTCCTCACAGCGACCTCGCTGGAATTATGCTTAGTAGGGGTATAACTTAACTATCCGCAAATAGCCTTATTTCAGGTCAGTGAATTGCAATTTACTGTACCCATATTTATATGATGTTATATGGGTCTGTCCGAACATGGGGTATAACGGAATACCCTTCAAATGGCTACTTCAATACGGCAAATGGTGATTAAGCATAGGATTTCGGGGTATACCATATTTTTCAGACAAAACCATATCCATTTATCAATGTGCCCAGACTTATGACAGATTAATAATTTATAACTATTATTAATTACTCTCTAACATAGCTATGGAACATGGTCCATTTGTGGATGATTTACCTGTATTTTCCTATTAAGAATGGTGGTTTTCCATAGCTATGTTAAATAACCAAATGGTAATTGATAATATTTATTAATGATTTCTATCTATGAATCAACCGGGTACCGAAAAGGTACACCAACGGTATGGCCGAGGCCGGAGGGACGACAGTCGCGACTTGAGCCCTGGCAGTTACAAGCCCCGTGTCGCTTGGCTGCATGGCATGACTTTTTGTGTTCAGATTCTAAGTGATTGTTCGTTATCATTACTTAATTTACCTATGATATAGATTCCTTTTTATGAATTATGAACTAAGTATGAACTAATTATGAACTATTATGAACTAAGTATGAACTAATTATTCATCATCTTACTTTGTTGGTGGTATCCTTCTGGTGTCCGTTCCTTGGTTCTTCATGGTTCTTCACCATCCCCTCGATGAGCAATCCATGAGGACTGGAGCGTTGACTCCATGCTCCTTGGCAGCAGCGCGATGGGGGTGATAGACTAGCCATGTTTTGAGGCCAACTCACATGGGTCCATCTGACAAGGGGAAATTCATCATTATATATATAATCCCCAATTTCATATGGCTATTTAGGCTATTGAATGATTTGATTAATGATGATCACACATCAAATCCTGGGATACTTTTTTTCAGACACACAGAAGTTGCTGTAATGTGTTGAATCTACACTTCCAAAATAGGTGATATTCGTTCATCGCCGCATCTCTGGAAGGTGATGCCAGCATATCCCAACTAGCCAGGTTGGGTTCAGTGATTTGGCGAATGATTTTGATCCACTATGGCTCCAAGTTATTGCGTCCATGTGACCCAAAAAAATGACCCCAAGTTGGAGGAAACCATCATATTTTTACATTCACATCTAGAGATTTCCTGTCCAATCTTCTCTCAACCAATCCACAGATCAAGTGGTTGGTCAAATGATCTTAACGTATCTTAACTTACTTTAAGTTGATTCATGATCTTTCAACCCATCATAAAAACATGATAAAACCCATCCCAAAAGCTCCAAAACTTGGGTGGCTGTGCCCCAGGAAGATCAGTGCGGACGATGCAGCAGCCTTGACCTTTGGTGCGGGCGGCCGCACAGTGGAACGCATCCAGCGGGTGTCCGAAGCGGAGGTGGAGCAATTTGGCCGCAGGGTGGGAGCTGGTTGGATTTCTGGTGATTTAATAGGAATCCATTGGATTTGAATGGGATTTAGTGGGATTTATTGGGATTTTGAATGGGATTTATTGGGATTTAATAGGACTTCATTGGATTTTTATGGTTTATTTGATGCATTTTTGGTCAGGTTTGAGTTATGAAGCCCATTTTGGGTGCCCACTGGACCTTGACTGTAAGTTTTTGGCCTTCACCCTTTCGGGTAAAGTTGGGGGTAGAAGACCCAAGGCTTCAGACTGACTGGGTGGACCCAAGAGCTATTTAGAAAACCATGTAAATATCAAGATTGGCAAGCAGAAGTGTTCCAAAACATGTTCGCGGACAACGGGAGGATGCAAGATTGCTCAGAGCTGACATCTTCATTCTGTAGGTCATGTTCTGCAATTCTGTACAGAAGACTCAAGTCCAGCACATCCTAACCTGGTAACCTGGAATGGGCTTGGCCGACATATTGGCAAAAACAATCTTTCAAACGCCAATCGAAATATATGCATATGCGTACGTATGGATGCGCACCAACACACAAATGTACATACCGTTTTACATTGTGTTACATACTCATCTATGTATAATTATGTATATATATATATATATACATATTCATACACATGCCACACATATATGAATATATATATATATATATATACATAACATAACATAACATGACATGACATGACATGACAGAACATGACATGACATGACATGACATAACATAACATAACACACCATTACATTACATGCCATTACGTTACGTTACGTTAGGTCCATTACATTACATTCCATCACATATTACATATTACATATTACACATTACACATTACACATTACACATTACACATTACATATTACACATTACATATTACATATTACACATTACATATTACACATTACACATTACATATTACATTACATACATACACATGCTCGTTAATTCCAACCAGATTTATGTTGTGTTGTATCATCACAGTCTGAAACGAGCTCCGTGCTGGTCATGGCCTTGTCATCCAAGGCTCCTGGACAAAGAACTCATTTTAGAGGTGCGTGGCACGGAACTGCAGCGGAGACGTGCCAAGAGCCTTGGGCGGCATGTCCCCCATTTGGAAAAAGGAGCCCCTGTAGCAGAAAGGGTTTCGGGGGTGGAGGTTGATGGGATTGCAACCCTTGAGCTACTAACTACCATGTAGAGATGCTGATGATTCGTTGGCCGGAAGTGGAAAAACAATAGCATGGAAGCTGGCGTGGGTAAAAAAGAGCACCCGACATTTGCCGTCCAAGGAAATATGCCAACATTGATCCTCGGTTGCAACGAGGTCTCCAAAAACTCTCTCCTTGAGTAATTTGCAATATCAGGGTCTGAATCCGGCAAAGTGCCGTAGCCTTCTTCTTAGCCTTCTTGTTTGATGTACTTTCAAACATCCAGAGTCCAGAGGGTTGTAACTTCATAAATGAATTTGTAAACCAACAGCCACACAATTTGCACTGTGCCTTGCTGGCCCCAGCTAAGATCATGAAGCAACGCATGGGTGAGGGCCTTAGCTTTTAGGTCACTGATCGATTTTGGTTCTGACACAGTGCCAGGTGTGGGCCACTCAGTTGATCAAAAAATCCAGGGAATTCGTGGGTCAGCCGCCACATCGTCAGGCCCAAACATGATCACAGAGGACTTTGAGGACGGTGATCTCACCATTCTCTGTGTCCCACCTGATGTGGCCCCTGGGCAACCGATGTAGCAACCGATGTAGCTGTGCATCTTGTCAGACCCTGGTTGCCACCTCGCCACAAATGGTTGCAAAATGTTGCGAACATGGGGGAAGTCATCAGAAAAGGCCTTCAATCAGTTTCCGATCTTTTTTGGATTTGTTGTAAATGATCATCCAAACAATCTTGTATAGTTTAAGGCCTAGGGCCACCATTCACATCACATGCAGTGAGGTTGGCTACGTTCAGGGACAAGGTGGAATGGTGCTGCGTAGCATTGAAGAGGAATGGGGCACACTGATGGAACCTCGACGAAATGCGCTGGGGGAATGACCAGATATCCACCAAACTTGCTGGGTAAGCATCGAAAATGAGCTGTTCACTTGAAAAATACAAGTCCTGGATGTTTCGTCCTAAGCAAATGCACAGTTGTGCCAGAAACCGTGCCCTGGAAACCCGTGAAGATGGTGGGACGCTTGAGAAGTTCAAGCTTTGGACAAACCAATTAATTATTGGTGAGATCCCGCATCCCCATCATGACATTGTTGTGTAGATTCGCAGAGTTTGTGGTTACACTATGATTTTTATCGGGTTGCTTGGGCTGTGTGGCCAGTATTGCGGCTTTATCTGCAGTTTTTTGTTGTGATACAGACCTGTTCTCAAAGGTCTTATCTACAGCTTCATTGCTTAATGTCATAAGTCCGTACAACTCATGGCCTTGATATGCCTTGATCTGCAGTTCAAGAGGAACTCCCTATCTTTAAAGCTGAAAACCATAGGTTTCCAGGTTTCCGTATTCGTTTGGAATTTTATCTCAAAGGCAAGTCTGAGACTTCATGGATTTTCCATGGGTTTTCCATGGGTTTTTCCATGGTTTTTGTAGGATTTCTTCTGCAGATTTTGCAGATTTTTTCGAGGTCTTCATTGACACGGATCTGTCGAAGGCCCAGCGCTTGGCTCTGTTCGGCATCCTGGCGTCAAGTATTTTTTCATGGTGATTTATAATGATTTATATAGTAGGAATCCATAGGATTTTAATGGAATCTAATGGGATTTTTATGGGATTTATATGATTTATATGAGATTTTGTATGGATAAATTGTAACGACCTCACTGCGACCTCACTGTAATGATGGTCAATAAGGAAAATCATCCCACAATAGCCTCAATTCAGGTTAGTGATTGATTGTCAGTTATCCAGATCATTTTTGATAATTTTTCGGTGGGGATATACAGTAGCTGATGGTGATGAACACGCTTTCTTTTTGGGTCGTCATTGACTATTGATGTTCATTGTCACGTGAGAGGGACTTACATTCGATGGGTTTTCTGATCAAAAGAACAGACTGGGAATACGATTCACGGACAACGATTGAATATATCTAAAGCATTGAAGCAGTGTGCCCATTTAGGAGATGTGAACTTTGTATAATTGAGAGTGACATGAATCATCATGAACCAATGAATTTTGGGGATGTTTGTGCTCCTTGACATCAAAAAATGGGGATGTTACAAGCAACAATGGTGGGACACTTTTGCTGCATCATTTCCAGAAACTCACAGGGATGATCATACCGTTGCTGGATTCCTCGAAAGTTGGGATACTTTGGGTAGCACGACGTTATTGGATGTGTGTAATAGTGAACATAATAGTGAACATAATGACACATGTTCAAAATTGTGGTTCCTCTTGTCCTGGAAGCCGTGTTTTAAAGGTTTTGAGCCACACTTGATCAGGATACGGGGCATTGTTCTCAACATTGCTGAGGTGAATATTGCAAAACTAGATGAGATGTTTGGACATGAATTAGCATACCGAACTTTGCCACATGAACCCCTAATGCCTGACACAAGCCAAAAGGGTGGGATTTCATGGAGCATTGCATACAGATTGCATCCAACTTCAACAGGAATTAAACCGATGATTGCCTGGTTTGGATTGGTGCTTTGAGTTCCAGAATTCTCAGAGGACAACCTCCCCACTCCGTGTGAAAAATGCTGTGAAGCTGCCCTTCAGGTAGCATCCGGGGCCGTCGCGGCAGCGAATTGAAAGTCCTGAGTGCCATCGAGACCAAGATGGGCGGTTACTTTGCGTCCGTACGAGATTCGGTGCCTCTGCGCGCGAGAGCTGTTGAAGTTCTTTGGACAGACGTGACAAACGTAATATATGGGGATGGGTCAAAACCCTGGTACCTAGTGAACCCCAAAATAGCTGGTAAATGGATGTTCATCCCCCCAAAAATGGTATGTATAGGCTGTATAGGTATTGATCCATAGCCATATCACTATTTTAATCTATATTTTAATTTTAATGGGATTTTACATTTCTATCTTTGTGGGGGTTGCGGGTTAGGGGTTTCAATGTTGGGGTGAGTTTTTTTTCCCCCCAGCCCCTGAGCCAGGTCATCAGCCGGGACAAGTACAAGGCCGGCGACGAAAAACACTGTGAATTGTGGTGAATTTATATGGTTGTACTAGGTGGTTTGTTGGGGGTTATTATGAGTGCAAAGCCCAAGAAAGGCTGTGGAAGTGAGTTCACCAAGAGGGTGACCAGCTTTTTTGAGATCATACTTGTGATATCTTGCGATCGAAAATTGGACCAGTCCCAGCAAGCTTTGCCCAGCAGGACCCCACAGGCACATGGGGCACCGTACCTTGGCATCAGATTCCCTGGGACTGTTTGCTTGACCACAACCGCACGTATGAGGCGAAGCTACTTTGAGCATATAGATATTCAAAGTGGATTTGAGCTCTATCCTTATGCACGGTCTGGTAGACCTGGGTCTTGTGTTCACCACAGCTTTGCCACCTAAGGATACCATGACTTTCAGAGACGAAGGAGAGATCTCCTATGCCTTGGGCAAGCAGGGTGGCACGAGGCAGTTCTGTGGTGTTTTTCATTTATTCGCAATTTTGTGGAAGGGTTCCCAATCTATGGAAACCAGGTCATCTCAGGATCAATTTTCGAAAAGCTGCATGCCTGATTGAGGATCGAGGTCTAAAAAACCTCACAAGGATGCTCAAGCCACTGCTGAATGCACCACTCCCATGCTGTCAGGAAGAAGCTAGAACGATCCTCTGGCGCCATCGTCCAGTACGTGGCTTGGTTGCAACTGGCTTTTCCAATGGGGGAAATATCCAGAACAACCAGCTATTTGGATGCGAAAGTTGTACCCTCGTCAGTTAGCAGGACAAGGATGGGGACCAAACACTTCGCACACTGCTGACTCAACGCTTCAACAAAGGTGGGCATGGTTGCCGTGGTCTCTGGAACAAAATCTGAACGCTGTCGTGTTCGGGAGCAGCTTGGCACAGGCAGTGGCAGGTCGGTGAGTGCGAAGGTTCCAATGCATCTCTTTGGGAGTTCATTTTCCGTGACCAAACAGTTCTAGTTTGGATTTTTTTGTTGTTTTTGTAATGACGTCCATCAAGAAGTACTTTCCATGTCGATTGCTTAGGCTTGGGTAACTGTGCACTCCCCAAAAACGGCACAGAACTTTGAAAGAAGCCAAACGGCAAGTCATTCTCCAGTGACCCATGGGTGATTCCAGATCAGATTTCAAGGGTATTGCCATTTCCCCTGCAAGTTGAGGTACATGAAGTGGCTCTTTCAACAGCTGGAAGGCCCTGTCTATGTAGCTGGCTGGGAGGATCGAGAAGATTGCACAGTGGTGGACATACCAAGAGACCTGGCCAAATCAAAAGTGGGATGTGTCAAAACATGTCAAAACCCTTGAGACCCGGTGAACATCAAATAGCTCGTGAATGGATGTGGCAGCCCACACATATGGTATATATAATATTATATAATGGGTTTTGAATGGTTTGAGCCTTCCCCTTACACAGAAATTGCCTTCACGGGAGCTGTGTTTTCCCCACTTGTTGGACATTCTGGTTTGATCTAAACTGATCTAAACCATCCAACAATCCCCCAACATTTTAAGGAATATTTTGGAATAGCTTCGGCAGAAACTGGTCCCTTTTAAGGACCACTCCTTTGACTGTCCGACTGTTTCTTTGCTCAGGTGATTGCATCGGATACATCACCGGTACCTTGGCAGCAGCAACGACCTAGAATTTTGCAGCAGTTTCAATGAGGATTTTTCCGTGTGGCCACGTGGCCAACAATAACCGGACCCAAAACACACTGACCAAACTGTCCAAACATGTCCAAAGCATTTCCAAAGCTTTGCTCGCAAGATGTTGGACTCAAGGTCTACCAGGATCAGAACTACAGCCACGCATATATTGCTCCCTATGACATATGATGATCATATGTGCAAGTCATGGGGGGCCCCCAGCTACTTGGTGTCCCTCAGGAAACCGGAGAGCCACCTTGGGGTTGATGGAGGAGGAGGGGTTGATTGGGTCGGACGTTGAAAGAAACTGCAGGTTTAGAAAATAATTTTGGTAATTTTCAGCAACCATTTTGACATATGTTGATATTTTGACTATTTTGGATATATCAAATGGGCATGCAAAATATACCCCAAATACCACAAGTACCAATCATTATCTATTTTTAAGATTTTGTTGGGTATGTATGTGATTGCCCAACGTGACTTGCCTCAAGCGGTTGCTCGCCGCAGGAGTGGGGGACCCTGATGTTCTTCATGAGTTCCTCGGACAGCAAACGTAGTGGACCTGAAAGAATTCCGTTTGGATGCCACTTTGGATACCCCAACCATAATGGGGACATGGTATTTGGATACCAGTTGAATCTTTGAGTTGGGTGTACCCGAACCAAATTTGGACTATCTTCGTTTCTTGTACTTAGGGTTATTAGTTATACAATCGAAGGAAGGTTAGACGTCAAACTTCCGACAATATGGACAGATGGAAACGCAGTGGGAAGAGTTCGAGAAGAGAAAGGCAGAAATATATAGAAATATGGGATATTTGATCATACCTGATGAATCCTCATCATATTTGTATATATTTGTTGGGAAAGTCATCTATGAAGATTCCTGGGATTTTCATGCAATCTCCACGCCGCATCTCAAGGTGAGGAGGGCGGTCGCGGACGTGGCGGTGGCACAGAGAGACTCGCCATCTTTGGATGCTCGGCGAAGGTATGGGAAGGTGGAGATGGAGGACCTGTAGGACCTGTAGGACCTTTTTATGGGGCTTTCATCTGAAAATTTTCTTGGTAAAACAGGCGAAAACCCGTTGATTTGGGATGAAGACGAATATCACCGTTTTTGGGATTGCAGATTCAAGGTGCAGCAATCTGGGTTTGTCAGCATCCCCACGACTTGGTTGGTGAGAACACGGGTTTTTCCTATTCAGATAGCCATAACTGGGGGGGGTAATCACCAATTTTCAGACATAACCATTGGACCATACGGTTATGGGATCGTAGTATCTCAGGTACCATCTTGATGTGCACTTGACAAAACAAGAATGCGGACATGCAGAGATAAAGATGATATAACCATCAATGATTGGGGGTTGAACAAGCTTGGATGTTAAATCCCACTCTGGGGTGGACATGTATTGGTTATTAGGGGTGAGCATGATAGAGATTCTACGGGCTTCCAAACATGAATATTGGATGTTGGATGTTCATAAACAAAGGGATGTGTCAAAAAAATCAGATCCCGAGGGCAATCAATTGTGGCCATTTTGTAGTAGCCATCCAAGTTTTTGCTTGTTCTCTATTGACCTATACATACCTATCTGGGTATGTTTCCTAACAACAGAGCTCCCCGACATTCAAACGGCTCAACATGGCCCACGGTTGCAGTTCTAAGCCTATCATCCCTCAAAATGACGAGGATTCACAGTGGCTTCACGTTTACTGTTTTATCCTTTGGCCATTTCACTGTTTTTTTAAATGGAAAATCACGGAACATCACTATTTATGGATGATTTTCCCAGCTATAAACCTGCATTTAGGCCAGGGAATCCCAGCGGTAAATCATCCCAAACTGAGGACCCCAACGTCCACGTGCCTCGGCTTTTCATATGGGGAAATTATGGAAAACTGATGGATTGTGGTGGAAAAATGATGGAACATTGTGATAAATTGTGATAAAGATGATGGGATTCTGATGTTTTTTTTTTTTCCGGTACTCAAGTCGGAGACATACCCAGTGCCAGTTTGTTTTTTCGAAGATCCCTCCATTTCGTGGAAATTCGAGTGTCGGACAGCACTGCAAAGATCTGGCATGATGATGTCGGAGCCAGCACACGGCATCACGAAATCTGTTGTACTTTCAGACTGGCCTCAGGTCTTATTTTTTGAGGAATGCAGTGAATGCAGTGAATGATAGTGAATGCAGTATCAAATTCCAGAGGAAAGCTCAAGTGATATCAAGTGATGATGTTTCGAAACGATCATTTTCCATCTTTTTCCAAGTTGTTTCCCTGCAACATATGCCTTTCAAGTGCCTCTGGAAGGCCGTGGCTCAGAGTTGAAAGTCATGAGTGGCAACCTGGCGATGACAAAGTTGTGGTTTGGAGCTTGGAACCCCCCATTGGAGCTGAAGGATCTTCACTAAACATGGGCTACGTAGGATCTTCAAGTAGTAGACATGGGGAATTTCCGAAGATGCCGTATTTTGCTAGAGGACGATGACAATTTTGACGTTGCGAGTCGTCTAGGCATGGGTCTCTTGAAGCTTGATTCTCTCTGAGAGTTGGTTTAATGTCGACATTCCAGGGTTAAAATTATCCTCAATGGAAACATAGTTCCTTGAATCAATTCATTGGAATCCTGGTTGCTAGCGAATTGTGCCACCCTCCTGGACCTTCCTGGAAACATGGATCATCATGGATCCATCTTGCCGCGAGGTATTGAAACCAAGAGCCCCGGCTTCTTCACCCGAGGTGGAACCCTGCATCACTAAAAAATGATGGGAATTGGATTGGGGTACCTATCCCCAAATTGAACCATTTGCAAAAAATCCCTTGGTTACCCTCTGGTACTTGTAGAATCTTGTAGATAGCTGTGGGCTAGGGGAAAATCACCATTTTTTATGGGCAAGTCATCCATGAATGGGCCATTGTCCATGGCAAAGCGTTCTTCCTGATCGCAGGTTTCATGGCCAGATCGAGCCCGGTCGATTGCCAGGTCTCCGTGAGAAGCAATCCGAAAGAAGAGCCTTCGACACGGACCGCATGATCTTTCGCGACGACGAACTGAGCCTTTTGTCGTTTGCATAGCCACGATCTGATGGTGATGATGATGGATTTTTGGATCCTTCATCAATGTTCTTTCAATGGAAATTACCTGAGGAAGGAGCGTCGCAAATGCTTGATTTGTAACAATTCATGCTTGACTTCAAAGAGCATGCACACTTCAATTCTGGAGGTCAAAGAAGCAGGTTCTGGGATTCTTATTGTCCGGTATCGCGACAATGGGCTGACTGAAACTCATGGCCCGATGCAGTTGTAGAAGCTGGATATATATATACATATATGTGGTCGTTGAATTCTCATTTTGCATGTTTCTGTTCATCCATTTTTGATGGTTAAACCGTTAAACCCACTCCCTTTCATGGGACCAGTAGATTTTCTTGGGAAGACCGAGGTTATGCGCTCGGCACCTTGGCCGCATCTGCGAGCGCAACGCAGGGCGATTGAATGATGCTCCAGCAGTAGCTTACTAACCAATTACTGTATACATGTGCGAGCGAGTTGCATCAGGTTCCATGCTTTCTTCTGTTTATGTATGTGTAGATCATATGTATAATGTTGGACCCGCATAACCTTGTATTTGGTGGCTTTGACCTACAAACTTTAGGATAAAACATACCAACAAAAATAAGCTTTGACCGTCCAACGCAGGTTGGCGATTATCCAAAAGCTGTGGGGTTGACTATGCCAACTATCCATAATTACCTTCCGGTAATCAAACATGGTAATGGACAAAATATGACAAAATATGACATGGTTTATGATGTTAACCATCTATAAACCTCGATTTATTCGGGGGGTGATTTTCCATAGAATTTTCCATCCCCAACAAAGGGAACGGCGTTTTGTAACTCGGGTTTTGACCACGGCCAGGGAAAGATGGCGCAACCCGGAAGAAGTTGGAATTGGCTTCCGGGGCCATCCTGCAATACGTGGGCCATGTGGCACCTTGCTGCAGCAGCGCCAGTTTTTAGCAGCGCCAGTTGGGTGGGGTCAGGGGGTCCAATTGTCCAATTTTCCATAGAAATGGCATATATATATATGGCATATCATATGGCATGTGTTGCCACATAGAAAAATAATGAAAATGAGTGTTTTGGGTAATCCCGCCCAATTGATAGAGTTCATTGATCTGAGGTTGACACTCATACTATCTATTATAAGATTATAAGTCGGCGGGCCTTTTTTGTTGCATTCCTATATTTTCCCGTTCAAAATTGGGGGATTCATTCCTCGTTGCCAAGTTAGATTGCCAGAGGTTATCGAACAGCATGTCAATGTGGCACACCCCCAAGAAGACTTACAGATTTTTGACCCTTGAGTATCCCTGAGTGGGAACATTGGGTATGGTTTATATTGATTGGGTTTACCACCTGGGGCCTTCCAAAGGTCTTGGCCCTTTGGTGCCTTTGAAACCACAGTTTGGTGTGTACAAAGCTGGGAGTTTGGTATGGTTCACATCTCTTTGTCCAAGGGCCAAGCAATGGGATGGCCAAACTAAAGCCATATCATCCCAAATCAACAATTGTTCAATTGAGTTTCCCCGTTCTGGGGAAGCAGACGGATATGGCTTTGTCTAAAGATTGTTGGTCAAACTCCCCATTTTTCCACGTTTTCCAGCTGTGACCAAGGCCTTCATTGCAGGCACGCTGAAGGAGCGGAGGCGTTGCCGTGAGTTTGTTGCCTGGCTGAGCGAAGTTTTCCAGCTGGACCTGCGATCCCCGTTTGTCACCATGGATTTCAATGCTAAAATGGTCTAATTTTGGATGATGTGGGGGTTCTCACCATTTCAGGAAACCTCCATTTTGTGGGAAGTATCAAGAGAGATTTCTTGCAATTGTTGATGATTTTAGGCTGATCATTTGAAATGATCAGGCTAGCAATCAAATCAAAATGATGGATGAGGCATCAATCCTTAAAATCAGGTTTGGGAGATTGCAAATTGACCAGATGGGAAGCTGGAGTAGGGTATGGTCACTACTGTCCCACGTTGGACAGGGAACCAAGACCGATGGACTGGCCATAGCAAGAGATCAACCGTGGCCAATTGAACTGACTTTTCACTGGTGTGGTTCTGGAAGACAGGAAATCAGATCTCAATTGAAGTCCAGAAACATATGGATTTTAGCATTTTTAGCCCCAAATTGGGAATGCTGTTTTTCACCATGATCAACCATGATCAACCCATTTTGGACCCTTTAAATATCAGAGGCCCTTGGGGGAAATCTGCTATACATCAGGTCAATTGGCTCCTGCAGCAACGTCGCGGCTCTGTGACCATCACCGACCTCACGCGACGGGAGGATGTGACGGAGGTGGCTGGTGGGTGGTGGTGATGTGGCTTCGACCTGTTTTTTTATACGGTATACCTATGTATACCTTAGTATCCGAAGTCATAGCCATTTGACTATTGTGTCTATTGTAATATACACAATTTTTCCCAATGCACTAGTGTTTTTGTATTTTTTGGGTACCCTATTCTGGACAAACACGCGTCCTTGGTCCTTTTCCAGGCTGAGCTGGAAACTTGTGAGGCATGCTTCTATACTGGAAAGAATATCTTCAACATCTTGAATTTCTGCTGTATACATCCTTTGCTGTTCGACTTGAAACTGCTTCAGCCTCTACGCGGGGAGTCACTTGATAGCTTCAGGCCAACTTTTCTGGAAGTATATATGGTTGTGCACTTGATCTGTGCGTGTTTCAACCTCTTCACAAGCCCCAGAGCTTTAAAAATAAATGGAGGTTTCCTAAGTCATGTGGGTATACCTCTATACCCTCTAAATCATCCATTAACATTTATAGGATTTTCATGGATTTTCCATCACATAAATCATCCATTTTATGGGACACCCCAGGGCCATCCTGAAGCGTCCCACTGTGGGTGAGGTGAAAATCCCGGACAGCTGCAAGGGCTGGGTCACTGGTACCCTGGCAGTGCGGTGCCGGCTACGGCTACGCCTACGGCTACGGCTACGGCTACGGATGATGATGATGATGATGATGATGATGATGATCATTGTTGGTACTGGTACGATTATTCTTAGGACGATTATGTATGATTAGTAATAAATACTCATAATATATCATATAATTATTTAATGAATATGTTACCATGTAAACCGTGTACACCCTTGTTTAACACCTCATCTTCTGACGGCAGTGCTGAGGCAACCGTGGCAGCGAGCTTCGCCGCATGGAGCAGGAGCAGAATTTTTGGCCGCTGCCGGTGGATCAATGGCCAAGATGAGGGGTCAGCGGTGATTTTGAAGAATAAACCAAGCTGAAACCAAGCATTTTCGTGGGGATATGATGGGATATGTACATATATATATACATACATACATATATGTATGTGTATATATATATATACAGTCGGGGATATCTTTATTATCTTTATGCACTTGATGGGATATTTGATGTGAGATGATTCAATTCAATGGGAAAAATGATGAAACATGAAATTTTGGGCCACCCAAAAGGTTCAGACGAACCCAAATGGATCAACACGGGGCAAAAAAATCCGCAGAAACATGGGGGACTAAACAACCAAGGTCTGGATTTACCCTCTGGTAATTTAACATAGCTATTGAAAATGGCCATTTATAGTGGATTTTCCCATGAAAAATGGTGATTTTCCATAGCTATGTTAATTTACCAGAGGGTATCTACGACCATCTTGATGGAGTTTCTAATTCCATTCCTCAACTCGAAGTTAAATAAGAACCCCCATCAGCTAAGAGGCATGATGTGTACGTCGCCTTTCCAAGACGAAAAAACCTTTGGCTTTTTGACTTTGGGGAAGCTGAGCTCCAGGAGACCGGCACCTTCATGTTCATGGCCCTGGATTCAAGGGGCGATGAAAGGCGTGGGGGCTGGGATGGGTCTGGGTTTAGCTGATGCTACATTTGTACCATCTGGGTTTTTAACATAGGAACATGACACATTTATGGATGATTTGTGATGATAGGTATATTTTATGTTATTTTCTATCTCATGATCCTATCCCAAATGCTGCATGGTGCTGGAATACTTATCTAGTTTGGGTCGTCTCTTGTGTAAACGTTGCATCATATTTGTAAATACATAGAGCATTGGGGTATTGTTCATGAATGGAACACATTGGTCATGGCTTCTGACCATTGATGATGTGGGCCCTGGCCAACTTCAAGGCGATCCCCTTGCGTGATATGTTGCTAAAGTATAAGCATATATAATTTTGGATCATTTTAGTATCTACTAAATAGTGATACAATTTTCCGAAAGATCATTGGAATATTTGTATCATCTAGCATTTCAGTATCAATTTATCTCCATTTATTCAATTTTATTTATATATTGGAATGATACTATGTTTATCGATATGTCCCCTAGATTTTCCCATCATCTTCCAGTGATGACCGCAGGTTGCTGATCTTCAGCACCTACGCTGGCACCAAAACTGGGCTGGGAGGCCGTCGCCACGCTGAGCGCCGCCTGGTTGGTGGTGACGAAACATGTTGGGATGTTGGGATGCAAAAAAAAGATAAGTGGATTTTCTGGAAAACTTTCCTGGAAGAGTGAATAGTACTTAGTGAATCTTAGTGAAATGTTCTGCCATGTTTCATCTGTTGAGATTTTTCGATGAGCAAGATGGCCATCTCAAATACCCTCTGGTAAACTAACATAACTATGGAAAATCACCATGTTAAATTACCAGAGGGTATGGAAAACAGAGATTTTCACAGCCGAGGACTGGTCAATGAGATGATCGACGAGAAGCTCCGTTGCTGGTCTCCAGTGATGTGATGCCAAGTTTGGGGCCAGCGCGACATCGAGTCAAATCCAGCATGTCTATTGCATCCAGCTATGCATGTAGACATCTTTTTGGAGCTTCCGAGCTAAGTTGCCATGATAGAGAATGGAACACCACAGAAAATGGAGATCACATTCAAAATAATTTGGATTTTCCCGCGGAACCATGACAGTCTGATGATTCTTTGGGATCACAACGAACTCAGCGAACCCTTGAACGCTTTCAGTGGTAGTTCATACCATTGAATCAACAAGTGGATGTGACAGTTGTGGCTTTTTATGTTGATTGTTGCATCCAATACGATCCAAGTTTTGCCTTGCTGCGATTTGATGGTAACCTTATAACCAGCCAAGTTCATGGTCATTCCACAGCTAGTTTCAGCAGTGACAACAGACAGATCGAGGCAGTGACATGGACCGTCGTGGAGGACGACGGTCTCGCTCTGCCACTGGACTGTTAGGTTGGGATCGAAATCGACAGGATGATTTCAGGTGGATAGTCTTGATTTGTCAGATTGGTACATACATACATACACACACATATATATATAAATATATATATATATATACGGATATATATATATATATATAATTACACATATACCCAAGTAGTCCCAGGTCTATTCTTTTTATAGACATTAGGTATACGTATATACATTCGCACATGTCCCTGCGTCACGCCCTGGCACGCCCCACCACCTATACCTACCAGTTGAAACATGTTAAAACAACAGCGTGTGCACATGGACATATCCCAACTTGAACAAAGGTCCTGAAATTAGAAACATGTTTATGCCCAGGATTTCCAACAACTCTCTGGCGCATGATTCGCAATTTTTTCTCTGGTTCTTTGTTTGAAGCTTCGCGAGCTCAAATTCTTTGCGCGGCAGAATGGTTGAGCGTAGGCAACCCCAAAAAATGTAAAACAGGAACTCACCACAGAAACCATGCCATCTCCCACGCACACATGCATGCACGATATTGCTGGAACACATATGCGCATATGTTGGTTCAAGAAACTTTCCGATTCGCCATTTCAAGCTCCACAATCGTAGTTTAGATACTTTCAAGGCCCAAGATCGTTGGTGAAGAGGATGTGCGCGGAGTACTGTGCCTGATTTCTTAAATAGGCTATCGTGAATCAACAAAAATCACAAACAGTGTAACATGAAATGAATGCAGCTATATTCACTACCATGAACAGGGAAGCCTACCAGTGCTACAAGTCGTTTCATGTCGTTTCTGCTAATGTACACCAGAAGAAGTTGAAACAAGTGACGGCGAAGCCACCCCATAGAATCTTCATCACAAAATGTATGTTCAAATCTCGCATTCACACCTTGGAGTGGAAATGTTGATTGCTGAATTAAATTGAAGAAAGCAATGCAGCATGGTGAACTTGTTTTGTTTTTGGTTCATGCATGCATGGAAATCATCCTGTGGACATGTGGGAGGGCACTTGAACCAATGCAAGTTTGAGATCCGGCATAGATATGCAGCCATGATCCATGCGATATTGGTTCAAACAATTGCCCAACATGACCCGCTGTAGCAATTACGGGTACGCCCTTGTTGGCATGAATGCAAATTGAACAAGTGCAAAAATATATAAATATACCAAAATTATCAAAAATTGATAGATTTTTGGGAGTAGTGGGACCACGCAAAAGTTTAGACATTCCACGCTAAAGTACGGACATTCCACGCAAAAGTTTAGACATTCCACGGTCTGACCACTGCCTGACCACGCATGTGACACGGTCTGGTCATAGTGCAATTGCAAGTGGGTCAGAATTTTAAAGACCCACGGGACTTGAAAAAGCACGGGCTCCCACCCAACCATAAATTTTGGATATGATGGGGCATGAGATGCTGATTTTTGACATTTTCTGGGAATTATCAATATACCCAAATATATTTAAAGTTTTGCTGGTGCAATTTATCCTAAGCATAGGCCGGGTGCAGTCCCAGCACCGTTCTCTTGAATTTGGGGCATAGGCCGCTATAATAGTTTACAAACAACGACGGAAAGTTGGTTTGAACTTTCCTTGGCTTTTCTGCTCCATCAGAAACTCTTCCGTGTATATATACACACATGTGGTTGCATCCAATAATATATCTTTTCCCAATCCTTCAGCAGGGCCATGCGCCCTGGATCTAGGCGGACCCTACTACGCCCACTCATTATGGGCTAAGGCCACCCAGAACTGAAGAACCAAAAATGGCTACTAAGTCAGAGGTTTCAAGATTTTTTATATCATCCCAAGCACGCATGAACGAACTCATCTTATCAGTGCTGGTGCATTGCCGGGCTGGTGGCACCCAAGTCCGATTCATCATCACTGAGATGACCATCCTGTGTCTCGTAGTGGCCTAAAGAAGCAGTTGGGTTGATAAGGGTTGATTGTAATCAAAGGAGATGAAACCTGAGCGCTTCTGAATCCTTGAAGACTAGGTATCTGACCTTGTAATAATAGGGCCCTCTTCATGAGAACACTCGTGGGCCATGGCTTCACTGATGATCCTACTTGCTTTAGAAAATGTTCTAAGGTTCATAATTTGCCACCCAGATTTGGGAAGAAAATGAAGTGATGGTATGTGTTGGTGTTCTAATGCTTGAACCTTGCCGACATCATCCCTTGCTGACCTGACTCCTGAGCAGAAGAGGCCAAAACCGCAGTGGGCAGGGGTGGATAGGCAAACGTATATACATGTGATCCCCTGTCAAGACAAAGTTCAGACATGAGCTTGCGTCTAAACAAAGTTTAGACATGGACCCTTTGGGTATATATATATAGTTACACATATATATAAAATTACACACACACACATATATATATATACATAATTACACACATATATATATTTATATATGGGAGTCGTTCTAAAGCCCATGCAAGACTTTTAGTATCCGAGTGACATCTGCAGATATGGATGTGTGTTTTTGCTGCAGTGGCGAAAGACCGCGAAAGGGCGGTGAAAGGTTCGCGAAAGGTCTGAATACCACTATTTATAAACATGGATGTTATGTTATAGTATTCATGCTTGGCAGTTTTCCTTGCATGGTTGGGACTGTATATTGCATCTATACAACTTTGACAGATATATGTATAGAGAGATGTAGACATCTGCTTTTCTTTGTCAATGGATACGAACGGGTTTCAGTTTCGTATTGTCCCATGTTCTTAAATTGGCATTGGCACCCTGATTAACACAAATTATAAAAGCCACCCTTGCATAAACATTATTTTCTGAAATTGTATTTAGGCGAGAAAGCGGCGAAAGGTTCGCGAAAGGTCCGCGAAAGGTTCGCGAGAGACGAATCCTCCCAAGCCCAGCCCTGACCCAAAATGGCCTAGTTCATTCTGCAATGTCACAAGTTCAGAAGTTTTTCAAAGAATGGGTGCAAAACCAATGTCCAGGAGTCAAGCGTCCTCACAGGAACACTGACTTGCCCAATGCCATCAAGTCTGTGGACTGGAACATACTCATGTGTTTCCAATTTCTATACGACGTGATGTTTTTAATACAATCCTCCTGCGTATTTTTACGAAATATGCACACGAAAACATGATCATATTCCCTGTCCCGATTCTGCTGGGGCGCGTAAGGGCGCGAAAGGTTCGCGAAAGGGCGGCGTAAGGGCAGTTTTGGGGTACCATGATTTTGAACAACCCCCATTTACATATGTATACACATATACATATGTTTATACATATATATATATACACATATGTGTATATATATATATATTCATGTCATTGTGTCATTGTGTGTGAATCAGATTGGGATCTCCAAGGATCCGATCATTTCAATGATTCATTCCATCTTGTTTTTTTGTGCATGATGTGTATTTACATACCATGCGTCACAGCCTCCTGATGCAACATGAATCAACAGAGGTCACCTACTTGGATGATCCTTGAAGTAGGTGAATGGTGAGTGAATGTAGAAACTTCCCAGCCATTCACCAACCATTTGTTACCTTCAGGGTTTGTTCCACTTACGTAGAACTGATGATTTTTTGGTAAGCTAACCAGAGGGCAACGAATTCGAACAAACCAGAGATATTGATTGAAACCAATGATGCTGATGAATACCCTCTGGTAATCCACCATTTTGTAGATGAATCTCCCAGCTATAAACCTCCAGTTGCAGGTAATCTTCCAGCCAGCCATGGATTTCTCAGTCCCTCTTTCCAGTTGGATGATCGGGCTGAGGACAGTCGACGCCCTCGTCGTCGCTCTAGCAGATCTCCATCATGGTGGGACCGGGGGAGATCGCTGACACGGTCCTGGTTGGATGATATGTCAAAGTTTTGGTCTTTTCGTTGTGAATGGGCTCATGATTGAGCCAGAAATGAACAAATGACCAATTTTGGTCCTCCATTCCAGCTTGCGATGCCTTGGCTGCCTTGCATGGTTGAGGGGCTCAAAAAAGGTGGGATGTAGGCGGTTTGGTGGGAAGAATAATGGGGAATATGGCCTCGCAGACTTTTTACAAGAGATTCTTCAACTGCTATCATCACCTTTTGAGCCCCTTGAATGGGTGCTGTTGCAAGCTAGGATCCACAAAGTTTTGGCTCAAGATTCATGCGGTAGGATTCTGATTACCTCTTGGCACCCAGGAAGATGTTTTTGCCATGGAAGGGGATCTTTGCCGTGTTTTTGATGAGTCTCGACATTGCAGGCGGAATTCCGCAGCCCCTGCATCTTCTCGACTCAGCGCTTGAGGTCACTCAATTCGTTCTGGCCTGGCCACATTGGATTATTTTTTCGGTGAATTTCTGGCATTGCGGTCTTCGCTGGGTTTTGTCCATTCTGGTTGGCGCAGGAATGGGTCCCTTCCTGATTCCAGCCTTCTTTGGTGTCCTGGCACTGGTTGGTTTCACTGCAGGCGGTGTAGTTGCTGGCTCCTTAGCTGCACGTTGCCAAGCACGCATGGGAGCGGTGGCTGCTGGATCGTGCTTCTCAGTAGCACAATCCATGGCCGCAAACGGAGTCATGGCTTTGTGCAGGCTACCTGCCTTGCTCGCAACATCTCTAATGGGCGCTGTTGCAGCAGTTGTGGTCATGTACAGAATGAAATGCAATTTCTTTCAAGAGTGTTGCCACGATGAATGGCGGTGGTGGAACTATGCGCAGCATCAATAGATATTCAGATACCAGGCGAGGCTTCTCGCGACCGTTTTTTCCCATTTTCCCCGTGTGTACAGTGCTCAAGAGGAGGGAAAAAAGGGCGCCTGCTTTCCCAGCCTCCTGGAAGTCGGCACGGTGATCATGTCGGGTTAATGCTTGAAGTTTGCCAATATACCCTTCAGTGTTTCTGCAGAAAACCCGACGCCCTGTTGATCTCAGAAGTGATGGGCAAACTATTTAAAGAGCTCGGACATGTGGCACGTGGTAACCACCAATATTTGATGTTTTAGGGTTTTTTGTTAGCTGGGATGAAATTATATTATATAGATAAATATAAATTTAAGCAATTCCCATGACTCTTGAGCATCATGATCTGACTAGTGACGACTGCGTGTGCCCTTCCAGGTTCGGACAGGTTCCCAATTTCTTGTTTAGATGAGTTGACACACCCATAGATGATCTGTTCTCACACATCAGGTTTCTGATATCCAATTATTCAAAATTCCTAATGATGCCGAACTCCCCAAATTTCTGTTTCTCATATCACCTACATTGACGCACATATCATATCCCCATACTTTAGGCATCACTTGTGGTTGGTTAGTATCAGTTCTATCAGTTACCCTCTGGTTGTTTTGCATATGGAAAATAGCCCATTTAAAGATGATGTATGACAGAGTAACCAGAGGGTATATCTGTTATATCTGTTGGTTTCACCCCCCACTGCCATCATTTCCGTTGATCGCCAGGTCGCCAAGAGCCAGGTCCCGCTCGCGCGACCGCGGCGACCGCGGCGACCGCGGCATGCGGAGCTGGGACTAGGCCTGTGCGGTGGCGAAAAGAAGGTCCAGCGCTGTCATGACATGGTAAAACCGTATATATAATTAAGATATACTGTATTAAGATATTTAAATATAGCGCAATTATACAGAACATATCATAATATATGTACTGGCTTCTGTTCATGTGTATGAAGAACATCTATCATAATATTGTAAACACATCACATAGTGAAGGTCAAGAAAAAAGTATCGAAATGGACGCTGACTTCATCCCAAGCGCTGGGGCATCCGAGGCCTATCCACCAGAGCATCCCTTGCCGCGCTTCTCATCTTCCAATCAAGGCTGGCTATATGGGACTGTCTGTGTGTCATGAAATGCATAGGCATCAAACACAAGCAGAGCAGTCGCCCCACCAAATTTTGACTGGAAAACCCAAGCTGGGACCCTCCCTGACTCCCTGAGACCCAGCTGCTGCAGGTACGTATGCAGCGAAACATGGCTACACGTGCGCTGCGAAGATGGCGAAGATGGAACATCCCCTCAGTCCAGAAATTCAATGACCCATTCCTCGAATAAGTGGTTGAGCATTGGAATCTATCAGAATATTTGAATATATTTGATTTTTGGGGCTCATTTTAAGATATGATTCTATAGATTTCTGGGATATTTTTTCTATTCGCAGTGACCCCGTGTGACTTGTGATAGAAATTGTGACCTTGGGAGTGAATCTCGGCTCTTCAGCGTCCCATTGAAGGGGCATCCCATGGCATGGGCAAATTTGATCATGTGCAGCTGTAACGTGTTACAAGAACGTTACAAGAACACACCTGATGTGGGTTGATGTGGGTTTTTCTGTGGTGGAAAGTGATTGTTTTGTTTGTCATTTTTGCTATGAGAGAGGCAAGCCCAATACCTTTCCCTGCCTCTGGATCCTCTGGCCATGGCGTCATCTACATGGAGGATCCTGAATGGTCTTACTGGACAGCCAACATGTGAGTTAGAAGCTGCCGACACAACTGCAATCGAATTGAAGAAGCTCATCGAGAGGGAGATCAATGTTCATCATGAAAGGCTGGGATAGGTGGCTCAACTGGCTTAACCACCAAACAGCTCTTCTTGCCAGAATTCCAATAGTAAATTGATCAGCAGTTGTTGAATGTTGTTGGCAACACTCCCGCATGTTGTTCATGTTGTTGATACAATCCGAAATGGCTTCGTTTTGCCGCAAGTCCTATACCAACAATATCAGTTCTTTCGGCAAGAAACGTGTTTTGCTTCCACATTTTGGTGGTCAACGTTGCACATACATGCTCATTTCATCATATTTTATCCCCGTTGTATATCGTTTTATATGATATGTTTGGTTATACAAGTTATATAAGTTGTACAAGTTACATAGTATAAGTTATATATCATATATATATAATTATAGATATTCCGCATTGTATTCCACAAACTGTTTGGCAATTTGCTCCCACCAACCGTTGCGTCAGATGGGCACCAGGCTGGAACTCCTGCAGGGCGGCGTGGTCATGAAGGATGCTCAGGCGAGAATCTGGAGCCGCCGGAACGTCAAGAGATATATGGGAATCTTAAGCGACCCAACATATATTTTGGGAAGCTCATATAAGAGTACTGCAAATATATGTATATATATATGTATGTTATGTAATAATGTAATGTAATGTAATGTTAATGTAAATGTAATGTAATGTGATGTAATGTGTATGTAATGTAATGTAATGTAATGTAATGTAATGTAATGTAATGTAATGTATGTATATATATATGTATATATGTATGTAATGTAATGTAATGTAATGTAATGTAATGTAATGTAATAATGTAATGTAATGTAATGTAATGTGTATGTAATGTAATGTAATGTAATGTAATGTGTATGTAATGTAATGTAATGTAATGTAATGTATGTATATATATATGTATATATGTATGTAATGTAATGTTATGTTATGTTATGTTATGTTATGTGTATGTAATGTAATGTAATGTAATGTGTATGTAATGTAATGTAATGTAATGTGTATGTAATGTAATGTAATGTAATGTATGTAATGTAATGTAATGTAATGTAATGTAATGTAATGTAATGTATGTATATATATATGTATATATGTATGTAATGTAATGTAATGTAATGTAATGTAATGTAATGTAATGTAATGTAATGTATATATATGTATATATGTATGTAATGTAATGTAATGTAATGTAATGTAATGTAATGTAATGTAATGTAATGTGTATGTAATGTAATGTGTATGTAATGTAATGTAATGTAATGCAATGCAATGCAATGCAATGCAATGTAATGTAATGTAATGTAATGTAATGTAATGTAATGTATGTATATATATGTATATATGTATGTAATGTAATGTAATGTAATGTAATGTAATGTAATGTGTATGTAATGTAATGTAATGTAATGTAATGTAATGTAATGTAATGTGTATGTAATGTAATGTAATGTAATGTAATGTAATGTATGTATATATATGTATATATGTATGTAATGTAATGTAATGTAATGTAATGTAATGTAATGTAATGTAATGTAATGTAATGTATGTATGTATATATATGTATATATGTATGTAATGTAATGTAATGTAATGTAATGTAATGTAATGTGTATGTAATGTAATGTAATGTAATGTAATGTATGTATGTATATATATGTATATATGTATGTAATGTAATGTAATGTAATGTAATGTAATGTAATGTAATGTAATGTAATGTGTATGTAATGTAATGTAATGTAATGTGTATGTAATGTAATGTAATGTAATGTATGTATATATATGTATATATGTATGTAATGTAATGTAATGTAATGTAATGTAATGTAATGTATGTATGTATATATATGTATATATGTTTGTAATGTAATGTAATGTAATGTAATGTAATGTAATGTGTATGTAATGTAATGTAATGTGTATGTAATGTAATGTAATGTAATGTATGTATATATATGTATATATGTATGTAATGTAATGTAATGTAATGTAATGTAATGTAATGTGTATGTAATGTAATGTAATGTGTATGTAATGTAATGTAATGTATATGTATATATGTATGTAATGTAATGTAATGTAATGTAATGTAATGTAATGTAATGTAATGTAATGTAATGTAATGTATGTATGTATATATATGTATATATGTATGTAATGTAATGTAATGTAATGTAATGTAATGTAATGTATGTATATATATGTATATATGTATGTAATGTAATGTAATGTAATGTAATGTAATGTAATGTAATGTATGTATGTATATATATATATGTATATATGTATGTAATGTAATGTAATGTAATGTAATGTAATGTAATGTAATGTAATGTAATGTATGTATGTATGTATGTATATGTATATGTATATATATGTAAATGTATATAGATATGTATACATATATATATATATGTATATATATATATATGTATGGTCACCCCCCCTCCAGTATATATATATATGTATATACATATGTATATATATATGTATATACATATGTATATACATATATATATATATACATATATATACATATATATTTACATATATATATGTACATATATATATATATGTATATATATATATATGTATATATATATATATGTACATATATGTATATATGTATATATATGTATATATATGGAGATATATATTTACATATATATATGTATACATATGTAGATATATATTTACATATATATATATGTATACATATGTATATATATATTTATATATGTATATATATATGTATATGTATGCATATATATATATATTTATATGCATCCCAAATACATGGAACCTAATATATGGATTTGCCTAGAAATGCGGGATTGACCCCGATATAATGCCACTTCAACTGGGAAAATGATTATGAAGCTCTGGATTCGGGAATACACTCTTCTTGAACATATGGCTAGATCCGTTAGCTGGCACGAATCAGCTGCATGACTGTGATCATTCCAGTGGTGGGAGGGTTGGTCCATGGTCACCCAAGTACCATAAAATTTGTGTGGAAATCCTTGGCATATCGTGGCATCTATCATCCTTGCCTCCTGTTTTGAGATGATTTGCTGGCATCCAAGTGCTGGCGAACTACAGATGTTGATCCGTGAGGGCCCAAGGGAAGGACCGGCAGAGTCATAGTCACAGTGCACACTCTGAAGCTAGACAGACATGACAGAATCTAGACATATCTGGACTGTTGCTGTAGTCTCAACTTGTTTCTTGGCTCCGTAAGTGATCTAAGATTATGTTGACAATCTGCAGCGATTATTCTGAAGCACATGCTGGTGGCAAAGCAACCAGTCTCCATGGTGATGGTGCATGGGATATGTACAGAGAACGAACGTGTACCCTTATGTAATCCAACAGTTTGCTATGGAGAATGGCCTGTTAGATCAAACTGGTTGGGTGTAACCATTTCTTGAAGAGTTGCTGTAACTAGCAAGAACATTAATCTTGCGGCAGTATGAGCATTGTCGGCTATTACCATCTATTATCCAAGTTTTCTTGGAGGAATCCGTTTTCAGTTCTCCGAATGGATCCTAACAGCCAGCTGCAAGGTCCAGAGGCTGGCGATGTGCAGCAGGGTCGATGGTTGGAAATTCGTGGATGGGACGAGCGCTACATTGGACAACACATCCGAGTGGCTCGGCGACATGGGGTCCAAACAAGGACATTCACTGCTGCGGGTATGGGTCAAAACCGAGTATCAACCTTGATGTTTTATTGTATAAACAGCAAACGTCTGCAAAACTATAGACTTTATTACCTCCAATCACAGTTCTTAAAAGTCAATCCAGTCATTATCCAGCGAATTTATGTCCATTCAAACAGTTTTTTTCCCATTTATCCATTCTGTATCCATTGGTTTCTGGTAAACATACACAAAACCTATGGTAAATCATTATTTTTTATAGGTAAATCATGGTAAATCAACTATTTCTATGTGCCATTTTCCATAGCAAACTGTTAAAGCTCAGGGTTGCTCCAAGCTATAGATCAGCGAGGTCCTGGTGACACATGTGGACGATGACCTGGTGAAGGCCGATTGGAGATCTAGCCATGGGGATGGTTATCCCAGGAAATGGCATTTGTATTGTGTATAATATATATAATACAATTTAACATAATATAATATAATATAATATAATATATAATATAATATATAATATAATATATAATATAATATATAACATAATATATAATATAATATATAATATAATATATAATATAATATACAATATATAATATATAATATATAATATATAATATATAATATATAATATAATATATAATATATAATATAATATATAATATAATATATAATACAATATATAATATAATATATATAATATAATATATAATATAATATATAATATAATATATAATATAATATATAATATATAATATAATATAATATATAATATAATATGATATATTATATAATATATAATATAATATATAATATATAATATAATATATAATATATAATATAATATATAATATATAATATATAATATAATATATAATATAATATATAATATATAATATATTATATATGATATATATAATATATAATATAATATATAATATAATATATAATATAATATATAATATATAATATAATATATAATATAATATATAATATAATATAGTTTAATTTATTTTAATTTAATTTAATTTAATTTAATATATATATATATAATATAATGAACATAATGAGATATAATAATAAACATGATATTTACAATATACATATATATATATACATATACATACAGATAAATATACTGTATACCCATATTGATATTCACTACCCTTCCTCTATATGCTGTTGGCTACTCTGATATAAAAGCGCATGTTTTCAGTCATGTTCATGTCCAAAGTTGCCAGATTCAAAAGGAACATGGCAGCTGCTAAGGCTCAAACATTTGAAGCAGCGGTCAGCTGCGAGTCAATGTGCAGAGATCAACACCCAGCCTTCACCATCGTCCCAGATTTGATAGAGATCACGATTGTCCCCCGAGCCTACAGAAAAAAAATGAAAAAAATACAGCAACCTGATGGGAAGTGCTTGATTTTTTCAACAAGCAGCAAACAACTAAGCAAACACGTCTCTCCAAAACTGCGACTTTTTGGTAGGACAATCAGTGACTCAGTGTAAGAATGATGCTAATATATGCTAATATCTCAATTTGAACCCATGAGTTTGTCTGACATGATGGTTTCACACCATTGTCCTGACAGAATGTTGCACCTGATTGGCTGCATTTCCAGACATCCAGCTGCTCCATTCATCTCTCTGCTTAGATGCAACCCATCAGTCATGGCGCTGGGTCGGACTGCGCGCGCGATTCATGGTGCCTTGCGAACAGGTGCCTTCGCTGTAGTGCAGAGACATGCAGGGACTTTCCGATGGTTGGATTTGACAAAACGAAACCTGGGAACCCCTCCAATCAAGTCATTCATTTATTTATATATAATTTATTTATCAGCATGTTTTCTCCCCTAAACATGATACTCTTGTGATATTTTGTGGTACGTATCTCCATTTTGGACAAATACCCATGGGATTTCGGTGGAAATTCTTTGTTTAGCAATCTCGTCTCAGGCTTCAGATGCAATGTGGCACTCAGTCCGGGGACTGAGCAGGTGAATTCCACATTTCTGGCAGGTGAACTTCAGCATTTACACAATTTTCCAGTGCCTCAAAAGTTGGAATCCCAATTCCATCCAATGGTTGATCAACAACTTTACCATCTGTATGGCAATGAGACACACCCACATCCTGGCATTATTTTCTGCTAAACTCCAAATTTTTGCTGATGATATAATCCTCCCTTCTGTTTGCTGGTTATATAGATCACCAAAAAAAAACATGTTCGTTCCATTCGGGTGAATTCCATATAATTCCATGATGTTTGGGTGAAATCATTCATATCTCAAATTTTAAAGATAAAAATTGGTAAAACTCATGGTTTTCCAGTAAAATTCCCATCGGTTTTTTTCGGTTTCCCTCGAGGCGAAGGGCGACTTTCAGAGCTGCTGGAGGCAGAGATCACCACGATGGCAATGATGGAGGTGCCGTTGATCAGTGATATTGGATATCAATAGATGAAAAATAGTATTCTATAGACTAATGAATTGGATATTGATGGATATTGTGTAGTCAATAGTAATAGTAGATTATATATATACTGTAGTAGATGATTAGTAGATTCAATATGGGTTTTATTATTACTAGATAAGATACTAATATAATATACATATATATATATGTATATGTATATGTATATAATATGATTCTATAGATATACCATGATATACTCGTATCTAATGATTTGCCTTAACGATAAATTTTTGGTGTTGGTAATGCGTATAGATAATATATAGATATCTAATGTTTTTTTTTTAAACAATGATAGTATATATATATACAGGTAATATATATAGATAATAGAGATGATGCAGATATAGATAATATGTCTAACGATATCTAATGGCATATAGATATCACTGGATACTATAGATATCCATTCTACACTCAGATAATCTTTGGATTTTCTAAGTCGACGAAGGGCTTTACTTTTCTATTGTTTTGGGTTGCTATATTTACATTATATATACACATTATTATATACATATATAAACCATCAATTACTAGAAACCACAAGTTATCAAATTAACCATACATAACGAATGTTTATCCATTAGCCATCATGCTGGGTAACCATGGACAACAAAACTGTTTAAACACACCTTGTGGACAACTGTTGTTTTGACCGGTAATGTTGGTTCCTCCACTAGCAAAGAATTAACCATGCATCAACTATCAACAAATCCATGCATATGGTTAATTAATAATGCACTAACCATCAAAGATTGACTTGTTATTGATGGTTAGTGATGGGTAGTGCATTTATCGTGATGGCAACCCATGAATTGACAATCGTTAGCCCATCAACACCCAATTTAGTATAATTAATCAACATCACCATCAACTGGATGATTTTTTCCAAGGCTACATCAATTTTATGGAACGCCTGTTTACATCAGCATCTCAAAAGATAGACTTTGGTAAAATCCCACGAACATAGTGACATAGTGATAAACCACCTTTCTTTCTTGTCGGGGGATAATGATTGTAGTATTGATGGTCAACTATGAATTATCACTGGTCGGTGATTACTAAGTATCGTTGGTGGTAAATGATGGAGGATTAATCATTATTGAACTGGTATAACTGATCGTGAACGTTGAACATCGATTTATTCAATGGCATAGGTATGTATGAATCGCGATAGTCATATACTTGAATCTTGATTAATAATATTGTCAAAAGCTGCTACATACCAGCACACCTACCGTACCTATCAATGATCTTTGGCTAAATAAGACCATTAGAGTCTTCGAGCGGATGATCAATTAGGGGCTGGTTAAAACAATGATGCTTATTGATCTAACCAGTGGATGAATGGTTGAATGACCATTCGTGTAAAAACTTGGATATGGCGGAATTGTTAGATGATTATTCAACAAACTGTCCGGTTGGCGTTTTGACCAATAGAAAACAAGGGGCTCTCGCATGCTTTTATGAAACAACCATGGGTGATCAACATATCCGTAAGCCGACTAGTGCAGGGTAGTTCCGCAGCTAGTTGTTCTTGTTTGCGGCGTATCTAATCCAAGGTTAGCCATGCAGCCGTGCGTTATAATGTTAGATATGTTTTCAACTACAATATACCTGTGGTGCCTATATGTGTATTTTTCGTTATATATGTATGTATATATATATATACACATACGATTGTAATACGTACACATCATATACGCAAGTACCAGATGAAAGCGGGTTTGTACCATATCATCGTATACCTTGTTTTGATGTTTTGGTGTTTTTGAACCAGGTAAAACAGGGGATGCTTAACTTTTTTTTGTTTGATTACCAGAAATTTGGGCACCAGAAAAAGAAAATTGACCCGCACCTCGCTGGTCACAGTCAAGAGAACCCCTTAATGTGATCTAACTGATCTAAGCGGCAAACAGGAGGAAATAATGGAAGCACATGTGTATTGTATGGTTAAATAATGTTAATGGCTAAGTCCCCATAGCTTGGATGGTTTCAGTTTCTGCTGCAGATGACAACCCCAAGTGACCAAGATGTTTAAGATGAAGCCACCGATTTTCAGAATGCACCCTCTTGGAAGTTAAGATACAAAACTACAGAATCCAACGAATGGGGTTGGAAGATGATATCATGCCAAATTTCTGGCGAAAGATGGCACCAAAATATGAACGCACCAATGTTTGGATGCACACATATGCATGTTCAATATTTGTATATATTACCAATTCTATTTCGGTATGTGCATGGGTGTGTCTGAAAATGGGATGTGTCCCCAAATAGCCATTTTGATAGGGACACTTCTAATCAAGTATGGATTTCAAGGTACAGTACCTCATTTTCAGACAGACCCACACATTTAAATCATGTTTCTATGTGCATAGCCTAGTACCAATGGTAGCCATGCCGAGGCACGAAACATGTCGTTGCAAGATGTCATGGACCTCGGCAAAGCGCCTGCCTCTTTGCCGGCGCTTCTCAACGAGGAAAGCAGGGTGGGATTTTTTTTCGGTGATTGACCAAACTTCTAGTTTTTTTAATGGTGAAAAAAAAATGATATATATCAACCATATGGAAATCTCTTTTTTTGTGGTTTCTTTCGGTGATTTTTTTTGGCAAAATATCTGTTGGATCGATTTCGGGTATGGACTGGAAATGGTTCAATATGATCAACCCCCAAAAAAGAAGATGATTGGATGCAAAACCTGGGATGGGTAAATGCTCCTGGCAAAGCCGAGAATGTCAGTAAAGCAATGTGTTTGGCAATATATATATATATATTCATTTTTCCAATATAATTTGAGCATTTTAGTTTTATTGTGGTATGTTACCATGTATGTTACCATGTATAAACATGTATAAACTATAAACCATCAATCCATATGGATCCTGCCATGGGTGGTTGACTAATGACGGCTCCATATAGGAGCTGCCCGTGCGCTATGCACGGCGGATTTCGATGCTCGAGGCGTTGCCACTGTGGCAAACCAAGGAAAGCATCAGGTGGGGCGCGGATGGGGCGCATCCTGGAGCCATTGATGCATAAAGATAGGGATTTGGGATGAAAATGGATGGGAAATGGATGGATTGAAGATGGGATTTGACGATGATATTTCCAGGAAGTCTTTTCCACTCTTTTTGAAAACGCAAGTTTAGGATAATTCTTTTATTCCCAAAGGGAATAGGGAGATGAGCCGTCGTAGCTGTTCCGGGCCTCGAGATGCATTTGGGTTTGTGCTGATGGAATGGGTACAAGACATAGTTTTGGGTCGGTGCTTTTAGCAAATACAAAACCGTCACTGTGAAGCGAGGCATGTCCGCGAGATGTATGTCAAGTCCTTCAAGGACTGCCCGTGCATACGCGCCTTGAGGGGTGCTAGTGATCTGCAAAGCCTGCCAAGTTGGATAAAAAACAGGAGTGGCTTAGGAAACCCTTGGGATAAATTAATATAAATGATTCATTTCCCAAAATTGCTTTCAAAATGCTTCAAGTTGCAGCAAACCATCAAGATTCTCAAATGGGTATGTCGAAGAATTGGCTATACTCCAAACAAGCAATTCCAATACCGAAAATCTTGGGATAAACCTTGAGATTTGAGGCTTCCCCATGTTTGGACAATCCAAAATATATCACCCCTGAATCATGGATGTCCTCGACTTTCGACTGGTTGATTGTTTTTTTTTTTTTTCCGGGGTCACCCTGATCAAATGGCGAATATTCATAATCATAGATAACATAATCATGTACTACAACTGACAATAAACGATTCATGTTCATGATATGCCGTATAGCGGCCTTTTTGTTTCCCCAAAGGACATGATTGACAGGCCCGCCAATCCAAATCTTTTTTGGAATAATTATGAACAATTGGAAACCTGGAACTTGTGTGAAATTGTGGGGTTTTTGTATCCTCTGTGGCATCCGAGAAAAAGGGATGGCCCATGGCTGTTTTCCTGAAGAAATCGACCTTTGAGGAGCTTCGGATGGTTGATAACCTGAGCGAATTTGAACTCAGGCCTTTTGGTCAAAAATGGTGGGCTTCACCAGCAAAAAGTTGGGGATTTCATGGGATTTAAGCAGCAAAACTAGGAATCTAATGGGAAATATGATGGGATTTATTACCAGGACTATGATATTCGGCTAGGTCTGAATGGGTTATACCGTTATACCATGATGTTATAGCCATAGATTTGATGGGAAACATGATGATAGACCATGGCATTTTAGGGTACCCTATTTTCAGTCAAATCCATAATATATTCTATGGGATTCTCATGAACCTATGTGAATTCTCGATTGCAGTGTCTTGCATTTTCCCCATGTCTGATATGATCTGGATGAATTCGCTGAGTGACTTCCTGTCAAGAGGCCTCATATCTGGGATGAGCTGACCCCAGATCTAGAAATCAGATCAAAATGATGAAACTAGAATGGAACCTGATTTTTTCTCCAAAAAATCAGCTTCCAAATGTTAATCTTCAGCACGGGGCGAACGTGGTGCCATTTTTTAAATTTCGCAACCCTATGGAGTCGTCACCTGACGAAGGCTGTGCCTTGCAAAGATCAAGCGCCGCCACTGCCGAACCAACTTGCTGGTGCAGGGCTTCAAGGAGATGGGTGTGTTTATGGGTCAATTTCAGAGGTGCGCACAATGCATATTTTGCTCATGATAGTTCAACACTTGCGTGAAATAATTGACAAGCCATGACAACCCATGACAAGCCGCTGATGTTTGACATATATCGAAGATGGTCACAGGGTTTCATGGCCAACCATGTGTCTGAGACTGGCAACAGGAGTACCTTCACCATGAGGAGTTGTCTGAGCAACAGATCAATGACTGGCTGGGCTGCCAAGGGACTTGATATCGAACTGTAGGATCCTTGTCCTTGGTTCAACATGTGGTATTATCATTCGTATTTACATGTAAGTGTATGACATAATGAGGAATAATAGAATTCTATAGATGATTTAACTATATTTCATACATATATAATCATATATATATATTATAACTATATATGACGCATTTCTCTTTTTTTATCCTCTTAGAAGATGAACGACTGTTGGAAAGGGGTCAAACGTCCTCACTTTGTGTGGCCTGTGTATGGATCGAATTTCACGGCATAGTGACGTAAAAATGTTTTAAAGCAAGCAATTGATTCGAGATCCGCCATGTCGTTCATGTCAAACCTCTCAGGGGTCCAAGGGGAAAGGGTTGCAGCAGCTAGTCAGGAGAAACAACTAAGTGTCCTGGTGTTATATGTATAATTACGTATATACATATACAATCATATACATATTTATCATATTATTACGTTACATGTGTGTGTGTACCATTCCCGGTTGGTGGATCCTTTCTTAAACTACACGACAGTTGCCGTGTTTCTCGGCGTTTTTTCTGTTCTGAGGCTCAACGAATTCTTCAAGCTGCGCATCTCCACGAATCTGTTGATTTCACAGTTCCTGGAGATGGCAGATGATGCTTCACAAGGCAGACACTTGGCTGCATATGGTGGTCTTATGCAGCACGTTGTTTTTTCCTTTTGGAAGTTGATATGTTTTTTTTTTCAAACTGCCAATATGATTTTTCTTTGGATGGTGTCTCTCTTCAAGTGCTAAGTTATGTCGTGTTTTAAACATAGGAGTTTTCTTCAACTGCTAAGATGCCAGTATTACTTTACAGTGCGGCCTTTATGCAATCCATGGAACACACAGTGCAAGTGCTGCAACGTCCAAGGCGAGGCTGATACCAATCTGGACTCCTACCAAAGCTCCATCAGCAATCAATGCCGCTCTGCATCGCTCTGCACATTCTGAGCAAATCATGGGTTGCTACACATTCTGAACTGAGCCTGATGTTACCTCTGCCTGGATGAAGGTTTGTTACCCAAAGACAAACTGAACAGATCCCTTTGGTGCTTGTCAATGCAAGCATTGAGAGTATTCTGGTCCCATTCCTTCAAAATTGACATACTGGAGATAGGGTATGATGATATGGTGTTGTGGCAGGCTTTGTGAAACATGTCTCTGCTAGGCGATCCCTTGAAAATTGCACGCCATGCAGCGGATGTGATCGCGACGCTTGGCATCAAGGGCAGCTGGCAGAACCCAAATGTGGCCAATTTGAAGAAAAGTCCCGGAACCCATTTTTGCAATTCCATGTTTGCTTTCACGGGGAATAAGCGTCTAGCTTTGTGTTGCATTCAGTTCTGTTTTTTTGGTACTGGTTTTGAAGGAACAAGCGCTTCAGAAATTGTTTCAAGAAAACCAGCGGAAAATTCACAGAAAACGCCACCCCCAAACCCTGCTGTTCTGATTTGTGGGTCAAACCCTGTCAGACCCTGGTGAACATCAAACAAGAATAGAGTACAAATAAGCCTCTAGAAAGTGCACATACATGCATCATCATGCATCTATGGATCCAGATTTGTGTTGTGACGGGAACATTTCCCCTTCATCAGACTCATCTTTTTTTTTTGGGCAGGAAACTTTGTGAGCAATGGTACGGTCGATCTCCCAAAATCGTGGTGACCGACGCGGCGGCCATGAACGGAGCTCAACAGGTGCTGGTTGAGGGGGAATCCACCGGTGAAGACTCGAGTTCTGGCCTTCCCATTTTAAGTGTTGAAAAGGCGATGGGCCGTGCTGGTCATACTGATGATGCTACTTCTCAAAATGAAGTTACAAGGGGGATAGCAAGCATTCTCATTCTTCTAAGCCCGCCACAAGTCTGTACATCAAGCAAATCATAATTACAATCAGCTATGATGTATATTATGATGGAATACATGTACAGTATCTTAGATGAAGTAATACACACTTACACAGATCTACCATTCCTTAAATAACATAGACGCATAGACGCATCAACCATAGCCCAACTCACAGAAGAGTCATCATGTTAGTCAGTCATCATCATTCACCACCCAATGTATGGAATAGCAGGATAATAGATATGATATGAGACTAATATACATATTAATCACATTGAAATCTACATAATAATGATATATTCTTATACTGAACAATTACACGAACCCATTCTTACCAGTACAATTCTAAAACCACCAATGAATAGGTTCGTTATAATAATATGTATAATATATATATATATACATATTATAATCCTCGTTTTTTGTTGCTTTCGTGAATGGTGTTTCCACGGAAAGTGGCAGGAGCCCTTCACCTTTGTCCCGCGCTACATGTTTTACATCCTCACGGAGCTGCTGAAGAATTCTGTCCGCGCCACGGTGGAGCACGCTGCGGGGCAGGAGATGGGCCCCGTGACGCTGGTGGTGGGGGCACCCAGGTGAAGATGGATGGGAATTTCAGGTGGTTTAAGCGAGCTAAAACTGGAAGCTCACGGGATTTCATTGGATTTCATAGGATTGATTGGTTTTTCATAGGATTTCATAGGATTTCATGGGATTTATTGAGCTTGATGATGAATCTTAACACTGAGTTTTGCTAAATCCTGAGTTGTCTAATTACTCGGGGTGACTCACCCGGGTGCCAAGTTTGGGGATATCTTGTCATATTTTTGAGCTGACGCTCATCGTCGGCTCCGCCGGATTTCTCGACCCTCCATTTCATCGCAGTGTGGGCTTGAAAGCTTTTCGATGGGGACCTGCTTCAGAAATATATTCCTTATGTTTTTTGAAAAAAAGTCATTTCAGTCTCCTTCAGCACAGCCAATGGAATCTCAGTCGAACTTCCACGGACGATGCAGCCACGAAAAGTCGCCAAGAAGACTTCGGCTCGCTTCAGGTCCAGCATCTCTTGGAAGTTGTCAGTCAACTTGCGCGCCTGAAGGCAGCATTCTCTCAACAGTGCAATGCCGAAGTCTGCCATGTAAACTTTTTCCTGCGAAGACAGCATAGCAATGGTCTGGAGGAACAGAGGCACCAGGTTCAACTGCTCCGCACGCAACCAAACTTGATGGAAAGCCATTGAATTGATAGCAGCAAGATCGCTATGATATGGATATCACGGTTTCGAGGTCCCTGGGAAATTGGCTGCGCGAGAACACAGAATGTTTAAAACCGCTTCAAGCGCTACTATTAATTATAATATAGCTCTCAAGAAGCTGCTACTATTTATTATATATAGCGCAAGATGCTGCTACCTATTATTTTTATTATTATTATTCTTATTATTATTATTATATAGCGGAGAACAGGCGGCTGCAAACCAGTGCAAATCATGCAAAAAGTGATGCTGACAGTTCCACGCACAAGAGGCAACATAAATGTGAACAATGATCAATCTCAACGGAAGATTCTGAAAGATCAACATTCCTTTGGTTCTCACAAAAGAAAGTCACTTCCAGTGAGCCCCACCCTCTCCTCATATTGACAACCATTTTCTGACATATCATCTGACATTGGCTTTGGCATCTCCTTCTGACATTTAACCCAATATCTTCAGTGTGAAATATTCTGACGTGGTGCTTGCTTTTCCTTTGGCATCGCAGCACTCTAAATTTACAAACCAAGAATCTGCCGTGCCAGTGCTTTGCACAAAACAAACACCTACTTCAAAAAAGTTAACACCTACTTGAAACCAAAAGTCCTTAAACATCAATCTGAGTGTTGCCTTTGCTAAATGGACAGCGCAAAGCAAACATCGTTCATCTGTTGCTAGATGGAAGTCATTGTGCCAGAGTACTGTGATCAGGGTTCTCCAAAGAGTTCACCGGTCATTTGATACAATGATTCTTGGTAAGGCTCAACAGCTACCGATCCGTGAAAAGCTTGACACAAGCTTTGCAATGCCAGTTTTCTCGAAGGCAGCTGGTCCTGGTGCTGTGGCAGCTTCCGTCGGTGGAGGCGGAAGTGGAAGTGGAAGTGGAAGTAGAAATGGCTGCCCTCTGATGTCGTTGAAGGATTTGGCATCGTGTGTGAGGGAGCCGGTGAACTACATTGGCACCATTGGCAGGATTGCTTATGTCTATGCGACCAGCGAGAAATACCCGAATGTGAAATTCATTTTGACCGGGGAAGGCCAGGACAATGGCATTGTGAAAGTCTTGGTGAAAGGAGCGGGAAAGCCGCCAAAGATGCCAGAGACCAGTTGATCAGGTTGGATTCTGTGGAGGTTCGCAAGATCCATCGCAAAGCTTCAGGTGAGATCCCGGAGGGGGCAGTTCATCCGGATCTTGCCCTCATGGAGCTCTCGGCGAACTTCGGCAGTGGAGCTGGTGCAAAGAGAAAGCGTGGAAATCAGTGGCTTGGCTGAGCAGGCCCTAAAACCAGGAGCATTTATCTAAGGTGGGTTTGGTGTAAATAGAGAATTTGGATGCAGCAGAATTGATGCAGTTCGGCAGTATGGTATAGAGTTGCCGAAGCGTTGCAATAATTCGAACAAGGGGAGCGGGGAGGGTCTTCAGAGGATGTTGAGAGTAACATGATACAGTGAGGTCTACCATGCATTTGTTGCCGGCGGACCACGAGTACCAGAAGAAGTACCCTATGGCGACATTTGAGATCCTCCCAACTCTCTCTGGGATTCAAGGGCCAGAGGCCGCAGATTTGTATGTGGTGGTTGCTCTGAAAATTCTTGAAGTTGGTGAGGTGGCTGGTGAGAAAGAACGACGTGTTATCCTATGCACCGATGCCCTTGACGAGAAGGAGGCTGAGGAGACCGAGGAGAATGAAAACGCCTCTCGTTTTGTGGCTGCATATATTTGATCAAGGGGGTAAGTCTGAGAATGCGTTGTTAGGAAACTTTTGCAGGATGTCGTGGAGAAGTCAGACAACATCAGAGCAAGACCGTAAAAAATCTACGGAGCCATCAAATAAATTGATTTGGGTGAGTCAAAGTCAGAAATTGTAGCGTATTTGTGATTTAACATCGTTTTCCCTTGGGAAGCTGGGCTCTTTTGGATCCCCATATCTTCTCTATGGCAACATACGGTGGTCCTGAAGTTGCTGGAATCAGAAGAATATGATCAACCAGATCTAACGCATCATTGGCATTGTTTCTATGGGCAGTATCCTCATCTTTTTCATTCCCTTTATCTCCATCATCATCTCAGCTGCTTCATCAGCTTTATCTCCATCATCATGATCATGGTCATCATGGTCATCATGGTCATCAACGTCTTCATCATTCTTTTCCTCGTCATCGTCGCCTTATCTTCTTCAAAATCTTCTTCAACTTTATCTTTATCATCATTCATTCTTCTTCTTCTTCATCATCATCAGCATCATCATCACCATCATCATCATCAATCTGTTTGGCGCTGGGACGGGTACTTTCAGAGCGGAGGCATTCCCATTGTGAACACTAGGTAGACTAGGTGTAATTGAGTAAATGGTGAGATGCTGTCCTTGGCCTGGTCCTGGTTTTGACGCTATTGAACATAGAGTGGAGTGTTTTTTTTTCAGCCAGCAGGATGTATTTGTGAACTCGCGGGAGCAGTTGGGTCCTGCTTTCAGGTCGACTTACCCATCAGTGAATAATTTTCTCAACTGCCCTGAACCAGGCAATGGCAACTGAGCGAATGCAAACAGATGACATGAAAACTGGAACAGTGGGCTTAAGTGTTCAGTGCCCAGCAATACGGAGAAGCACAAACAGCACAGTATATCAGTCACTTACCATACTAGGAAACCTAGGTAGTGCACGCAGTCAGGTCCTTTTCCACAACAAAACCAGCTTGTGGTGTCGGCATGAAACGCCCGGCATCGCACAGCGGGACTAGAACCAGTGGTCGTTCTGGGCGTTCTGGTCGTAGTGGAAGGTCAGGGAAATCCGGAAAACCAGGCAGGTCTGGGTACAGTCAGCAGCATCAAGACAGCACCCGTGCATTCTTCTTAGCTTACGTCATCGCAAGCCTTCGGGCTACCAGCAAGAAGTTGCTGGGCAAGGAAGCCCCTCTGCAACGTACTTCAACAGCACAGGTGAGGGAAATCGAGGGCTGTGCGACATTTCAAAATATGAAACGCTGCGAAAGCAGCCCATACATTGACGGAGCAAGTTTGGAGCTGTATGCCTTGTGCGAACCGGTTAAACTCGTGGTGCGTTTGGTTTATGCCATACTTTTACGTACTGTCTTGAATGGTTATGGGTTGCTGTCCACGTTTTTGTCTTCATATGAGGAGCGTGCCGGCCGCGAGTTTGCGGATGCCATACGGAAACAAAACGTAGACGAGCATGTCTTTGAACAAGTCGTTGCCAAATTCAAGCTTGGAGTTGCTACGCCAGAGGCCCGTGTTTCGCAATGGCAAGCCGCCCGTAAAGACTGGAAGGAGAAAGGCAAATATACGTTTGCTGAGGTTGGCTCACGGCACATTTCTCGAACAATCAACACTGGGAAGGCGAAACGTGTGATGGCAACTGTCGTGAAAGCTTCAACAGAAAAAGAAGTAGAAACAGCGCTTCAGAATTGTGGCATTTACAGCAAATTTTTGCGCTACTCGATATATCGTGACCTGCAGCTCTGGTTAGTACATTTGCCGGATTCCTTTCATGTGGGCCCTGGAGCCCTCGAGACCCTGCAATCTTGCACAAAAACTAGTGCGACAGCTTCGCCAGAGGAGAAGTTGAAAGAACTGCACGAGTGGCTGAAGCCCCAATTACCAACGGGTTTGGTGAAGTGCGTTGTGGATGGACCCCTGCGGACACGGAACATTGTTTGTGTGAGTTCCGAAAGTACAAGAGTGGCCTTCGTGATGCGAGCCGGACCAGAAGGGATCGTCGGGGGGCGGGCCGGCGGCAGGTAGATCGCAGGAACCGCATGAAGACAGTGTGGAAGCTGCTTAAGGCAAAGGGTTTGGTGCAGGAATGAGGCCAAAGCTGCCGAGAAGGGTTCGAAGGCGTGGCAGGGTGCCATCCGTCAGTTTCGGAATGCCATAAAGAGGTGCTGCGGTGGCAGTCTGGCATGACTGTGGCAATGGCTTTTGGTCTTGCCAGGCTTGTTTTCGCAAGTCCTATCAGAGGGCGTGGCGGGATGCCATCCGGCAGTTTCGGACTGCCAGAAAGAGGTGCCGTGGAAAACATGGGATGCAGTTTAGAATGGCTTTGGCATGGCTTTGGCAGATGGGCATGCCATGGGTCAACCCACGTGTAGCATTGGAAATGCAAATTTCCCGAGAAAACGGCGCGAAAAGCAAAGGTTCCACACCTGCGGTGGTCCCGGGCGCCGCCCTGCCGTAGCAAGTGCTAGGCAGGGTCGGCGGATATAACTATTTTGGGGTCAACCGGGTTATAACTATAATTAATAGTAAGGGGTTAAAACTAGGGGTTGACACTCGGAACTGCAGGGGTATGGAAACTATGGTTTTAAATTACTTCTAGGGTGGCAAACGTGATGAAGATATGTTCAAACAGAATATACCCCCCTGGATTCTGGATCCCTTTGGTCCTTTGGTAATCTAACAGTAACATAGCCATGGACAATTAATCATTTGTTGAAGATTTACCTACATACTAGCGCTATCAAGAAGAGATTCTCCATGGCTATGTTCGATTACCAGAGGATATCTCAACAAGGGTTTGCAACCGCCGTGACAAAATAAGATGGTCGCAGAAATTAAACATTGACTGGGACGGTGGGTGACAGGTTAATGGCCTGGTGTCCCCCAAGGTGCTAATGATTGTGCCTTAAAGGTGTAGTGGTCTGGGGCTAGAATGGTTGAGAGCCCATCGTCAAGTGGCTCTGGGTCGTAATTCGGGTACAGTACCCTAGAACGGAGAATCAATACATCACAATATATGTCCAATATTGTCCAATAGATTCAATAGATATCAATAGATATTGATAAACATATATTATCTATTGTGGCATCCATTATCCATAGATAATGGAAAAAAACCTGACCAACAATTTGTAGTTCCATCGGCCCATAGTTTCTTGAGGTCTCCACGGGCAAGGGCATCACCAGCCTCCGCGTGTCGGATCAAGGAGGCTTTCCTGTTGAAAAACACGGGTCGGACATGGCGTTCATCGCGTAAAGGTTTTCAGTAGCAGAGAAGTAATGGTTTTCGGTTGGTCTCCGTACATTCTTTTTAAAATGCCATCAGTTCTACTGTTCACATCCAAAGTTTCTTGGACATGAGCTGTCTGCAGGTGGAATACCCGCTGATCGCCTTGCTCATGTGTGGTCCTACTTGTACACCACAGCGCAGCCCCAGGACTATCCTGTGACTAGGTGAGGACATGGGGGTTTTGCTTGCATGAACGACTGTTTGGGACATGTTTGTCCGTATATGTACTGTAAATATCTGTAAATATATTATATGATATAAAGATAGACCGTGAGAAACCAGGACACTCGAAGTAGTGATCAAACAACGTCAAGAGATTTGTTTTTGAAGGGAAACCATAGCCCGGCGGCACTCGTGCCGGTGCCTAGCCACACTCACGGACCATACTGGGAAACGGGCACGTTTGCACGAGATTTCTGCCATGGATTTTCTCACAGCCTCCATTTCGCACTCAAGAAAACAGCAAGTGAATACTGTAAGGAAAGAGTTGAAGATTCTAAGCCCGCATTGATGAGATTTAGGGAATGGGGAATATGGGGTTCCACATTCTGGGGTAGCGTTCAAAATTCATTGACCTTTGCCGCCGCAAAACTCTTTGGGTGATGCCAGTTTGCTCTTATTCTCTGGTTGATGGATTGGTATTTTTTTCCTATTCGCTTTCGAATTATATTCTTTTGGTAAAATAATGAGTGAGTTTAAGAGCTTGTTTTGAACGCATCCATTTGACGATAGTTCGCAATTATATCTTATATATCCCTATATACTTATACCAACATAATAGGGTCCCATTGATATGTGCACATCCTTCCCTACATTATTGGTTTCATTGCCCAATCTTGCATCCATTCTTGCTGGTTACATCCCCCTTTCTTGGACGAACCGACTAGTGTCGGTCAATGAGCTGCTGAATTCCCGTGGCGGTCGTACTCTCCTGTTTGTTGTTGATGAAACATTCCTATATATGTTTTTGTTGTATATATCCTTGTATATCCCTATTGTTTGAAATATCCCTATTGGTTTTGCTTGTATATTCTCTCGGGTCAACCCCCATGGTCCGTGGTTCTTTCTTTGGATATCTGGGATCTCTTCACATTTTCCCAGCATTTTTTGCTTCAGCCGGGCCCTTGGCCGCAGGGATGGCGTGGATGCGCCCTCGGAACTCCAGCGCTTAGAGATGTCTTTGCAGCCCCGCGGGAGCCACCTGGTGATGTTGGCGATGGTTTTTTCATGTTTTTTTTTTTTCCATCTATAAATGATGATAATGGATGACAATGGCTATTATTAATAATAGATGGATGATAATAAATCCCATCTTCCATAATTAATGATAATGAACATCCCATTTTCGATAATTCATAAATGGATGATAATGGATGATAACTGGGGTATAACTTGGGTTATTCCTTGTGACTTAGGCCTCCTAATATGATTAATCTGTATGGAATAATATGGATGTTCATCCCGATGGCATTTCATTTTTTTCATAGTTTTTGATCCTGCTTAACATGCCTGAAAGTACGATGATCAGAAGTCGTCGAAGTGAAGATCATCTGCAACATGGATTAACATGAAATTTCTAGGGGAAAATGGCAGGAAACCTTTTTTTCACGAGGTCTTTCTCTCATCGACGAGAACTCAGAGGAGCACGACCACCGAATTCTGATGAGGCACAGCACTCCACATTTCAGGTTAAATTTTAGAGGTTGAATATATTGATAGGAATCACTGCCGAGAAAAGCAGCTGGTCGGTGGTTTCAAGTACGTGCTACCCTCCGGTAATCGTGGCAATTGAAAATCCCTGTGACCTAGCCATGGAGGTTTAGTTCGCAAAATCGTCCATGAATGGGGATCTTTTCCAGCAAAGCATCCCCATTTTCTTCGGACGAGGATGCTCCGGAGCCAGGTCGCCGTTGGCCGGGTTGGGCTGTGGCCTTCCCCTCAGCAGACTTTATGCTGAGTACATGGGTGGCCGTGTGAAGCTGCAGACGATGCCCAGGTGGAAGGGGATTGGTATTGCAGTCGGACCAAGCAAATTTAGGATGGTTTCTGTATGTTTTTGTCATATGAAATAGAATCTATTGATATCTATGGATATCTATTATCTATGTACTATATTATTGTTTGTAATTGTGAGCCAGAAAAATACTTGGGATACTTGACTGTACAGATATCCTTGGGGAATCATTTGCCCCTATCTACCCCTGGCAGGTATGGCACTGATGTGTTTGTCTATTTGAACAGCCTGGGAAGTAGACGCTCGGCTCCAAGCCATCATTGTCTGCTTGTTGGTCACAATTATGTTTCATTTTCTGAGAATAACATGTTTCAGCCCAGCAACCACTGGTGGTCTTGTTGCCTCAAGACTGCGTTGAGAAGCAAGGAACTGTGGTGAAAGCTCTCAGAGATGATGTTTGACATCTGTATGTTTATGGAAACCACAAATGCAAGCTGAAGGTTGACTTTCCGATGGTGTTATCCACGGCCCATTTCTTTCTTCAGATACCAGATCAATTATTCCAATTTTGGTGCAGAAGTTGGGGATCTGATGCACTGCATGTGGGGTATCTGCTTTCCCTGAACGCGCTACCCCTCTTTCAGGGTCGGCAGGTTCCTAGGGTTGAATGCTTAAGCCGTACGCACTTCACTTCTGCTGTGACCTGGCTCCTGTGTCGAAAAACAGGGCTGATCTCAAGCTTTGGACCTAAGGGTTGGTCATGGTTGGTCAATGCTGCGATTCAGTTCTTTTTTTTGCAGATAACCCCTCAGCTATTACAGATGTCCAGTTTCACCTGTGCCTGATGGTGATCTCAAACCGATTGCCCGCAGGAATTGTTTGGCGCGACACTTCTGGCGGTCTGAATTCTGCAATATATTTATATATAATATATGTAGCTATATATAATAATATATATATATATACACAATATATATATATACACACAATCTTTTTCAAAGACAACTTATGGCATAGCTATGGTTTTCCATCGGTGAAATGACCAAATGTCACAGCATGTCACATCACTTCCCAAGTTTAGGCACCCAAATTTGAGACGTACGGCCCGGCTAGGCCCATACACCGGTGCTCAGGTTCGGACGTGCTCAACACACTCTGAAGATTGAAAAAAAGCTGCAGCGCCCTGCCCCTGCAGCTGTGGTTGCCATTGAACGCTTGTAGTCGAGTATGTCGATGTGGCCGTGGGTCAATTTTTTGGGTAGCCTAAAATTGGATGCCCATCCTAGAAATGGCTTCATGGATTTTGGGCCTTAAATTTTGACCCATTAGTTTTCAACATGTCTGACATATTCTGACTTCCAGAGCTTGAAGAGTGAGCGTGAATAATTCACGGTGTAACACCTGGGGAATCCAGTGGAGCCATCTTGATAGGATGGTTTTCAATCAGATACGCCAAGTTTGTATGATGTCTAAACAGGACCAGTGATAAATCATGATAAATATATTCAAGAAAGGTCACCAATCAGCTGTATCTTCAGATCCAGATTTCTTGTCCAAGTCCTCACCTACCAAGCTCTCAGCTGAGAGCTGCAGGTCAGACTTCCAAATGGTGACCTTCATGGCTTTGAGCCTGACCTCTTTGCCAACCTTCGTTCATGAAGAATTCAGTGGCCGCATCTGGCCGAAAGGGGATACACCAAGGGCTCTAGGACTGGACAGGACTGGACAGTAGCATCATACCATTTGGGGCCCATTATGGCCCATTCGAAGTTTTTAAGGATCTTCCCTTTGCCATGGTCAAAAGTTGGATACACCCATTGGGGGATGGTCATCGATAGGGATTCACACACCCATCCCATTACAAGGATTTTCCCTCTACGGGATGAACGACCACAATGCATTGATCTTGACCGTGGCAGATATCCTGATGTCCGGAGACCAACACCCCAGGACTCCGCAGGCCTTGCTGCATCTTCCGATTTTCAGGGCCAAAGACCTGCGAGTTCTCGGTGGTTTCGGTTGATGCCAGCCCTTTCCGGCGTACTGTCATGGCATAGATGGTCTAAGTTGGAGAGGGCAAAGAATACCCAGTAAGTTCCAACTTGTTCAATATAAGAAGCTGGCGTGTTGTGCAGGTACAAGCTTTGCTTACGATGGAGACACTAAAACAAACATGACATTTGTGAAATGTTGATGAGTTTGCCATGCCTCCTACACTGGAAAATGGGTCCTAGGTTTTTCGTATATGGACAAAGCAACTCCATTCCAGAATCATACCCTTTGATTGCTGTGGGCCCATGCCCGCGGCAGGTTTAATAGATTTTGAGCGTCACACTGTGTTGAGCGCATGATGCGTTTGTGGCAACAAGACTGCTTGCTACTCTGAGGTGTGACAAAAAGATACAGCAGGGGCAAATGACGGAACGTGTTAGCTGAAAACTATTGCAGTTGTTTGTACAGGTGCGGCTTCAAGAATCTTCAAGACATCCTTACTGGTGCTAAACGTAGGGAATTTTCGGGAATGATCCATTTCATCACTAGTTTCATAATCATCCCAGCAACCCCCAGCAACCCCCAGCAACCCCCAGCAACCCATCCATTCCCTACGTTTAGCTGCTAAACTTTAGCACCAGTAATTTCTCTGGCGAAATCCATGGGACACCACATATCCACCGAAATCCAGGTACATCTTGGAAAGAGAACGAGTCGATTCCATCAGGCCCTGGAGCCGGCTATTGATCCGTTCAATCCCAACAAACAAGGGGAATATATGCATGTGTATATATATATAATGCTAATTTATTTATTTATTTATTATATATATATATATATCTATACATATTATGACCAAGAAGTGCAAGTTGAAATCCCTATCAACCTGGATCAATATGGGATGTTATAGGATAATCATTGGATAATATGGAATCATAACAACAATTCATGAAACTACTACCACTATAAACCAACTCCAACATACTCTAACCAACTCTGTTTGGATGCGATGTTTTTGTCGCGCCAGCTGTGGCCTGCTGTTTTTCGCAGGCCGCCAGCCTGGGGGAAGATCAAGACATACTGGCCTGTTGACCAAGAGATTGGCCGAGACATTTCAACAGCCAAAATGGAGCTATATGGAGGTTTCCTATGGGGGATCCCCAAGTCACCATAGGCTAGGTTTCAATACTGAAATGGTCCAATGACTTGGATGATTCGGGGGTGCTCCCAGCCATTAGGAAACCTCCATATGAGTTGGTCTGAAAATGATGTTAAACCATAGGATGGAATTGTGTTGTCTATTTCTAGACAAACCCATATAAAAAGCCGTGATGGTGATAAAATTTGGATATGTAGCCAGCAATCACTGCAAGCTATGTTTGGAATCGTTGGAAGATCTTGTGCATACTTTGATGGACTGTGAAACGTTACGTATAAATGTTACGCATTGAGACATGGCATTGAGACATGGCATGGTCAATGGTGTCCGACGTGCCGTTGCAAAGGATGATCAACCAGTTCGACTGTGTCGTGTTTCAGTATCCACGGAGTGTTCCGATCCAATCATCCAGCATGTGCCCACTGTGCTTGCAAGATCTTGCAAGCATCGTGTTTCCATTCACAGAAAATGTTATATTTTGATCAGTCGATTATTCATTATTTATTGCTTGACTAGTTGAAAACTATGATGCATGTATCACACAGAACAAGAATGAACGACATTAAATGTACGGTAACAATATTTAAATGTGGAGGGCGGGCCAGACCGTGAGGCCCCGGAGGTAGTCACCGTATGTTTAGATGGCTGGGTGGGCCAAGGAAATCCTTCCCGGAGGTAGTCTTTCCAAATACCTGTTTGTATATTTTAAAGATTTTTAAAGTCCGTATGTTTAAATGTAATGACCGTATGTTTATCATACATATATCATACATTTGTTTGGTAATATGGGGTGATCCACAATATTACATTTTTTTTATGCGGCATCATGTGCTGGAATACACTTAGCATGTTCATAGCCAGGCTGATGGAACGTGAAACGCAGTCGCAGCAATATGACTGGGTGCAAGACTCAGTTTTCCAGTGGGGGTTTCCATCAACGGGGGGTACCCCAAAATGGTTGGTTTATATATATGTTTATATTAGAAAATCCTTCCATAAATGGATGATTTGTGGGTACCACCATTTGAGGATACTTCCTTATTCATGTTTAATCGTCGGACAGTTTGATCAATAGAGTACCTGATTTGCTTGCGAGTTTTGAACAACTTTGCACCTTTGACCAGTTCTGGGCGAGAAAATTCCCTGGTGGGCAGGTCGTCTGGGCTGACTGCGACACCTACTTCATGAACATGAGGTGAGATCGGATCAGGTCGCATCCAGTCATCAAGTTTCAGTCAGTGCAGTGTGGTGTCGCGTTTCAAAGTCTGCTCTGCTGTTCTCTTGATGGATCCAAAGATGTTCATAAATATCATCAACAGTAACTACAGTTCATCCATTTATATGGGACTTTCCAGTGCCAGCGTCTCCAGCTATCCGCAGTACCACACTGGAAAGTGTCCTCTTCACCTATGCTGGTGTGGCAGATGGTGACTTGGTTGCGCCGAGCTGTGATAGGTTTGGAAGAGCTTTTGGAGGCCATGAAGCTCGACGGGTTTCATCAAGATTATGTTGAAGATGATAGCCAATACTGTATAGGTTTAAGTACTACAATTAGAGGTTTTTTCTCTGGAAAATGTAGCATGACTATCATGTTATGTTATAGTTACTACAATTGCAGATGTTTTTTTTCTAGAAAATGAGGGTCACTTGAGTGACCACCACCCAAATGGCAATGGGGATCGGATATAATTACTACATGAGTATTACTACACGTTACTACATGTGGCAAAACCAACTATATCCCCAATCTCAGCAGTTTGATTGGTGCTATAAACATCTATAAACCGCCTAATGATCCCATTTGAGGACGGGTTTTGATGGTTTTTTGTATTCAATTTACATCACTTCACCACAATTTCATTGAGCCACGATCGCATCCAATCCCGGAGCCTCGCAACAAGGTGATGAGTTGACTCTGGATCCAGAGGCCACCGTGACTCGAACATCTCTGGATCTTCGGTGGTTATTCATTGGGTACCACTAGTGGTTAGTGGCTATTGGTTACACCAAATTTCTTGGTGCATCCACACTTGGGGTGACAATTCCGCTTTTCTTGGCGACTGAATCTGCATTTCTTCCATTTCCTCCCTGTGGTGATGCTTCAGGTAGGCCGTTTTTTGAGTCGCCAATTCTCACCCATAGTCACATGATATAATGAGGATGTCTTCAACAAAATGGGATACATCACGAAGAACTTATTTGAATAAAATTCTACAGAAACACACACACACAAGCGTCTTGGGTCGTTTCCTGAGAAAGCCACCGAACCACCGAACCACCAGGTTCACATGATCGTCAGCGAGGACAACGCGATGCTCAACACGGGCATTTTCTTCGCTCGAAGCAGCACTTGGGCTACTGTCTTAGCTCAATAGAAGTGCATCACGTTGGCCCCGCTAAAATTTGATGGTTGAGAAAATCATGTTCTCATTTGAAAAGGCATACACGTTTATGGTATGGGCGCCTCTAAGAGGCCGTGCGTTTTTGAGGTTTTTGGGGTGGGGTGGGGTGGGGTGTGATAACGTTCATATCTCTTGCGTGCAAGGTGATGCGACGTGGATGCTACGTTGATGTTACGTTGATCATACTGTGATGCTACGTTGAGGAGCTGTTGAGGCTACTGTTGGGGTGGGGTGGGGTGTGATAACGTTCATATCTCTTGCGTGCAAGGTGATGCGACGTGGATGCTACGTTGATGTTACGTTGATCATACTGTGATGCTACGTTGAGGAGCTGTTGAGGCTACTGTTGGGGTGGGGTGGGCTGTGATAACGTTCATATCTCTTGCGTGCAAGGTGATGCGACGTGGATGCTACGTTGATGTTACGTTGATCATACTGTGATGCTACGTTGAGGAGCCGTTGAGGCTACTGTTGATACGTTGATGTTACTTTGATCATGCCCCGTTGCTACGTTGATGTTATGTTGATTATATGTTGATGTTACGTTTTAATACGTTGATGTTACATTAATGATGGTGTGGGGTTCGGGTTTGGGTATAGAGGTGTCCTACCAGGTAGTTGTTTGTGATATACAAGTATTTTGTTCAACATTATGTCAGAAATTGATGATGGACTTCAAGTTAAAAATATGCTACGCTGCAGATGGTTATAATATATAGTATTTTGTTCAACATCATGTAAGAAGTTGGTGATGGACTTCAAGTTATATATATTATACGCTGCATATGGTTATAATATATAGTATTTTGTTCAACATCATGTCAGAAATTGATGATGGACTTCAAGTTATAGTTATATATTATACGCTGTACATGGTTATAATATACATACATATATTATTTTGTTATAATATATATATATTATTTTGTTATAATATATATATATATAATTTTGTTATAGTATATATATATGTGTATATTTTTTGTTATAATATATATATATTGTTATTAGACAGACATCATGAAATGTGTCTGGGTTTTTCTGTGGCGAAGAAATTGCCACAACGACATGCACAAATGTCTAGGAGACCTTTGCCGCAAAAGCGGCTGAAACAAAGAGAAGAAAAAGCGTACACCTGCCTTTTCCAACATGTAGCTTTCGTCCCACAAAAACCAGTGAAATCACACCGAGACCCTCATTTTTCCATACGCTTCCATGACTTTTGACACACCCACAATATATAAATATCTGTGAAAAACCGCTCTCGTTGTGGCGAAACCTTGAAACATCATTGAAGAGAAATATATCCATGTGCAAAAACGCACGGCCTCTTAGAGGCGCCCCCACCACGTTTATGCATGTATTCTTGAACCCCTTAGACAGATTCATTGAAAGAGGGTAGCTTTCATCGGTTGGATCAGCCGCCAAGCTTCGGACCGCTTTTTTTTTGGGGGGGGGGCTGTGGCTGCTTGCTGGGGCTGAGGTCGCCAATTTGCTGAGACGTGTTTGGGGTTGGCAGACTTAGTTGCGTCATAGAGAGCTGGGTGGGAGAAGCCACATGGAAAACCACTTTTGGGAAAGCAGCGAATGTTCATGGCCGTGTGTCTAGAGATTGGGAAGTCACATTTGATTTAAAGAATTGTCAGGATATTTTGGGATATTTTGCACCATGGATGCAACCCTCATATACACAGAATGATTATAGTCAGGATTGTTGAGACCTCCATTCGCAGGGTGGCATATTTTATGATTCTTTGTAGATCAAAAAGATGGAAGGCATGTCACGTATGCTCCAGCTGTAAGATGAGCTGTACACGTAAATATCTCGGTGCTTCTAGGTGTATAGATGCATGATGATGCAGATGCATGTTTGGATAAGAGCGCCCAAGAAATTAGACATGCAACATGATACATCATGCTAATCCCTTTCCCAATATCAAATATCCCACAATCGAAGCCTGGTTTACCGAGGTTCCGATGACTCTCCATGGATCGATCATCCGTGGTCCCTGACCTCAGTCGACCTCGATCAGAAGTCATTGAAACAAACAAACGATGTGAGATTCGACCGTCAAACATGCTGGTAAGCACTCATTTTATGGGGATATAACATAATCATATATAATACAGTAATATACAATAGGAAAAAACATATTCTAGGACGGACATCACAGAATATATGATAGATGGTTGCTGAATATATGTTAATGTTTTGAAAACAAGCAAAATAAGGATATGATGGTGATATGATGGTATATAATAAGATAAAGAAACAACAACACGTGGCAAATTTCATGGGAAATCATGATAAACCACGGGATTTTTACCGGGGTTACAATCTATATATCAAGATGGGGATATGGAGCTCCAATGCCTGGTGGAGGGGATAAGCTGAACAATATTTCGTAGAGACACATTCCAAAGTACCATCGGTTTTTATGAACCATGGCAAGCTGGAAAATCCATGAAAATCCCATAAAAAATGGAGGTTGAGCGAGCCGCTGGGAACATGATATTAATTTAGATGGTGGATTTTCCATTAGGTAGCAACTTTTGTGTTTCTTCATCTGCTTTTTTGCTATTCCCTTGGTAAGGGGAATCCTGCTTTGTCATGTCTGCAGCGAAGGTGGGAGAATGCCGCCTTCACGTGGCAGTTCCTGAAGGCTTGGGATACCCTCTGGTAATTTAACAGTTTGCTATTGAAAATGGTGATTTATGGTGGGATTTACCCATTGAAAATGTTGATTTTCCATAGTTATGTTAGTTTACCAGAGGGTATATACCCTATTTTCAGAGAAGCCTAGAGGCCTCGGAATCGAAATATATCGAAATAGCGGTGAATTACGACATTTTGTGGTTAGAACAATAATATACCATAAATAGGTGGTATAAACCCTGCTCAAATGGGTGGAATAAATTTTGTTTATCCACATTATGTTCATTTCCCTTGACTCTTCAAGTTGATTCGTGGCTGGTTCAGCTGTCGAAGACCCCATGGTTCGCGGCTTGACCCCTGGCGGTTTCACCAGGACAACCCGCAGAAGTTCGCCGTGGAAGACTTGGAGGAGCTGAGTGAGGAAACACGGGTTCCATGACGTTTGCCACACACCATCATAAATATATATATACCCCGTATGTATATACAGATTTATATACAGTAAAATATACATAGAGAAATATGCATTCATTAGGTATCGGTATAGACATGTGACCTCATGTGTCAGTATCAGTGAATATTGTACATGTATTATACGCATTTTATACGCTGTATATACATTTTTGATCATTTTTATCTTACATGCACAAAGTATACGTATAATTGAGTGTATGTATAGGGGAATGATCTGTTGACAACGATAGTTGGCAGGATGCAGCAGTGCCTGAGAATTGCCCATTTGGCACGGCACTGCAGGAATGGGCCTCCTCAGAAAAGGATGACATGTCGGGCGTTTGGAGCCCAGTGAATGGGGCAAGCTCTAAGCCACTCTCATGATGTCGGGCTTCGAAACCCACAGAATAACAATACGTAGCCAATCTTAGCCACACAGTTGTGAAATTGGAGAAACCAAAGGTTTTTCAAAACCAGAAAGTTGCAAGTACCAAGGTCTATCCGAACGAAGTACGATTAGCACCACAGTGGCTTGGCAGTGTTGCGTCATGGATGAGGTGACTGATTCACAACTTATTTGGCTAGGCCCACTTTACTGATGTTTTCAAGATGTCGATGGCTCAAATGCCTCAAATCCAGCCGATGCATGTAAGGTCACACTTCAACTCTTATCATCCTATTACATCACGCTTTCAGCATGACACCTGGGAGGAGCGCTGCTGGGTGCAGTTCTGGGTTTTCGAAATCGATTCAGAAATGGCTGGGGCTCATGGGCCAAAATGAATCCCGGTGAAATTGGATGGTTTACCCTCTGGTGAACTAACATAGCAATGGAAAATCACCATTTTTAATGGGAAAATCCACTATAAATGGCCATTTTCAATTGCTATGTTAGTTCACCAGAGGGTAATCCCAAAAATGATCAATATTAACCATTACATTATCCATTATGAAACCGCTATCAGCAAATGTTGGTGGCCATTGGGAAAACCCCAGTTTTGCGCCATTACAGAGTCGCTCCAGAATGTCCAATTGCCAACCCGAAATCACAGGAAAGTTTGAACTTCAGAAAGGGATCGAAATGGCAGGAGAGGAAACCTCCTGTTCAATGGCCCAAAGTGCCCAAAGGTAATGTTTGTTCACAATATGGGTAATTATGACAGTATGACTACTGTATGTATGATTCAAAATTGCTGGCCTTCCAAATTGGATGGTCTAAAACTACGTAAAACTGGGAACTTTTGCAGGTCGCTTGGTACTCTTTTTGAGCCATCCACATATAAAATATTATAAGATCACTGATATCATCTACACCACACATCAGTCCTTTCATGCTGAGTTTGACATCCCCAGCAGAACTGTTGGAGGAGGGGAAGTTCGTCATTGCCTTCAATGGCGTTCTAAGCGCCAGCAGTCCCACTGTGGTGCCAGCAGCTGGTTCTTGTGGTGTTGATTTTGTTGGCTGCTTTGGACATTTGTGCATCGGAAAAAATGAGGGATTTGTAAATGTTTCACTTGGGGGATTCTGGGTTGTAAGCATCTTCTGTTTTGGGCATCACTGCCCGGGGTTGTTGCTTTATTTCTGCTATCTCGAGGGTCCTGCCTGTGGCCATATTTTGCTCGGGCACAATAGACTTGACTGTTCACAAAGGGCGTCAAGATGCCACAGGTGCGGAGAAAAGGTGGTGGCGAGTCAGGGGTGCAACATGATGCAACGAATGTAAATGTGGACAATGTGGCCCAAAACCTTAGTTTCAAAGGATATAGTTCTTTTTTACTAATACACATTGGGCACATATGTATTTGCAGATATTGAACTCTAACCCATGAGCTCAAGAATTTTTGAGCGCCTTGAAGCAGCATCTTTGGTGCGGGGCACGGGGATCATATGTCAAGGAATCTGCCCATTTGAAATTGGGATGGTACACACTATTGCAAGAATGTTACTTTCAAATGGGTCGTTCTAGGTCGATCTAGCGCACTTGGAGAATGATCTGGGCAGGTAGCACAATTTGCGATGTTGGGACCGGCAAGGCTAAAGTCCCTCATGGCCACTCCCCGCGGGTCTCCAACCTCTACAGTACCCATTGATCCGATATGAGACCTTTGGAGATTTTGGAGCGTCCCCAAGACATCATTGTTCTGTTCGTAGGGGTTGTTGACAAATAGAGAGGTTATACAAGTTATATAGGATACCCCTAACCCAAAGTTGCTGGCTGGATTTCAGAAGCGTTTTATTTTCATCCATATTTGGAATGGTGATCCCCAATGACTAGTTTGTTTTGAGGGCTTTAAACCACCAGCCAGGGTAAAAAACATATTTTCCCCACTATTCAACCGCCCAGTCCACTATGAAAACGCGACAGCTGCTGCTGGCAGCGGCTGCCGTCGGCGCGGCGTTGGGCTTTCCAGTGACGTCCTTGGAAGTGACGCAGGAGAGGCTGCAAATGAGTCCCCGCACTACGGTTGGGGTTAACTTCCAGACAAATAGCCTTCTAGCCCACTAATAGGTGCCCTTTATATCCTTTGTTGTTTGGGAATCAATCGCCAAGACAGAATGGCCAGAGGCAAAAGTTACATCTGTTTTCAGCAACTAGAAGGATCCCAAAAGTGGCTGAACAACTGCTCTTCAAAAGTGGCATCTTTGAGACTCAAAATTCAAAAGACCAAAGCTGGGAAGTTTCGCAGGAGCAGTTCTCCCAGCTGAATTCCACTGGACTTTACGATTCGTCCCTTGGAGCGTTCCAAAGGGCTGTTGACTAAAGGTAGGGGAGGGATGAGAGGGAGCGGAGAGTTGGCAGTTGGCTTGGGATAATATGATCTATACTATACCTATACTACCGTACAATGCACGTAAATATCTAAATGTAACCTTCCATGTATGAAGATTGAATAGTGCTGGTGTATGTTGAGGGATGTATGTATTATGCATACACACTATGTCATTGTGCAACATGCATAGTACTGGTAATTAGCCACGTTTTGCATCTTGAATATATATATATGTATATATATATATGTATATATATGTATATTATTTGTATATATATATGCATGTATATTATTTGTATATATATATATGTATGTATGATACATTAAAATATGTGAGCATGCTTGATGATGATTTGCTATAGCAGTCTGTCTTCTTGTTTGTACGCGTGCCGAGCCGCCCATTTGCCTTGCTGTATGGAATGCCTACGAATTTCTGAATGCTGTGCAAATGAAACATCCTGTCCGCTGCGGTCGGACCCATATCATATGTTTTTCACATGTGAATGCAGGAACATATGTTTGTGATTTTATGTGATTTGACATATTTTGACATAGATTGTGGTTGTTTTGTACGTTATGAAAAATGTGACCAACTTGCAACATCCACACAAGGCTCTTCCAGTAGAAAACATTGGGTGAAAAATGACCAGTGAAGGTGTTGTATGTACGCGAACCTCCGTGCCCCAGGAGTGATGGATCTGGACCAGCCCAAATACTGTTTTCACCCCATCAAAGTGTCAATATGGGTTTGTTTGAAGAATGAGTGATTAATTACATGTAATTATCAATTGATTATCATACTAATATCATTATATAACATTATATAACTGTCCCTATCAACATCTTTGGGTGCATCGGGTGCATCCCATTCTCCCCATGTGAAAAACCTGAACGATCCGAGGCTTGCAACAAGCATCTTGGTGCCTCACCTGAGAGCCTCATCTGCAAGGAAGGCTTTGGGTTTACATCCGCAGGTTTGGAACGGTTTGTACAACATATTCCAATTACATGTACATACATCATCATACATCATCATACATCATCATACATCATCATACATCATCATACATCATCATACATCCACAATATGCACTATATAATACATTATAATACTATATATATATGGTATTATATTACACTATACTAAATTATACATGCTGAATCATCGAAATGTGCCTCAAGCCTGAGCCACCACTCTGGGAACTAATAGAGCTATGGAAAATCCCATGGGTTTCCCAAGGAAATCACTCAGAAATGGTGGATTTTGCATAAACATGTGAAATGTCCAGAGAGTATTTTGTAAAGAAAATACTACTCCAATCATCCCGATACTCAAACTCTAAGATTCTTCGCGGCAAGAACAGGTTGAACAGGAGTATTGATATCCCTGTCTTGGCCAACATCCATTGAGGTCGTTTCTTTAGTCAGGCCGCGGCGATTTCCGTGGAACCTGGTGACATTGTGCCTTGATCTTCACATTTCGAAAAAAGGGGAGCAGGTTAAACGAAGATAAGTTTGGATTTAGTCAAGAACAAAGAATGGATATTTAGATATATATATATATACATACATGGATATAACCAACAGAATTTGGATTTAATATTATGATTTAATCCATAAAACATTGGATAGACACAATTTATTATGTTTTTTTCACCAAGGAAACGGCTGGATATTAACCGACACATGTTTTTGGATTAGACCAACAGAAAACGGGATTTGATAAACAATGTTTCGGATTAAAGCAACAAACACTTAGATTCTACATTCAACAACCAAGATTGGATTTCATCGAAGCAAAATGGAGATGGAAAACCACCAACATGGAGATTTGAACAAAACCCAAACAACAATTCAACCAACCACAAAGGTTATCCGAGGTCAATTGGTGTGTCAACTGAGGTTTTTTTGGGCGCGAACATAGAATTCAGGGATGACACAAAATTGGGGTCCCTCAATCGCCAAAGACTGATATTCAGATATTCATGGGTACTTAAAATGACCATCTGTGGTGACCGACTGGTTCCTGCACGGCTGCTCAGATCATCGAAGATCACTTCCCTGATACGACCATCGATGATGATTGCGATCACAAGGCGGATGTTGGCTTCGACCGATCAAGGAAAAATGGACATTCGACGAAAGGCTTCTGGTGGAGATTTTACCAGATATATCCAGATATCATCGCAATGGAAATGGCATCATGTTGAGCAAACATGGTTGCGAAGCCGTATCATGGCAAGCATGGGTGTGTCAAGATGCTGTTTTCCAAATCTTGCAGGTTTCTGTACCCAACTTAGGAAGCACCCAAAGTATCCCGAAGTACTCTATGACTTGGGTCTGGGTTTGGCTGGCACCCCAGTAAACATCCTCGAGATCAAAGGAATAAAGAATGTTATCTACCTGAAGATGGGTGTTTGATTTGATCCATTCACCCACCAGATCTACAAGCAAGAAATTCCAGTTTTTGTTTCTTTATGGGTCCAAATATGTATCCCATGTCTGGTCGCTCTGTCGCCATATTATGGTTGTGCTTTCAGGCACGGACAAAGTAGAGAAAAGCCTTGGGAATTCGGCGTCGACGTGTCACAGGTGGAAGCATTGAACGGTCATGCCACTGGAGATCTCAAGAATTCGAGCTGCACGGCAGGAGCTGATGATGTTGGGCCGTTGGGTAATCCACTTACATAGGCCTTATATAGGCCTTATATATGGTAGGTACCTCCATTTTAGGATCCTGAAATTCCCATTGATGTTGGGTAATCCCAAATCATCTCAAATAGCTCCCAAATCCTAGTGGATCCTATAGTGGAATGCACTGGATCTACTTAGAAATCTGGGTTCCCTAATAATTAGGGGGTGTATTTAATATTGGACGGATGGGATGATGTGAATTCTATTTTCTTGGACCCAACAATCGACTCCTCTGTGAATTTGCCTTTGGAAACGGGGCCAGGGGGTCGATATCCATCTATTGTAGAATCCCAACGAGTCCAGAATTTGTGAAGGATCTCTGATATTCTCTGATTGTCTAGTCTGCTGCGTGAGTGGTGGCATGGAAAACATCTGAAAAATGCAAAACACCAACAGAATGGTACCAGAGAGAGGCTGCTTTTCAGGGAACTTTTTTTTGGAATGCAGCCGGTCCTTCGCCAGCCGAGATCTGCATTATCCAAGCTCTCCCAGAAACTGACTCAGAATCTCCCTGAAAAGCCATTAAAAGAGAATTTCATGAAAGCTTCCATGCAAATCCAATCAAATCCATGCAAAGTATCCTGGAGAGACAATGCTGCACCATTTGGACAAGAAGTTGGTACGACAGTTGCCAATGTTGCCAGAAAGCTTGAGGTTTCCTGACCGGCGGCGTCAAGATCTCCTGGACTCCTGGTGTCCCAAGTGGGAGTAATGAAAGGTCGCATAAAATCACAGTGAAATCACAGAAGATCACCTTCAAGCAGGATCTGATGAGACTCTGACCGATCTTCTGAGAGTTTTTTCTGAGACAAAGACACAGAATTCACTGCCGCATGGGATGGCAAACCCATGGCTGAAGGAAGACTGCCAGCGTTTTCGTTGATGGGGAGCTGGATGCCAAGCTTGATATTGGTGGTAGCTTGATTGAAGGGGAATGATTGGTTTCCAGTTTCATCCAGGACCAATGGACCGACAGGAACCGTCTCCAGAATAGATGAATAGATGTGCTGAAAATTGCCAACTGGATCTGCTTCAGATCAAGTCACACAGGTAAAATGATACACTTCTTTATAGTAACCCTCAAAAAGATAGACAATCAAAAATCCACTGAAATATTTGTAAAGGACTGTCTCTCTTTTTTGGGGGGTGACTGCAATGTTCTCTATCTGAAATAATTCTCATCCCAGCCCTTTTGAGTGTGCGGTCTTTGTTCCGCATGTCTTAGGCGATGTTCGTGTCCGCTTGGGGAAGCATATCTTTGGGCACCATTGCACACAGTTGGCGAGGACAATGGCGTGCCAAGCGACAACTGAGCTGTTACAAAAAGCCCCATTCATTGCTTATCAAAATTGGTGTTACGAGCGTTAATAAGGATAACTGTTAACATTATCTACCATATAACAAATATACAGAATTGAATGGGATAGGGTTACTGTATTTTTTCATGGCTCGGCTGAATGCCGTAAACCCAATCATCAAACGTCAATTACAGGTCAACACCATGGCACCATCCCATGCAAGTGATACAGCAGAAGTGATTTTCTCTACACGCACATCGCTCATGGTTCCTTGCGCATTTCAGCACCTTGAGCCAAAGGGCCAATGATCCCTCGAATTAAATGTGTCATTTTCTCTTTGGTTAATTGATCAATGATGTAATGTACATCCCTACAACCATTGGAATCCATGGGGTGAATTTGGTATAATTCCAGCATTTTTCCCACGGAGCACATGATTGTTTGATCCCTTGAGTTGCTGGCACGCAGGAAGACAATGGGTCTGAATGTGGACGCTCGTGCTGTGACAGCGCTGAAAACCCTGGGCAGCTCAAGAAGTTGGATGCAACAATCAACCTACCTTTTAACAATCTACCCCATCAATGGAAACCGCCAATTGAGTCCATTTGATATCCTTAACTCTTGTGCATGATTTTCCCATGGAGCATGGAGAATTTCGCGGAACTTCTATGTTGTCAAGTTTGTTTACAGGAGGGTGAGTGGTGATGGTGGGGGCTATGATGACAGTGTCGCTGGTGGTGCCTTTCAAAGTTCGAGTCTTCCTGCTAGTGGCTTCTGCCTTCTGATTCCGAGATAACTTTGATGTCAGCAACGTTGTTTTTGTACGCACCTAAAAACAGTCTAGGCCCATTGCATGGCTACCAAAACATAGGAAAACAGCAGAAGCTTCTCCAATTTGCACCTATTTGGTCCAAGTTAGGACTCTGATGGGAAGAATGGCGTCGGCATCAACATGACTGCCTCGAATGCTCACTTGGAACACTTGAAGCTCTGCAGCAGAAGGGATGCATTGGGCAGATCTCAAAATTTGCTCCCAGGCCTCAGTGGCCCCAGTGACGCCTGCTCAGGAATGGAACCTGGTACCTGGCATTCAATTTTCATGCTGATGTCGTTGGCACAGTGCTTCAATGGATGCTAGCCTGCAAGGGCGCCCCCAGTTTGAACAGAGGAGAAGGCAAAGATTGTAAGGATGCGCAGGTGCACGGAGTTTTGGTGGTGATTTTGCCATCCTTCTTGGCAGGGGGCGGAGGTGTCCTTGCTCATTCCTGTCTCGCAAGGAATGTGGACAAAATCACAGCGGACGGCTGCAAAATTAAAATCCTTGGGATTGAAATTGCTTCAGTGCCACTTGGTGTGACTTCAATACGATTTTGATGATTTTTTGCTCTGTAAATCTCCTTTCCATTTGAAATATGTGATGGTGGAGCATGTTGGAGCAGTCTGACAACCAATTTACCATCTGGTTATGACTAACATAGCCATGGAAAATCACATTTTTAATAGGTAAACCATCTATAAATGGGCCATCTATACCATGGCTATGTTAAATATCCAGAAGGTAGACCTTTCAATGTTTGAGATCCTCAACCCTTTCTCGAGTCCTGGAGGTGTGGCTATGTGGAAAGACACGTGAAGGACAAGCTGCAATCCCTCCTGAACTCTGACCCTGAGCTGCATCCTGCTGACCCTCCCGTCCTGTAGATCACATGATGCAAAACAAAATCACTTGATGGATCTTGATATCTATTTTGATATGTATATATATATAAATACATACATTATAATATATTTTGATACATATATATATATACATTACAATATATTTTGATATATATATATATATAATATACATACATGATGATATATATATATACATACATGATATTTTTTCTGGTGTATATATATACATACATTATAAATCATTAATATATATATATATACACATTATCATATTTTGATATGTATATATATATATATTAAATATAATTTGATATATATATACATTTTAGTTTTTTTGATATATATCCATATACATACACATACATGATGATATATTTTGATATATATATATACATACATGATATTTTTTTTTGGTGTATATATATATACACATTATAAATCATTAAAATATATAGTTTGATATATATATATATACATTATCATATTTTGATATATATATATATATATTGAATATAATTTGATATATATACATTATAGTTGTTTTTTGATATATATATATATGTATGCATTATAATATATTTTGATATATATATACAGTCTAATGTATTTTGATATATATATTGTATATTATATATTATATACTATATACTGATGTGATTTGCCTGGTTGAGTGTGACAAGGCAAAAAACCGCCACCAGTATGACGAGGCTTGAAATGGTATGGACAGATAGGGCTTTTGAAGAAAGTTCAGCACGTCAGCACACAATGCCCGAAGCACCATTGATCACGTGAGATTCTCAGTGTCTTCAAAAGTCCCTAATGGATAGAAGATCATAAACTAGAGAAACGCAATTTACTCATACCTCCCTACAGCCAAAACTAAAAGAAATATATATATATTGTATCCAGATACGGTTTTCAGGAACAATACAATCCAGATGCTGAGAAGTAGAGATTGCAACAACTGCAAAATTTACTTCGCAGCGGGAAACAACACTTTCATATATATATATATAATATGATTATATATATATATGATGTAGACATGAGGTTGGGTGGGATCCGATTCCGAAGCTGGTCTCAAGGGTAAACCCTTGTTCTGAGGTTGAACGAGTTGATGCTCCAAAGATTTTGAGCAAACTTGAAGACAGAATCAACACAGCGAGACATGGCAGCAAACATCTGCAAAGACTGAGAGAGATAGAGTGCACATGTCAACATGACAGATGCGGACATACTTGAAATTTGAATTTTTCTATAATCTGACATTTTTTAACATGTGTATTGCAGCATGTTTATATATATACACATACATACACATGCTGCAATATAATGCATTTATAATCTAACTTTATGTATATATATATGCTATATATTAATATATGTTATATGACATCATGTTAGACGATGTGACCAGTACTTATGCCGTCTCGCGCTGGAGTGATGTGTTTATTCGCAAGCAACCGAGGATCGGTTCTGTGGTGAGGTGCGAATTTCCACAGGGCACCAAGTCAGCCAACACTCTCGGTGGTTTCCCGAGTTTTTGCGGAAATAAACTACCAGAAGCACACTCTAAGTTAGATATTTTCAAGAAGCCAACAAAAAAAACATGTTTTGTGCTGAACGCGTTTTGGCTCGTTTTGGCAGCTGGGATTTGCCATTCAGAAATCTGGGTTCGGTTGGACTCGCCTTGCAGGATTCCGCTGAAGGTGCCGGAAGGCCCCGGCATTGTCATTTGAGATGGACAGCTTCTTGGACCCCCAATGGCCCAATCTGGGCCAAATAGATGCAGGATTTTCCACAGGATCCCCAAAATTGGAAGGTTTAGCACTGAAAATGACTCATGTGCGGGCCTGAGTAATTACCCCAATTTTTGAGCCATGCCTGTCTAGACCCATGAAGAGCAAAAGGACATGCTGACATGGTTGGGGGAAAAGCAATGACATTGCACGCATCTTTTTCCCTGCTCATTTCTAGATACTCCTTTCCTGGGGAGCCAATCCCCAGGCGCATGCCTGACTAGACTAGCATGAATTCTTTTGTTGGTTCCCTTGAGGACACCCGTGAAAAAGTACCCAGAACGTACGATTTTCCACCGAAGCCAATGGGATATCAATGATATCAAAGGGTCTGCGGGGTTACAATCTTGAAGATCTTTCGGTGTTAATTAAGCCACTTTTCATCGGGGCCTTTTGAGGTTAGCTGCTTTGCAAAGATGTCGCAAGGCGCTGTCCCTGGACTGTGTTGATCTGTTTCTGTGGTGGGTTTTCTGCTGAATTGATGACACTTTGGAGCCAGCTATGGTGGAATGATTTGGTCCGTGGGCCACTATGAAAATCCAGTAGGAGATGAGTCCCGGACCTGAGTTGATTCTTGGCTTTCAAAAAGCTGTAGCTGTTGGCTCTCAGTGGCACGCAAGGCGTGGCAAGGCGCGCCATGGAGTTGCCAACGTCCCTGGATGCGCTGGATGTCACGGGTATGCTGGTGGCATGTGTGGTAGCAATGTTTGCAACACACTGCTGGAGTTTTTGGGGCGACTTCAAGGGCTTCCTGCAGCGGTGCTGGCATCGCGAAGAAAGTGAGGAGTTGGAGAAGTCCAAAGAATGCATCTGGCCTGTCATCTTAAAATAACTGAGATATTGCTTAGATATTGTTCGTCATTTTCCACGCCTAAAAACTGGTATGAAATGTATGAATTTTTACGAAAGCTAGCTTGTGCTAGCTGAAGTTGCTCTTGCTTTAGCCAGGAATAGGCAGACACCAGGACCGTTGGAAACCCTGAAACTTTCCGGTTAGACCCTTGCCCTTCCCCTGTAATCTACTTTTGGGGACGTATCTACACAATGCATCTACAGTTTGTATACCATGTGACATGTTCACTTTAATTCACATCATCCACTGCGCCACTCCGTGGCTCAAGACCTGCTAGCATAGCTACAGAAAAGGTGCTGCGCTCCGACTGTTGACCACAAGTGTTCATAGCTTTCTAGCTTAGATCGACCCTTCTCAGATGCCCCCTGTATCTGCGCCCTGACCCCTCGACGCTTCTTAGATGCCCCGTGTACCTGCCCCCTGGGCCATGGGTTGTCATCTCAATAATTCATTTCCAGCATTTCCTCGTCAGCATTTGCATCACCATCATCGGCTGGTTTTGGGGCATGTACAGGTTTCTACGTCTTTATCTTCACCTTCTTCATTTTCATCTTCCTCTCGAGCATTGTCATCATCATTGTCGTCGTCGTCATCGTCGTCATCATCATCATCACCATCATCATCATCATCATCATATCATATCATCATCAGCATCATCATCAAATTCATTTCTACCTACCATCATTGCCATCAGTTCATCAGTTTACTCTTGCAGCTGCGCAGTCTCCAGTACAACATTAGTAGAGTTCTGCTAGCTTTCGTACCTCCCCCCTGGCCTCAAGTTTCTACTAGCCCATCAGCAATATATATATATATAATTTCTTGAACTCATGATTCTTCAAGCCCGAACACTAGCCAGTGACGTGACTGTCATATTTTTTGGCGACTCAGGTATGGAGGCGGCATTTTGGGAGGCGAGCATCCAGCAGTACCTCCTGGCCTCTCAATGCTGGGCACACCTTGGTGCCATAGTTGTGCCGGGCATAGCTTTGCAATGGCTGTGGTCACCCGGCTTTGGCGATCTTAGTGGGTTTTGATGAACCCCTCCGGTGTCATCAAGCATGGCTGGGACATCCGCTATAGATATTACAATGGAGGTTTTAATGGGAAAATACGGGAAAATCACCTATAAATAAATGGAGGTTGTATGAGGATGTTACGTTTATTATCGTTCATGAACATTTTTTCCCAATCGGACATCCACCAGGACTGGGGAATATACAGAAGATCTTTTTCCTTTTGGGGCCTCTTAAGTCCTGAGAAAATCTAAGGACAGGCAGCTCTGTCTTGGACCCTCAACACATTTTCGCTTGTTTTTGTGCCTGGGTGTTTCACTTCATGACCACTGCACATATTTTGCGGCTGACTCCCACCAGAGTCCTGGATTTGCAAGAAGGTGATGTTTGTTTTTTCCCATACATTCCTTTACCCACCAGGACGCAAGAATCAAATTGCTCTTTAGGGGCACCTTACATTGAGGCATCATGTGCACCTCCAAGGATTGAGGCTCTTGAGCATCAGCAACTTCTTTCAGCTGGCAGCTTTCACGCAGACGGATCAGAGTGATAACCAAATTGTGGCCGTCACGGCCGTACAGACGGCCGCCCGCTTTGCGAACGCATGTCTCTTTGTAGACATCAAGACCAACATCCCCGTGGAGCTTGGCTTAACTTTGCTGCAAGTCAGAGCAGCCTGGCTACATGATCCCAACTCACTTTATCCAACCTTACTAGTCAACAGCTGTGTTTCCGTCATGATTTTATCTGTGAGTTGTTTGTTGGAAATCTCTGTGCGCTCACGCATCGCCATGCTATTGGACTCGGAATCGATGGTCAGCAGCTTTCGCACGATGTTGCGGGGAGTCTGCGATGGAGAAGTTTTGCTGGACAGCAACTTCAACGTCAGCGGCAAGGCCGACTGTTGCTGAACGGAGAACTGGAGCATCCTTTTTGTTGAGGGGGGTACGTCACAATTGCGATAGCACTGCGATAAATTATGATAATTGTGATAGCAATGAATAGATAGAGGCATATTGACAACTAATGACAATTATAGACCAAGCTGGTGCGGCATCAAGGTTTGAAGACCTTGCTGATGACCCGGCACGATTTCAATGGCCAGAAGTTTGAGCAGCTGCTTGCTGCTGAAGAACAGGACCCCTTCCATAGCTTCATGAGTGAGCCAAGTCATCCAGACACCGCTGCGCCTCCCTGCCTTCGCGTGTCCTTGACCCGTGGCAAAGTTCGAGTTGGGGTGGACCTGTTCCATGTGAAGGTGCCTCATTTGTTTGGGAAAGCACACCATTTGGTGGCATTTCGAGAGGATTCAGAGTCCAGGCTCCAACAGGAAGTGGAGCCTGGTGGAGTGGTCCCAACCCTGCCGCTGGACGCATCGCCGAGGCGGGCGCGGTCGGCGCGTTCGAACTCTTCTTGTGGCTCCCAAGCCACAGCTCTGTTGCAAATCTGTAAGGAACTGCAGGAGATGACGTTAATGATTGATGCAAACACGCAACTGCTGGATGTGGAACAAGCTCATCTGAGCTTTCTTCGTGAATCTCAAGATGGAGATGCCAGTATGCCAAGCCTCAGGAGGCTGGTGCAACCAACCGATTGGGGAAGTGTCCGTGATGAACTCACGGAATTTGCCCAGAGACAGAGTGAGCTTCCCGTGGGAGACAGGGAAGTGCTGAAAACCAAGCTGCGGTTGCGGGATGCCAAGAGATGCGTGCAGGCTCGAAGGGTGGAGGTTTCAGCCTTTTCACCTCCAGGAGTCAACGCGAATGGTGAGGCGCCATTGAAATTGCACATGCACCTGAGTCGCCTCAAGCCTGTGAAGCAGGCACAAAGGCATCAGAGTTCTTTGCCAAATCTGTTTGAGAACTCTGAAGAGAGTTCACTAGGCTCTGTGTAGATACAGCTATTCAGCAATTCGTTTGCCTCGGGAGGCGGGACTTTTTTTTCCTGATGTTTCAAAAGGAGTACATTGGCTAGATTTCACGTGGACAATGCAATTCGGGGCTCTTAAACTTGTTACATCTTGTTTTTTAAAATAGTCTTCTTGCACATGGCACTGTTCAATCAATTTTCGATAATTATGCTTGGTGCCTCGAACAGAATAAGGCCATGTGCCAAAGATGTCGGGTCCACAGCTGTGACCAGGTCACTTCGCCTTGTGTCTTCCAACATCTTTGGTCCCGGGCTCATGACTTTGTCTGAAAATAGGATGCCTCAAAGATTTGATGGTTTTCTATCATTTTCCATATTTGCCCATCAAGCTTGCTATTCGGGGGGGGTATCCGACATGCCCACATGTCGTATTTTCTTGAGATCGTTTGAATGTGTGCTTCAATGAATTCAAGAGAGTTGGGCCACAAACTAGTGGCCGAGGCCTCTCACAGAGATTTGAGATGACGTGATGGAGCTCCCAAGATTCCCTGGGAATCCCTGGGTCAAGACAGGATCGATGGAAGATGTGACTGGGAGAATCAAGGAAGGGAAAAGGATAGCACGTTGGGCTCTTTATGTGGGTTGACCACGATTATTGACTGCTTCTTGATGTCCTTGATGATTTTGCTCCCACTTGAAATAGTGAAATAGTGTCTCTTGTCAGCTGCCAAGTGGGGCTGTTAAGTGGGGCTGTTAAGTGGATTCAATCCACAAGCCCCTGCTGATTCAATCCACAAGCCCCCTGCTCACATGAAAGTGTAAATGAATGCCATGGAGCGGTTTGGCACACGCAGGGATGAGATGTTGCTATCCAGTCTTCTCCTAGACATTCGCCACATTGCCCAGGCAGTGCAGAGCTGGAAGCTGCGAAGAGAAAAAAAAGTAGGGCTCCCCGCTGGCATTGTCCCCGTCATTCGTTGATCTGGGACTGTCGCTTGTCAGAGATGTCCTTTTGCTGCTTGACGATCCATACATGTCACCTTGCTTTACCAATGAAGTCAACTGCATGATATTATGTAATGTAATGTAATGTAATGTACTGTAATGTAATGTAATGTAATGTAATGTATCTATGTAATGTAATGTATCGATGTATTCTAATGTATCTATGTATTGTAATGTATCTATGTATTGTAATATGGTATGTATTATGGTATGGTGTGGTGTGGTGTGGTATGGTATGGTATGGTATAGTATAGTATTGTAATGTATGGTATGGTATGGTAATGTATGATAATGTATGGTAATATATGGTAATGTATGGGAATGTAATGTATGTATGTTAATGTATGTAATGTATGCAATGTATGGAATGTATGTAATGTATGTAATGCACGTAATTTATGTAATGTATGTAATGTATGTAATGTATGTAATATATGTAATGTAATGTTATGTAATGTTATGTAATGTTATGTAATGTTATGTAACTTTATGTTATGTAATGTTAATGTCATGTAATGTTATGTAATGTTATCGTATGTAATGTAATGGTATGTAATGTAGTGGTATGTAATGACATGGTATCTAATGTTATGGTATGTAATCTGATGGTATGTAGTGTTATGGTATGTAGTGTTATGGTATGTAATGTTATGGTATGTATGTATGTATGTATGTAGGGTATGTATGTAGGTATGTCGGGTATGTATATAGGTATGTAGGGTATGTATGTTATGTATGTTAATGTCAATGTATGTGACGTATGTATGTTATGCACGTGATGTATGTGATGTATGAATGTATGTAGTGTATGTAATGTATGTAATGCATGTTTTGTATGTTTTGTATGTCATGTATGTAAAGTATGTATTGTATGTAATGTATGCAATGTATGTAGTGTATGTAATGTATATAATGTATGTAATGTATGTAACGTAAAGTAATTAATGTATGTAATGTATATGTATGCTATGTATGTTATGTATGTAATGTATGTAATGTATGTAGTGTATGTAGTGTATCTAATGTATGTAGTGTATGTAATGTATGTAGTGTATATAGTGTATGTAATGGTATGTAATGAATGTAATGTATGTATGTAATGTATGTAATGTATGTAATGTATGTAGCGTATGTAGTGCATGTAATGCATGTAATGTATGTAATGTATGTAATGTAATGTAATGTAATGGTATGGTATGGTATGGTATGGATGTATGTATGTATGTATGTACGCATGCATGTATGTATCAATGTAATGTAATGTAATGTAAGGTAATGTAATGTAATGCATTAATGTATTGTATTAATGTACTGTAATGTTTATTTTATGTTATATTTAGTATGGATGTATGTATGTAGGTATGTAATGTATGTAATGTATGTAATGTATGTAATGTATGTAATGTATGTAATGTATGTAATGTATGTAATGTATGTAATGTATGTAATGTATGTAGTGTTATGTAATGTTATGTAATTTAATATAATGTAATGTAATGTAATGTAACGTATGTATGTATGCATGCATGAATGTATGTAATGTAATGTAATGCAATGTAATGCAATGCAATGCAATGTTATGTAATGTTGTGTAATGTTATGTAATGTTATGTAATGTAATGGTATGTATTTAATGTATGTATGTATGTAATGTAATGTAATGTTATGTAACGTAACGTAATGTAATGTAATGTATGTATGTAATGCAATGCAATGCAATGCAATGCAATGCAATATATGCAATGCAATATATGCAATGCAATGTAATGTAATGTAATGCAATGCAATGTAATGTAATGTAATGTAATGTATGTAATGTTATGTAATGTTATGTAATGTTATGTAATGTTATGTAATGTTATGTAATGTTATGTAATGTTATGTAATGTTATGTAATGTTATGTAATGTTATGTAGTGTTATGTAATGTTATGTAATGTATGTAATGTATGTAATGTTATGTAATGTTATGTAATGTTGTGTAATGTAATGTTATGTAATGTTATGTACAGTTTTGTAATGTTATGTAATGTTATGTAATGGTATGTAATGTTATGTAATGTTATGTACAGTTATGTAATGTTATGTAATGTTATGTAATGTTATGTAATGGTATGTAATGGTATGTTATGTTATGTTATGTTATGTAATGTAATGTAAGGTATGGTATGGTTTGGTGTGGTGTGGTATGGTATGGTATGGTATGATATGGTAATGTATGTATGTATGTCTGTATGTATGTATGTATGTATTTATGTATGTATGTATGCATGCATGCATGCATGCATGTATGTATGTATGTATGTGTATATATATACATGATCATGCAATGCATATTGCATGCAATCCATTTGACCGAGAATGGCAGGTTCAAACTTTGTATGGAAACTATTATCAAAAAGCTTGCGAATTGAATCGCCTGACCACATGCGAAACAATTACAAACAATATATAAATAACATAATAACAAAACTAATATGATATATATATATAGTATAGTTACATACCTTGATAAATTATAATGATCTCCCGCGACATCACTGGAATATACTGGAATGATGTTTAGTAATTAAAAGGAACTATCCTCATATCATCGTATTTTAAATCGGTACAGTAAGTTATTCCCCACCTGCCAGGTGAGGGTCTCTAGATTTTCTTAGAGTTGCGTCCTTCCTCCTTCCTTCCTCTTCCCCCTTCCTCTTTTCTCATTCTCCTTCCTCAACTGCGATCTCAGTGGGCACTGCCGGACCTCAACCGCGAGCTCCAGATCTCAGTGGACCTCAAACGCGAGCTCCAGATCGCAGTGGGCTGGAGCTCAGTGGGCACTGTGGGACTTCAACCGCGAGCAACAGAGTCAGTGGGCACTGCCGGACTTCTACCCGGAGCTCCAGATCGCAGTGGGCACTGCCGGGCCTCAACACATGCCAGAGAGAAGCATTCTAAGTGGCAGAATAAAATTTCAGAATAGATGCCAAATAGAATGCCAGAAAAACATATCATCAGATAGAATGCCAAAAACGATGGCAGAAAGCAAGTCAGAATAGATGCCAGATAGAATGTCAAAAAGAATGTCATCAAATGAAAATTCAGAATAGATGCCAGATAGGATGTCAGAATAGATGCCAAATAGAATGCCAGCACAAGATATCAGATAGAATGCCTAATAAACTTCAAGCATAAAAAACAACTATATATACCATATACGGTGATCGATCGAAGGGTCCTTGTAAAGAATTTTAATTCCGAAGATCGTTCATGTTATGTTGGAAACCTCGCGAAAATTTCTTTCGAGTTCGCGAAAGTAGCATTTTTATTCGCGAAAATTTCATAACAATCGGATATTATGAATTATATTGTATACATATACAACTTGTAAAGGGCTACCTACAGTCCCCTGCCCCTGGAACTCCAGCAGGAGAAGGGTACCGGATAATTTTGGTTTGGTTCTGATTTAATTTATTATATGGTTTTGTGTTTCGGACATTTATTTTTCCCTTTATAGGCAGTGGCCGAGCTTCTAAAAGTGAGGCTTTGCCACAGCTTGAAGTGCGCACTGCTGGACGTCAACCTGCGAGCTGCCCAGCTCAGTGTTTACCGCTGGACCTCAACCTGCGAGCTGCCCAACTCAGTGTGCACCGCTGAGCTGACCAGCTCACTGTGCACCGCTGGACCTCAACCAGGGACCTGCCCAGCTCAGTGTGCACCGCTGGACCTCAACCGGAAACCTGCCCAGCTCAGCGTGCACCGCTGGACCTCAACAACCAGATAGAATGCCAGAAAATATGCCAGATAAAATGTGAGATAGAATG